TACCCAGACAAACTTTCCTGTCATGTTTGTGTAGAAAATGCTAAAAATATAGCTTTCCCAAGACGAAAACTCAACGGAGAAAGTTGTGAAAGAAAGACGAAATTTTCTCCGTCTCATAAACGCCTGCTCACTTTAGCCTCATCTCATCCTGCACTAATGCATGTATTTATCTAACTAAAGTCGAACTTCCTCGTGAATGCAAGTACCTAAGATTCAAGCGTCTGTAAAGTTATCACGATTGTTTTTGTCACAGAGAGACCATTACAGATTCAGCTTCGACGGAGACAATTATTATCACGAGTTGGTGCAGATTAGCGTTTTCTTCCGACTGGGGAAAGAAGCAGCAGCAGTTTTGTTTGGATGGCTGAGCTGAAGACAAGTTGCAAGGGTTATCGATGCATTAAACCAACATTGAGCACGCCTGGGACATTCTGGAGCGAAAATACGTAACAAGCGGAGGAAAGTTGTGCTTGTCGTCTCTTCCATCCATTTCATTTGATATTACACTCTGCTGGGTCGTTATGCTTTACTTTTACACCACGGATGAGGAGATAGACAGAAGAGGTACAAAATAAACGAAGAGTTGCTATGGGCAACCCTTCATTAGCGAAGAAGAAAGACCGAAGAGTCGTCAGAGTGAGGCAGGCTGGCAACCAGGCAGGGTGTGTTCGAGAGAGAGCACGATTATACATACGCCCGGCGCTTACGTAGGACGAGAGGGCATACATCTCCGAATCTTCAATAAAATATATTACGCCTTTCTTCAACATTCGCCTATAAACAAGACTCTGCATTTTGCTTTGCCTTTATTTTACTCCACCAGCTCAGCAAATATGGAATTTCAGCCACTTGAGTCTAGTTTGTACACTCGAAATCTCAAGATGATTACCGACATGGCAGAAAACAAACTCAAGACAAGGAATGACTGCTTTATAGATTTCAATAAATTTTCTCATATCAGTCATGCTCAAAATATGCATGTATGTGGAGCTTTAACACTTTTTACGATGACAAGAAGACAGGCTTTGACGGAGTGTATATGTATTTTACATATTATGTAGATATGTATTTATGATAGAAGCGATGCGAGTTCAAAAATGCGAACAAATATTGAATTCTGAGATATTCCTTTCATCACGACTATGACTATAAAGGACTAGAAAATAATCACGACGCAGATTTTCAGACCATTAAAAGTATTTCCTCTCACAGATCGCCGCTTTCTGAGACTTGTGTAAATCTTCTCCTTGAAGAAATTCTGACTTGGTGAGACCAGGAAGAAATGAGTATAATGATGCACGCGGTAAACGTGTGGGATGAGAGACGAGAGTGATTTGGATTTTTTGACACTTGAATCTTGTTAACTCGGATGATTTTCGAAATCCATGTAGCATCGTTAGCCCGCATAATATGCATTCGATTTTGATGCTTATTGCTTTGATAGATAGTTCTGAGTAGTCTAAGAATTCGCAACTAACAAGGCGAAATATGTTGTAAAGTATGAATAGTGTCGAATTTAAATCATGCCTTTTTCTGATTTAAAATTTCTCATGTGGAATATCATTAGTTTTTATGATAGGATATGAAGTACGAAATGTGTCAATTTAACATACCTCCAATTTAACAAGCACGCTTGAATTGACGTTGTTATAAATTTGAAACTTTTGTGTTATGATTCAAACTGTCAAAAAATTTCCTTGCTTATTTCTTTGTAGCAGGATCCATCATTATAAAACTTGTGAAAATTATTGCGCGATTTTATGCGTCAAGAAATCGTGCAAAGAATTATTTAATTTACTTTCTTATTTGTCCCTCATATTAAGTTTATGTGTGTCTACAGTTTTCAGTTTGTCATCGAAAATATAATTAATTGCATACAAAGAACGTACGTGTGATTTATATTGCATACTAATTGTTGTGTATCAGCATTAAGTTTAGAAAAACTGGTTAGTTTCCTAATGCATGAGATGTTGTATATTTATCTTTTAAATAAATGACGAATATTAAGAACGAAATGTGAAGAAGATGTTGGGGAATATTTTCTTCAAGAGATATGATTATAACTAAACTAATAACATGACAAAATTATAAAAGTTGTTGGCATTCTTGCCAACGTGTCAGGTGGACGTGGGCATAAGCAGAATTCATATGTATATATACGCACTATATAAGGACGTATGTACGTGCATAGTATAGTTACTAGTTGTCGTTGACAATTGACTATGATAAAGAGATTACATGAGGGAAGTTGATAGCATATGAAAAATTTGGTTAACATATTATGAGGTGTCATCCCAGTGATGATTGGCAATTGGGCAGATAATGACCCCATAATGTCATCATTTAGACAACATGAACAATTAATCAACATTCCCTTTCATTCTTCTACGTATGCTGCCACAACATTCCGTAAAGTGGACAGGACGCGCAAATCTTAACATATTATCATCGATTGTTTAAAAGTGTAACGTATTTGGCATCATCCTCGGTTTATGTAAATATGCCTGTACACATAGCTTTGGATTAATTGTGATCTGGTGTGTGGGTGGTCTTCAAATAAATTTTGGTGGACCATGTAAAATGGGTGAAAGCCTGCATTCTTTAATTAAAGTTTGCTTGCTCATAAAACAAATGTCATGAACTGAGGGTTAAGTAAGTTCAGATAAGAACTGAGACCGGATCAATAAATTTCACGCTTAAAAATTGAATTATTCGTTTAATCGAAGAGTTTGATCATAGTTGGTTTTATGATATTTAACTCCGGATGAGGACAGAGACAGACGAATAAGAAACTATTTGGAACGAAATTGTTGCATGATGAGGGGAAATGCAACCAGCTAATGAATTATACCACAAAACAATACAAAATTCCACTGAATAAAAAATAAGTAAAGTAGAATTGGATAAAAATAACTTTAAGCATCAACAAGAGTTGATGGAACAGTAACAATGGATTATTGTCTGTTTTTGACCAGCGATTAAATAACGAAACAAAGAGTAAAACTTTACGCATCCTCACATTCACATGGTTCCCTTAGTTGAATGGAATTTCAAAAATCGTATTCATCGAAGCAAACGCCGACACACACGAAATGTGGACATTGTGGACAACACCAATTAAGGGTCCTCTCTTCTGCCGCATTCTAGAATTTCATGCCATTTGATTTTTGATTGCTAAACCATCCATTCAAAATTGTGATGTGGGGTGATAATGTCGAGCTGTTTAGAATTGTGAAATGTTGATGAAACAAGAATGGAGAAAATCCACACGCAAGGATGGAAACAAGATCCTTCACAAACGACGTTGGGGTGGATGGCTGTACCTTTTTTCAATCAGCCTAAGAATTTCGCTGTAGTATGAAGCTCCAAACTGTGTCACGAAATTGTTATCCATACTGGACAGTGGACTTTGTTAAAATGTCCTTCACTGAAAAAGTGAACTCTTTTTTGTTAGTGTGGTACGTCCACTTACTTACCTGCCTGCTTCAAAAGCAGAATGCGTGTTATCGCCCAAGTTGTCTTAAATATTTCAAACATTTATCGGTCAAACCTAGAGGGGAACAATAAACCTGTCTCGTTAGTGGCATCACACATATCTAGAGCATAAAACTCGACTAAAATGGAAATACTAATATAACGCAATGTGTCACCACGTCACTGCTATAAATGATACGTTATTGTGTTGCCTATTGAAATAGTACTTTCAAATTTAGACCCTATAAACCTTAGGTTTGTTCATACTGACATATGAACAAACAGCGTACTTGCATAATCCAGATTACCCAAATTTTTTCGAGATTTAAATATTTAAAATTAATTGATAAAGTTGTCAAATTTGTTGACAATTCGTTGAGCCAACGAATCTTGGTGAATGGGAGGGTGACGACAGATGGATAAAGATAAAATTATGGAGCGCGTGCCCCTCGTTAGTAATCTCATCTCATTAATCATTAATATGCCGAAGCAACAAAGTGTGCGCGTACATAAATACATGTGTGCATATGAAAGTATGTGGATGAAGTGCTTTCAGCTTATCATGACACAAGTGTTACAGCCACAGATGTCAAAGGCCTCATGCGTTATTACTCTTACTGATACACACATATTGCTCTGCACAAGTGCTATACCTGCTCTCCGACTTTGTAATGATGTTCTGAGCGATTGTCGGCAAGCGAGGAGATAATGCCGTTTTTATTTAAAGTGCCATGAAATGGTGGAGGGCCTTCTGCTGACTGCTCATTCATAATTCATTTTTCATGTGAATTGGGCCAAATGTCGAGCATATTCAAGTATTTAGTGACTTTTAGCCAAGGCACCTGTCCGCACTATCGGCACAACTTACCTGTGTCTGCTTTTGTTTCATTCACCCCACCCTTGCCCTTCCCTTTTGATTGATATTTAGCTTTGTATGCGTCGGTAAAACTCCTACTGCTCAGCTCCTGCTGGCTCATCTGATGCTTAATTCATTCAGATAACTTCATGCATGAGACCCACGAGAGGAATGGATATGAAATGTGTAGTTATGTATGTACGTAGGTTGGTCTTAACGAGGTTTGATTCTCGGATGGCCCACAAAATCATTTTCAGAAGTTGGTTGTTGATGAAGTGAAAGAAAATATTCGCGTAAAGTGGTTATCCTCACGACTTGGTCCATTTATCTCCAATTAATGCTCCATTTCATTGGTATTACGATTCGTGTAATGCGACATTATGACCAAATTCGAATTCAGGCGTGAGAATAATTAACCACTTGAATTTCAGTAGCTCTTCTCAACTTGTATGTATGAACATAAAACAAATGTCAAGTTCAATGATACAACTAAATACAAGAGATGATCAAATCTCTTTCATTTTCCACACCATTCTGGGAGTAAAACAATTGATGCCACACCCATAAAAATTATTGCTGACACTTTAACTCTTGGAGGAGTTGTGGAATGAAATCGTCGCTAAAAATTGAGATTCGACAATGCCATTAATGTTTTGTATCTAATTTGCAGAACATATCAGCAAATTCCAAGACGTGCGTGTGCCCGCTGTCGGAACGGAATAGGATCTCAGGAGTTGATAATGAGGGGTAAGCTTCCATTCTAGTAATCATGAATATATGAAAACTGCAATCTTAGGCAGCTTAATTCTCATTCACATCTCTCTTTTAATCCACAATCAGCCAAGGATCTAGTCTATCACTTGAACTGCTTCGTCTGTGTTGTTTGTCTCCACATTCTAAATAAAGGTATGTATTAAACAATGATCAGATATAATCTCATTGCGGACCATGAAAAACCATTTTGGTCCATTTTCTGTGCTAGGTGACCACTTTGGAATGAGAAATTCAGATTTGTACTGCCAAAAACATTATGAAATGATACTCGATGAAAATTCTGGGTCCTCACCTCTCCCAATTCTGCCCCCAAACAGTCCCCACCACCATCACCATCACAGTCACGGTCCCCAGCACCATAGTCCAATTCCCAGCCATCTCCACCATCCTGCCACCACATTTTTTAATGGGGCTGGTTCGGGACAGAAGGGTCGCCCCAGGAAAAGGAAAGATAACCCAATGCCTTCCACTCCCCTGGGTCCTGTCATGGATATCGGTGCTACTACTCCTCCCGGCATGCAGCACCTCTCTCAAAATTTGGGTAAGGAACAATAATTTGACCATGAGTTGTGCAATATTAAATTTGAAACTGAGAAACTTATTTAGGATAGATTTATGCTTTTCTCCAATCGCTCATTATTATCAGACCACACCACAAATCATGCATTTCTTTGTTCATAAAGATCAATTTAATACAACGCGAAGAAAGTTTGTCATCTAGCATTACTTATTTACTAATGATGTTTTATATTACTTTCTTTAAATCTGTGTATCGTATATCATTACATAACGTATGTATCAAGATGGCTTGGAGAAGTCGATTTTATTCCATGCAATCAATTCGCATGTTATGTACGTGTGGGTAATGGAATGATGCGGTGTGTGTATATATCCCACAAATATATGTGCATGTAATAACAAAATAATAAATGATTGGTTGGTCTCCGTGGTGTGCTTTAAGTCAGGATGATGATGATGATCAGCGGAAGGGAAAGTCGTCGTTGTCGTCTCGTGTGTCAAGTGAGGTGAGGCACGAGGGATGCAAGTCGACGAAACGAAGAGTTGCCAGGGCAACCCTTCATTAGTGGCCGGCTCTGTGAAATCAAAGTGAAAAGAAAAAAGAAAGAAAGTTTTGCTGGTTCTTTCTCTCCTCTCATTCCCTCGTTCAATTCAATTGGTTGTAACGCACCAACTCGTCTTACCACACGTTATCCCTGGTGGGACATCAGACTACGTCAGTCAATATTTTCTGTACTACTTCGTGCAGTTCGGTCAGGGTAAAAGATTCTTGAGACACAGCAGTAGTTCAATGAAATTGTGTTATTTTTTTGCACTATTTGATCACAAGATGAAAGATATGTTACCCTTTTATTCTGAGAAAACATCAGAGCCCAGCTGCTGCTGGTTTTTCTTCCCATGCAATTATTTATCATCAGAAATGCGTGTTGGAAATTGAAACATTTGATATCATTCATCCGTCTTTTTATTAATGTTCCTCAGTTTTCTACTGCCGGTGTTTTTTGTTGATCCCCACTTTCCATTGTTTTTGTACGTATCATCTTGACTAATACCTACTTATGTACATATGCTGGGTCAAAAGAAAAAAATTAAATGCAGTGGTTGTGTGATACTGGCTTTCCTCAAAGATTATTGAAAAAAAGTTCTTACTCCCATTATCATATTTTTACTAAGGCCGTGGTGTTTTCCATATCGTATTATTGATGTTCGTGGTTGTGTGTAGGGAGCAGATCGCGTGGCCGAATTGAAAGTTTATTTTTTGTCCATTTCCTTTGATGATGCTTTTACGAGTATTTCATAAAATGGATAATGGTAATGGTACTGTTCCGGTGATCAGCCTATGATTTTTCCAGACCATGATAATCCCAGAAGTGTTCATTCTCATAACTTTTGCAACTGCTGTCAGGCTGCTGTTGAAACAAAAGAGGAGGAAATATTATTGAAATGGGTAAAGAAATTGAACCTGTCAGAATGCAAATTAAGATTCCTCCAACTATGAATATTCAGCAGTGCAGTAAACACCCCAATTTATCTGACACTTGAAGGTGTCGATTGTCGACGTGATTAAGCTGTCACAAATGGCATTTGTATTGCAGAAAGGCCTGCTCAATACATTTTAATTATACTCCACAGCGTATAATTAAGCAATGCTACAATCATGAGGGTCAGGATCCATATAGTCCTTCTGTAATTAATCGCAAGTCCACCTGTAGCATTATTATTTTATAGTCCCATCTGGACGGGATGTTAAATTTTTGCTGAAAAATACTCACGCAACAATTACAAACAAATCTTGATAAATATCAACTCATATGTCTGACTATACGTTCATAATGCAAAAATCTAGACCTGACCTACACAGTAAACTTTACGTTAATCCAAATCAGAAATGTCAATTTAATGAAATTATTTAAAAAATAATAATCGACAATGCAATTCAGTGAACTGAACAAAAAATTGGTGAATGAATGAATGCTCGTTCATGCAGTGTTGGGGCAGAGGTGGCTGTCAGGAGCATGAAGGCTTGTCAAAATATAACCACAAATAGTTTATGTAAGTGTAATTGATGCTTTTTGAGGGAGTAGTTAGAACTAAATAAGTAAGTTTTGTGGTGGACCTCCTCGCCTTTCATATCCGAAGACCATAAAGAAACCACAAAAACTGAGAGAAAAGTAGAGCCAGTCGTGTGTGCATCTACAAGTTGTGAAATACTATATGTACATATGCAAGCTCCTTTGTCCATGGAGCTTTTGAGGACCACGTAACAAGCTAGCAAAACCCGAGGAGAGTCAGATGGATGGACCGGAAATGCCGATGGAATAAGTTATGACACGAACAACCCCAATAAAAGCAAGGCGAGTGAGTTTCTAAGTGGAACCATATGTACGCTGCCATGACGCAACGGAACAAAGTCTCAAGATTTATGAGAATCGCCCCTTTTACTTCCTCGGTTTGATAAAACTAAGCTTGCATTTAATTATCATGACAAACTGAGGAGAGAAGAGCTGATAAATACGCATCGTGTCAGGCAAGAATCGCATCTCCAAAGGGTTGCGCTACTCAATGTGTTGGGGATAATTGGAATTGTAAGTGTTGGGGTGAAAAACTAGAGTTTTCTTAGCAATTGATGCGTGAACAAGTGATTTCTACAAATGAATTGGAGGCGTGACGTTATCTTGGTATCATAGAATTTTTCTGGTTTAGCTAATTTTCAACTTGATTGTAATGATTGTATACAAACTTGATCATCGTGATCAGATGCATAGGGATTTTACGGAAATTCAAAATAGAGAAATTTTGAGCAGTTATATTTAAATCATGTTTGCATATACACACATGAATCGTAAGTGACGTTTATGCCAAAGAAGTTGAATAAATTCGAATAAAAATTGTGAAAATGTTTGTTCCCACCCCGCTGAATCAATTCCGACGAAGAGCCAACATTTGTGGTCAATTTATTTCAGAAATTGTCTAAACATGATGCACGCATGTTGTTACAAATGAGACTTTTCTTGGAATTTTTCTCACTGGAAATTCAAGTGCCTACTCAAATCCACTATTGCGATAATTGGCAACGCTGGCTTAAATTTTTAACATGCAACTTATTATGGAGGAATATATGTATTAAATTCAGTAAACTTGAGAAAATGCGATAATGATCCTTTGCAAGACATCCTTATTAAATTTAGCATATTTTCACTGGTCTGAAGGTTTCATTTATTATGAAAAATAGCCACTTTTCTGTGTAGTCTCGTTCAATAAGACATCCCAGAATCCACCTAAATTGGATGATATCTAAAAAATCTTTGTATGGATGAGCTTTACACACGCAAAATGCATGTATCCCGTGCGAGCCATCTCCATTTATTTGCAAAACCGTCACATTTTCGCATATCATTATTTTTAGGGCACGATAAGCAATGTGCATCCTTTCCCTTCGTAGCTTCCAACGTGAATGTATTATAATAAGTATATATTCACTTTGAGTACAGAAAATTCAATTTTTCTGTCCGTGAACTGCATTGCCCATTTGTTATGCTCGTTTCGGTGTTGATTCTTTGCGTTTATGAAGATTTGGTTGTGTAGTAATTATTATCATGCCACCATCATCCCATTCTTAAGCAAATGCAGGCAATGTCTACCTTGGAACTTATCTTGGTAACCCGCAACTTGTCTGCAAGGCTTTGCCAAGAGAATCAGTAGACTTCTTCCCACTTTATCTCGAGTAAGATCAGAGCTCACCAAGCTAGCAGCCGACCGGATATGTGCACCTTTGTAGAAAATAGAAAGAAGCCCTTCTGTTTTATCGTTCTGATATAATGATACTTCATGTCCAATAAATATAATCATCACACCACCAAAATCCTTGACAGCGTACGCATTTGGGGAATTTTAGCCCATGGATGGCATGCATATGCTTTCATGCAAGCTTTCTCATGGATGCTTTTCGAAGATTTTGGCTTGTCAAAATATGTATCGATTCATTGTGCAATGTGTACATTCGATGCAGTCTTGCTAAACATTTTGGCTTTGTGATAAGTGATCAACATGCAAGAAAATGTTTTTCATATATTTTTCACGAAATTGAATACGCCCGACTTTAAAATAAAATACAGGGTATTCCTACCACATATTTATAACATGTAATTATACATATGCAAATAATGCGATAAGGATCATTGTATGTTTTTTTCAAAGTGGAATAACCAGCAGTATGTAGTTTTTAAGAGCACATTATTGTGTGCATTGTAAAACAACAGGCTGTTCCCTGCTAAAACAATGCAAATACATTCCCTTGCATGTCTGCTAGCCTCATACATTAACCGATACATACAATTCATGGCCTTTAACTTTATCTAGTTTCCATTGTTAAGTAAACAGTCTAAGGATCCTACCTGGACACAACTATGCAAATAAGTACATGAGTCAATGAAATGAAAAATTCAATGTTTTGAGAAATTGCGCCCCCAGTTTCCACTTGCACTTACATTATTCCATTCCTTAACATTGTGTTTTATGAGGCCGGGAGCAGAAAGTAATTTATTAAAGAAAATATTTAACAAGTCAGAGTATGGAGTAAAAATTGATGCACTTCTCATGTTAGCGTCTATCAACCTGCAAATCTACATGGCTCCAAGCATCCGTAATTACACCTCTGCAGAGCTCTGCTACTCCTTTTACGCAAACCATGACATCTTTGCAAATTTGATTGACATGAGGTGTCATTTGATTCGGTGATTACTGTTGCATAATTATGGTTCACGCTTGTTGATTTCTTGTGGAGTTTGACAACTACGCGCACCCATCACAGCCGAGTGTGCTTTCACAATGCATGGAAATTAAAACTTATCATAATTTTTCAGAAATGTTGGGAAACAACGATCCGAATGTCCACCTGACTGGTCCTCGTCTGGAAGGGTACGACTCGTCCTCCTCTACAAACTGTGCTGGGGGTGTGGGTCAGCGGACAAAACGCATGCGAACGTCCTTTAAACACCACCAACTTCGAACAATGAAGTCGTACTTCTCCATCAATCAGAATCCAGATGCAAAAGACCTCAAACAACTCGCCCAAAAGACGGGACTAAGTAAGCGTGTCCTACAAGTAAGTATGCTGCTGAAAGTTACCTTGTATTTACCAAAATGTAACTGCGAGCTACAAAAATGCTACTACTTTTAACTGAATTAAATATGTACATACATACACACATGTGATATACATACATATTTATGTGTTTGCCTTGGAGGGATGGAAATTGCAGCAATAGTAGCAATTTCTTATTTGCTGATTCATTACAAATGTCGGAGAGGTTTAGGCACAGTAGTCACTGTTCACGGGAACCAGTTTTTTCATCATTTTGCTTTAGTTCAGGACAGGTTGTATTAGTATTATTAATCTCTCGGCTGCCGTAAAGTCATTTCACCAATGTCTTATTTACTACGCATTTTCAAAGAAGGTATCAAGACTCTCCTCCACCAGTCCATAAAGTTTAATGCATCTTATCCGTGGCCTCAAGTAGCTTACAAATTGCCTTATTTGACCCGGCCTCGTGTGAAGTTGTGAAGATTAGTTTTTATTGTAGTAATTCAATCTCGAGATAATTATAGCTCTGCAGATTTCTTCTCCTACATAATTGCAATCATTATCGTATGAATAATTAATAAAATTCTGTAAATCGTATCCAAAGTGCTAGGTGTTATGATGAAGGGTTGGCTACTGGGAAATTTTGCGGAAGATTTTATGAGCTGGAATCAAAGTCATTTATTTTTATACGGTGTTATTAAGTAGCGGAAACAGCTTTTACAATGAAATATCCTGCGGAAAGTGTATGAATTATACTTAATATACATATCTATGTGGCCATTTATTTCCTTATGGTAGCTCATGATATGTACATATCGACATGTAATAGAAGAGCTAAAATACTGTCTAGACAAGTAGTAGCTATTAAGGGGCCCTTGCACGTTACAATTTCAAATGATGGATTCTTAAAACATTTATCATTAGTCACATGGTTTTTATATTGAGTTACAGGAATCGATTCGGGGGTATAATTTCTGATTTTTTTCTTTGAAGGTATGGTTCCAGAATGCGAGGGCGAAATGGCGAAGGTCGCAAGGTCATCGCCCAGGATCACGATTATCAGGTAGTGAAACCTTTATTGAACTTTGTTTGGGCGAATTAACTGATGTTGCTAATTTTGAACAGGAGGAGCATCGCCAACCAGAGAAGACGATTTGCAAATGAATCCAAATTCGATGACTCCCGGAGGTCTCGATATTCTCTCGACTGGCGGAGGTTCCGAGGACGATGGGGGATTCTCCTCCGATGTTTACTGACATCAATCGTCGTCACCACCACCAACCCACTCTCATTCTACACTTATTAGGTTGTGAAAAACTCATCTTTGATTAATCAGCAAGAAATGCGAAAGCCAAAGGTAAGCTTGGACGTTCTTTGTACAGAAGTGTACGTTGCTCAACTCATTTCACGTCTCGAATGTCATCTTCTGATAATATTTGGAACTGGAAAAGAAAGTTTGTGTTTAAGAATATTATAAACTTATGCAAATGTTTTTGTTTCTTTCAGGCTCTCCTGGGAATTCATTAGTAACGTGACTTCTTATTCCAATATGCAATGTGTCATGTGCACTTTTAATAAGTACATTATTACATACAAGGTCATCGTCTAGGGTCAATTGTGATGTAATTTTTACTGTAATTGTAAATGATGTGTCATTAATTTACAAGCTATCCTTATTATTTATAGGATTTTACCTTTCTAAACATTGATCGTTATAATATACATGTTGCGTCAGTATTGTAATAATAATATTTCTGATTACATATCCATCTCAATGTACAAAAGAACTTCCGTGTGTTGTTTATTTTCATGGATTTTGAGGTACGAAGTCTAACAATGGGAACGCAGACCATGTTCACTCAAAATTTATTTCTGATCCACGCAGTTTGATCGACAATTTCTTCATAAGCAACATTTGGTGTGGCACCTGGAAAATTCAGCGACTTACGGGCGCTACAAGTTCGAGAAAACGCTCGGTTTTTCAGACCTAAACTAAACGGCGTTGTTAAACTGGTGGAACATGGTTTGCGCTCCCATTGTACACTGGATTGGTTACACATTCGTGCAATACGTAAAATGTAATCTCATGAAATTATGCTCATGCTTAGATATAAGCTTATGTCCTAAAATTAATTTAGTTTGGGAACCTTTATTCATCATTATCGTAAGAAGTAATGTACTTATGATGTACACAAGTATGCCGCCAAGCATCAAGCAACCAACAAAAAGTAACTTAATGCGTTTTACCTCAACTTAATCCGAACCTGAGCATTTGCAATTTTGTCATTCCAATCACTTGAGCATTGATTGATTACTGGGAATTCCGATTGCAATTATCAACTCCGAGGGTGGTAATAAAGCGACGATGACGAATGAACATCCATATATCCAAAATACTAACAAGGGAACCTTAAGTACTTTCACATCTCGATTTCCTTTCGGATGGTCTTAACTGATAGATAATTCAGTGAACTAAAACTTTGTCGTAGGACACACGGTGCAAAATCACGTTTTTGCGAACTATGTGGCGAAAGCTGCACCAAAAGATGCATGTTTTCTAATGCTTTTAACATATGTGTAGATAAGAGCCTTCGGAATAATGATATGAAGTTTATAAATTATATCCCTGTCCGCAATTTCATGCTGATCACCAATTTGCACAAAAACTGGAAACATTTGCCAATTTTATTTCAAATAGCGAAAGTCTGCATTCTAAATTTGAATTCCATCGTTTTTTGAAATATTAACAAAATTTAAATGTTAAACTTCTTTTATTTAAGCATTGCAAAAAAAGTTTTAAAAAAAATTATTATTATTACAACAAAATGGGTGAAAATTTTCAGAAATTGAAACTCGCAATTTTTCACTAAAAAAGATACAATGACCAATGCTATCTATTATACGTATTTATAAAAATTGTTGGCGATGTATATTTATTCTTGCAAGTTGTAAACAATTTTGGAGAATTGTATCGTCAGCTTTTAACATATTCAAAAAATAACTTTTCCATACCTCGTTCGAGATTTTAAGCTTTTTGGAAACCTGGAAAAAATCTCATCTGGGAGGGATCCTGTGGGTTCCCTCCAGTATGGCATATACATAACAAATAGGACGGCATAAATATAGGATATATTTATGCCGTCCAATTTATATGCCATACTGGAGGGACCCCACAGGATCCCTCCCAGATGAGATTTTTTCCAGGTTTCCAAAAAGCTTAAAATCTCGAACGAGGTATGGAAAAGTTATTTTTTGAATATGTTAAAAGCTGACGATACAATTCTCCAAAATTGTTTACAACTTGCAAGAATAAATATACATCGCCAACAATTTTTATAAATACGTATAATAGATAGCATTGGTCATTGTATCTTTTTTAGTGAAAAATTGCGAGTTTCAATTTCTGAAAATTTTCACCCATTTTGTTGTAATAATAATAATTTTTTTTAAAACTTTTTTTGCAATGCTTAAATAAAAGAAGTTTAACATTTAAATTTTGTTAATATTTCAAAAAACGATGGAATTCAAATTTAGAATGCAGACTTTCGCTATTTGAAATAAAATTGGCAAATGTTTCCAGTTTTTTGCATATTGGTGATCAGCATAAAATTGCGGACAGGGATATAATTTATAAACTTCATATCATTATTCCGAAGACTGTTATCTATCTTAAAAGCATTGGAAAAATTGCACCTTTTGGTGCAGCTTTCGCCACATATTTCGCAAAAACGTGATTTTGCACCGTATGTCCTATGCCAAAGTTTTAGTTACACTGAATTATCTATCAATTAAGACCATCCGAAAGGAAATCGAGATGTGACAGTACTTAAGGTTCCCCTGTAAGACGGCATATCCGCTATGACAGGATCCGTTCCAAGCAGGAGCCAAAATGGTCATAATACTGACACAGGTTAGATTGGATGGCAAAATGTCTTGTCTTTGTAAATGGTCCTTCAACCTGCATGGATTTTCTGATATATTCATGTGTCTCCTCAGTCGTGAAGCTATTGATGTTCGTGAAAATATTCATGTGAAAAGAGAAAACTCGAAGAGAGACAAAAAATGGGACCAGTTTTCTTTTGATCTCTCGGGTACGTGGATGATGATGCAGTGCTTTATATTAAGCTTGTTGTCAACTTAATGTTCCCCGTCTCCATTACAATTTGGTCCCCAATTTTAGAATTGGCAGGGCAATGTGTTGTGAAATATAAGATGCAAATTACCGCATGCATAATCATTCATGTGCATAAAGGCTGCAACAGAAAATTATGAAATGGTGATGACATTTCTGCCAAAAAAGTTAGTCATTCATAGTGACGTACAAACAAATTGTGTGTAAACTAAAGTTCTCAATAATTTTGCATATTCCAAAATCATGATCGAATAATATGAATAATGTCGCTCCGCTGGTTTCGAGGGAAGAGTAAGGAAGCCGCACATCCGGCCTAACCGATAAACAAACCGATCACGTAATAACGCACTGCAGTTCACTCATACCGCATGAATATTTCATTAAATAGTATCGTTATGCTGTACATATTATGTCCGATAGATTTGCAGTGAGACAATTGCATGGACCGATCTGCGTAAGATTCCCAACCCACAATGACATTTCTTGTATTACACAATTTCGAACATTGCTCGCATTTATGTATCGATATTTGCACTCTGTGGGGATAAGTTTTGTAATTTTAGTGTTAAAGAAACCGCAGTGTGTTAACCGCATTTGCTCATACGTATTGTTTTTCGTGAATTTTGCATTAAAAAGTGGTGAACTGAGCTGCAGCTTGTGAATCAATTTCTAAATTTGTTTGGTCACATCAATATCACCAAATTAGGACGCTTTATTGTCCTGTCACTTTTCCTGACTGTGACGCATTTTTCTACACTTGGAATAAATCTGTAAAACCAACCACTGTGATTTTTTACATTCTTTTACCTCAAGACTGAACAGAGTCATTTCACAAACATATCTACACGTGCCAAACGGATTCCCAGAGCGTTTCCATAAATTCGCATCTCATTTCGTTTCCATCTTAGTCTAAAATTCCAAGCCATTTCTACCCAAGAATCTAGCAAAGGTTTCCTCCAGAGCAATGTTTAGTGTGGCGGATCTGAAGTCATTCTTGAAGATCGGACGAATATCGATAGACAATTGGGTTTTCGTCTTACATTACAAACTTACTGTTATAATACTCATCGTGCTTTCAATACTTGTTGGCTCAAGCCAATATTTTGGGGGTGAGTTTTAAACTAATCTTTACATGCAGAATATTTAATAAAATTATTCTTAATTATGCATGTGTCCTATGTGCAGATCCGATTGATTGTACAATTCCACCAACTGAGATATCAAATTATGTCGATAGTTACTGCTGGTTTAATGCCTACACCTTAGTTGATGAAAGTAAGTTCAATCTGCATGAGTTCTGTATGCTGTAGAAGCGAACTAATTCCTTGAATGTATTTCCCTTGTTCAGACGGAAATGTTTTTACCCAAGTCAAGAAATTAGAACTTCATAATAGAAAAATAAGCTCCGGACAGTACTCGACAGATATTAAGCATTACAAAGAAGTTAAGCAGAATTTTTACCAATGGATCGTAAGTCCCCCATCTTATTCCTTATTGCATAATTGTCAAAGTTAATGATCTTCACTATGTATAAATGTACGTTGCAGGGAATGGTCCTTCTTATCCAAGCAGGGTTCTTTTACGCCCCCCGGTTCATCTGGAAGACGGTATTTTTAAATTGTTAATATCGTTAAGAAAGGGGGATTTTGTATTCTCTACTTTATATTACTTTTGCAGCTGTTTGAAGAAGGTCGTGTTAAGGAACTGGTCAGAGGCTTGGAAAGTCACATCACAGAAGACTCTGAATTTGAAAAGCGTCAAGAAAAAATAATTGAATATATCAAAAACAACAAAGGGCATCACTTATTTTACGCCCTCAAATTTTTCTTCTGCGAAGTGCTCAACTTTGTCAACGTTATTGCTCAAATAATACTTACTGATTGGTTCTTGGGCCATGCGTTTCTCAAGTACGGCCTGCAATGGCTGTGGTACGACTCTAGTGACGACGTCGGTGAAGTTTTTCACCCAAGCCATCGGTACTTCCCGAAGGAAGCGTTGTGCCGAGTGTATTTTGGTATGAGTTGCAGATATTATTGATACATTGGAAGTAAGCATGAGTTCACAGTGAAAGTGTGTATCTCGTTGCAGGAAGTCCTACGGGTGCTGAATCAAACTTTTACTCTGCCCGGTGCATTTTACCGATTCAGGTAATAAAAGTTTAACGCGTTATCGTACATAATTGGTGAAAGCTAATGCCTAATGTGAAGTTTATATTTTTTTACTATGACCCATGACCCAGATCTTTAATGAGAAGATTTATTTATTCCTGTGGTATGTAAAACACTTTCAAATTAAAGTGAAACTATGCATTCTGATAATAAATATGCATGTAACAATTTTGCAGGTTTTACTTCATCATTCTCGCAGCAATTACCGGATGTATGCTGGTATACAGGGTGATTGTCCTCTTATTTCCCGGCGTCAGGTACTACTTATTCTGCAAGAAAGCCTGGGCGACAGACGAAAAAATTCTACGAACTGTCGTTTACGACTTTGATATTGGGGATTGGTTCATTGTAAGATAAATGTTTATACTAAATAACACGAATAATAATATGCAAATATGAGTTGGCATAATTCATGTGTCAATGTAATTATATACAGATTTACCAGATGGTAAAGAACACGGATCCCTTTGTGTTTGCAAAACTGATGAAAAGAGTGCATGAAAAGCTGGTCAGTGGTTCTAGAGCATTTTCTGCCATTGGAGGTGGAGAAGAATCCCATGACCAGCTCTTGGACGTGTACGCGACAAATGCAAATTACGACATTGACGAAAAGCATGAGAAGTTAAACTTAAATCAGGGACTCGCACGCCCATATTTCCCCAATAATTAAGGAATTGATGGAACATGTATAAGTAATATTGCTCAGAAACTTTACAAAGCATTATGAATTTAATAAACAAACTACAAACTGGTTAATTCATTGTGATACAAAAAATTGAAAAAGTGTATTTAATTTTAAGTTTCCGAATTGCATTATAAACATTCAGAGCCATCGATGTCTTTACACTGCTTAACGAGTTTCATGTTCAAGAATTAATAAAGGCTTTTCATCTGCAGAAATCATATGTGTTGATCTTCTGCGTCTTTGTAAGTGGCGAATTCTTTCACAGTATCCTCCAAGAATTGATTTTATTGCGACAGTGTCGACGTTATCGACCAATTGAAGTAGAACAAACCAATCTGCATGCGGTAAAAATTTGCAAATGTTGTCAACACAGTCCGTGCCTTCTGGATGTTGATGATTCGAATAATTGACGGGACAAGCCTTCCACTTGAGAAGAGATGATCTAACTCGGTGAAATATAGTAGATGCTCGAAAGATAAGCCAACCCAGAGTAATAACGGCCAGAATTAAATACCAAAACCTGGAGGAAAATACATACTTTCACTATAAACTCATTTCCAACGAATTAAAGTAGAAAGCGTACCATAGTGTAGAAAATATGACCTTATTAAAAGAGTTGAGTGGCAAGACCTTAAATGTACATATTCACTCCGGATTAATGAAATAATGAGGTAGCCACGCAATAATAAATATCCATGAATATTTCTCATATTTAGATAATTCTTACACATAACGCATCGAAAGGCTGCACGTTTCCACTGGGTCCAGTAACTCTCCATGTGCACTTTCCCTGACTTGGAAATAACTTTATCAGGACAATGGAGTGGTACCCATTCTTGAAAATGTCTGGCCCAAGGCTCCAAAATAGCCCGTCAGTCACCCAGTTTGTCAGCCACACGTTAACCAATAAAAAAACGAAATTAGCATATTCGCACAAATATAATCGGTACGTGTAGTATTCATGAGCATTTGTTTCGAAAGCCTCAAAATAATCCAAAAGCAATTGTACGCGAGTCCTCCTACGATCTGTATCTAATGTTGGTTCCTGAAAAATCGTATTTTAATAACAACAAGCACAATACATATATTTATTAGTGACAGTAGAACGAAAATCATACCACAGGAATATTTAGCATCGTGGACAATCCCTCCATTTTCCCAGATTCCCAGCTTTTCCAAAAATAGTGTGGAATATAAGCCAGAACAGCTTGAATAATTAAAAGTAGACTTGTCCATCGGTAATATAATTGAAATCGTTGTGTGTTGAAATTAGGAATAAATTGTCCTATCCCATCCTCCAGCTTATCTAAACCTTTAAATACATAAAAATAACAAATGGTTTAATAATTTAAACTATGACTTCTGACTCGTATGATATTTCACATACCGATTCTTTGATTTGTTGCATAAAGCTCGTTGACAGTGTATGTTGCCGAGACCCAACAAAAATTGTCAATGCTTTTTTTAGCGGAATCCGATCTGCTGTAATCGTTTGAAGCTATACAGTCAATTGGATCTATTTAGGAAGGACAAAGCTATTGTTAGCCATTAGTTGTTGGACAGAAAAAATTACTGCTTATCGCTAAACCTCCGAAAAATTGAGATGTAATCAAAATCGAAGTTGCAACCAATAACAATCCCGTCGTAAAGATATAGTACGCTCTAAAAACATGGTTATCAATATTTGCCGTTGTCCCGCTGGAAGAAAAGCCTCTTATTTCATTTAAAAGAGTTGCCATTTCTACAAATATTTGCTTCAAAGATAATAATTAAAAATCAATGTTTGCGTTCCGATTAGCTAACGCTTTATAAGAAAAACTAGAACTTATATTTGACGAGTCAGTGACAAGGAATTAATTGCTTCCTTTAACAGGAAAACTTTCCTGTAAATTCCCAATGAATAAGTGAGAAGCCTGGATAATAATTAATCATACTTACACACCAGATAATACCACTTTTGTGGTCAAGCTAAATATTCAGGGTGGGTCATGTCTGCACGAACGTATGTAAGTATGCAAAAAAAAACAAAAACATTTGCACGAGGATGAACAAAGGAGCATTTCATGTCGCATTTATGTATCTAGCCAACATTTCCTGTACATATGTACAAATGAATGATTCCCCGGTAATACCCGGGCTCTGGAAACCCGGGATCGCCCGATAAAATCCAAACTTTACTTTCACAAGTTGCTATAACCTTGACATAAATTCATGTAGGCTAAAACGTAGTAGGATATTTATTTTTCTTTTGTATTTTAAAATTTATTATATTGCTAATTCTCGACTTTTTAAAATCTTTTTTTATGCCAAACTTTTATATTAAACTTAAGTATCCATTAAAGATAAAATGTGTACATATACAATCAAAACTTTCAAATCCTTAAAATTAAGGTTGAACGAATTTTTTTTCGTAATCAGTCTTACAAACAAGATAGATAAGTAATAGAAAGGGAATTAAGAAGCGTGCTGCAAAAATTACATGTAACGTTGTCGTCAGGTACCTGAAAGGCTGAATTAAACCGTGTTACACAACAATGCGTCTTGAATGCATTTTTTGCAGCCCAACCACAACACTGCACTGAAGAATTTATAGTGACCTGTTTTGTGCAACTGAGACTTACATTGTTTGTGCATTGGAGGAAGTAGTGCTTGAATATGCAAAAAAAATATACGGAAATGCATTTGCTCCAATATGCAAGGTAAAATAAGAGCAGCATTCGATTTTATTTCGAGTGAATGTACCTGAGGCATTATTTATCGCGCTGATAGTTTGCCGAGAGACTTATTAGACTTGCGAATATGTGATCCAACTTTTAAACCAGTGATATTGTGATTGATACCTGAAAACTGTATTATTAGTGAATTATTCCTGGAAGTAGTGCGTGTTTGCAAATCTTTGATCCAAGCAAGATGATGCAAACTATAAACGGAATTATGGAACCCGTGTTCCTCTCTCGTTAAGAAAAAACGACACGTGTGTCGCTTTTAGATATGAACAATGAGTCAAAAAGTGTTTCGTGTGTTGGTTATTTTCAGACAACTCTCAATCTGCCGGACGTTACACGTTAATTTGGATAACCCAACATGTAAGGCCGTCCTCGCAATCAACATTGTAATTTGAGTCGTTTCATAACCTAACTTCCAAGTTTCAAACACGTGTCTTAATTATTATTTGACGTATGCGAGTAATTATAGTTCGTTTATCTCTATTAATTGAATAATAATGAAGCTCATCCCATTTTTCTCGTACACGCAAGAAAATTAAATCTATTGCGTTGAATTTTTATGAAATCTTTTGATTTATTTTATGCTGCAATGGAAGAGATGCGTATATTTTGATTTATAGCATTCATCACATATATGTACACCAAAAACTTATTTTAAGTAGGTACTTATGTGCCCATGTGTCTTGTAGTTTGATACGTTACTCATAAATGTCAGGATCAATAGCAAATTGAATTTTATCATCTATCCGAATTTGTATGTATTTACTAAAGGACATTAAATTTGATGCATCCTTATCTTATTTCAGTGACAGATATTATTGACATTTATTGCATTGTAATCAGTACATTGCACAGGGATATACTAGTGGAATATACACAACTCTGATGTTACGTATGTAGGCAGCAATATTTTTTCGAGAACAACAAGCGATTACATGTAGGGAAAAATGCAGCTCAAAATTTCTGACCACGTTAATAATTTTACAATGGTTTATAGTTAAATTGTACCAGGCACCTAGATTCATAGATATGTAAATTACACTTTATATTGGCGTCATTGCATTTTCTTCCCATTAATGACTTTAAAAAATCCTTTATAATTGTAATTTCCATTGATTACTGACTGTCATGCAAAGAAAGGGTTTAATCAGCACGCACTCTTGTTTTTGTATTTTCTGTACTCTGTAAGGCATTGTTCTTCTTCGCATTTACATACATGCGCTGATCCAATTCTCTACTTTAACTTACCTTTGCCAATTATTTTCAGATTCAGAAGATCTACTCTACTCACCCACCATATGAATATGCAATGGCCATGAAATCAACGTGCCGGCAATCCCGTGCTGTATCCTACGAATCTACTGCTGCTACATATTTACTGGACTCTTACCTCTTCTATCAGAAGACATTCAACTGTCCTCGGTCATAAATAAAATTATTTTTAAACATTGGCTTCGTCCAAGTATGCATGAACCTAATTCTGAGGTCAATATGGTGTGAACCGACTTGGAATTCCTGACCCTTCTCTTATGAGCTCAGCGAGTGAGTAATTTATTTTAAGCGTTATTCAGAAACCCGGAGCAGACGGATTATTGTTTACCGAAGAAGGGTTGATCCTCTCACCAGAATAAACCTGTCAATTTAAAGCTAGTCTCAACTGGAAATATCCGGCTATACGCTAAATAAAATCTCATTATCTGGAGCACAAAATAGCAACGGTGACGTCAAGTCAAAATTTCACTCAAGCGTCCAGAAGACGGCATACATGGATTATAAGGATATCTTGCAACTTAATGCAGGCACACGGATGCAATACTTTCAAGTCGACGAAGGATCAATCAACTATCATTCAATTCCTTGTTGATCAACAGTCCTTTTGGATCATAAAATCAGTCAGTCAATCAATCAAAACTACTACCACATGGATTGCATTGTGTACGTTCGTAGTAGTTGTTTTGCATAACTCGCCGTTTTATTTACTACGATAAGCCGACACTCGAACCGTTGAACAATTAGTTTTTCATTTCAGGTCAAGCACATTAATATTTGTTGATGATTGATATGTCGAACCTTTAAGCTCTACTCACCACAACGTGATTGGGTATTGTGTGTGAACTTTGGCTGGGGAAAGTGTACAATATAATCGTATCAAGAAAAACCAACACCACGAAATTGCGGTGTTCAGCCTTTGGAATGTGCTATTGACTAGTGATCATCATCAATGTCATCATCACACATACGCGTTTAGGATCTGCCCTAACCTGCACCCAATTTTGTGTATCTAAGTATATACGGCCGCTAACAAACCAATGTGCATGCGTTGTAATATTTAAATTAGCTTGGCTAAGTCTTAAGTAAATGTTGATACCCTGGACCCGTTTGCGAGGAGATACAATACATGAGCCATTAAGAGGCAAAAGCTGAACGGTGCTGAACGAAAGTTTTAATATATATCAGCCGAATTGTTGCCTTTGAGGGATTCGACAAGTTGCACTGCAACTGGACACATCTACTATCTGCTTCCATAATTCATCTCAAAATTCAAATTTAGGAGAGTTTTATCGTCGTCTGAGAGCAAATAACTCGTGCTTTTTGCATAAAATATTACCAAATAATAAATAACCAGCAGTCAATTGAGTATACAAATTCGACTCGAAAACTACCCCACAAAGTTCATTCCATAACATTTAATCTCCAAAATGAAGAGACATCGCGAGAGGTGAGTTTTCTTACTTTCTTTTTAGTCGTAATATCATATCCCAAAATAACTAATGCCCACGTAACTGTTTCTATTTTGTGAAACACTTCGGTCATCTTATCCATATTTAATTATCATCTACTTAGCACATGCATTCAATTTTGCTAGTTATTCATTATCCACATACGATACATATGTATACACATGCATATTAAATAAGCAAGTAAAATGGACAATATTATGCCAGAGGTTGTTGTTGAACTTGTAAAATTACTGTGCAGACTGCTTGGACCCTGTTTACCGTTTCAGCATCAAAAGTTGAAAAACAAGAAAAAAAATGATTAATGAGATTATCGATTCATGTTTATTAATAATCTCATATTTTTAGCAATAACTTTGGTTCAAACTGGTCTTGACTAGTCAACACTCAATATAATCTGAATTTTTGCACTTGAATGAAAAGGTTACGTCAAAATTGACAGAAGCACGAACAAGTAGAATGATAATGCATTGATAAATGTCTCACATGAACTTGTCGAGTCACTGAGATTTGATAAAATGGGTAAACGAATTATAATTTCAAGGATGGTGGTCCGGATGATGATGAGTTAGGTGAGATGAGAATTATCTCATATTTACTTTCAACAATGATACTCAGACTGATGAACTTGATACCGTTTCGAATCCTTGACCTCAAAAACTGTGTTCTGTTTTTCACTTTGTATTTGAACAATAATGTTTATTGGCATCGATCGATTTGGATACTTTCCAGGGCCTTTAGGCATATTCGGAAAAATTGTGTCTCTGTACATATGAAGGCATGCCGGACAGACTTTAAAAATATCTATTAGTCACTGTTTTTGCAGGCATACTTATTTATCGCCTGTATGCAAAAAATGAGTATGACAGTCAAATGTATGTTGTTGAACAGACTTATGTTAACTATTAAATATTTGCTGCGTAGCTAAATAATTATAAATTTATTATATAGTAACAATTGAGTTTGTTCTTGGTTGACATTTTTGTTTGGTAGTAAGTATTTCCTGGTACATGCCAGGCGACAAACTCGATTTGCCTTGAAGCTTTTCTTATTTACAATAAGACTCTGAAATACTAAACTCTAGTTCAAAGGAAAAGTCCATTTTACAGACAAGGAAAGTATGAATATGGCACATTTTTTGGTAAAGGTTACAATTTCTTTTTAAAGCTAATGAAAATTTGTAAGACACATATGTCATATCCTCGATTCGGCTATTTGTCATTAACGGAATAAGGCCAGGGCCTGATAGAACTGGTGGAAGTCTCACTGGCGACATAAAAGTGCCGTGAGTGCCCAATCTGGTTTTATTTTTATTCTTCGTCCCTTCTGTACTCCCCTAGTGAACAGAGTCATCGAAAGTTGACATCGAGACAATAATTAACAAACTGCATACATGTAAACTGGTACAATCCACACTGAACGCGTTAAATTGCCTTTTATGCATACTACATACGTACTTATGTCTGTCGAGCTTGACTGATTGTAGGAATCTCCCAGTTGTATCTTTCAATCGTCATTTAAATATGTGCATTCATAAAATTTGGGAACTCCAAACAGCAAATAACACTCTTTGTTTGGTAAATTTTTCTGCATGCATTATAAAATAAAATATACATATTAATAGTACAGAGTTGCGCATATTTTGCCACTTGAGCCAGATATGTATAATGTGCAAGAGTTATTATTCTTGCCAATTAAGGATCGATTAAGACGAGATGTCATATCGAACCAAATTAAAATTTTTGGCATCACGTTGAGGTAGTCAAGTTGGAGACGTTTACTTGCCTGCGGAGTTTTCATTGATATTTGAAGTACAATCTGTAGCAATAGTTCTGCAGTTACATATATGCGTTAATGTTAATCGTTATAAGTTATCGAACTTGAAATGCGACACTTGTGAAAATCATGTCGTTTGAACAGTGTCGTCTGTCTACTTGCGTACTTACTGCTCAAATCTAAAGTCAGATTTGTTATATATCGACTCAGTTCAATTTCATAGGGTTTCCTAATAGTCGAAAAGTAATATTATAGCTACGAACGAATATAACTAATGTGAGTTTCCGATTAGTAAATTTAATTATATAATTATGTGAATTGTAAATACTCAAATTTTCTCACAAACCGTGCTAAATAATTGTGATTCAAACGCTTTACAACAAATTACTCTTTTTAATGTAATAGATCTTCGTTAACAAAGGAGGAGGGTGAAGAGCACGAACAAATCCGTCTTGTGCATACTCCAGATCTTCCAGTGACGATTGTCAAAATGAATGACTTTTCCGCAGCAAAGGACCAGGCAAATTTTGTCATGAAACACAATAATTCTTTCTGCAATACTGCGACTGACATGTCCAACGAGTATTTGGAAAAAGCGTCACCACCCAATCCAAGGAAAATTTATGCTGACTGCATTCTCCGAGCTTCTGAATCTCAAAAATGTAAGTTTAAACAAATTTTGAAGTATGCCGAGAACTTAAGTCGTTAGAATTAATACTTGGAATATGCAAAGCATTCAAGCATGATATAAATTAGACTTAAGATTCTACCAGCATTTACCTAACTGACATTCTTTAGTAATTGATTCCATGATTTCTCATAACAAGTATTGGCATAAAAAATTATTTGCATTAGCTTCCATTAAATCTTCGATGAGATGCAAATGTACACCTTTGGAATGGTTTCTCACCTTATTCCCCATCTTCTCCTGGCTTCCGAAATACAACTGGAGGACAGACTTATCATTTGACTTAGTGGCTGGAACAACAATATGTGTCATGCATATTCCACAAGGTCAGACATTCGCAATTTGTTTACAACGATTTTAATAATTCATTCAACTTATAAATAACTTTCATTATATTATGGCACAAAATGACAGCATAATAAAAAAAATTCCATGATGATGATGATTGAATAAAGTTCCGGAATAATTCCATTTCTGTTCTATTTTTAGGCATGGCTTATGCTCTTTTGGGCAATTTGCAGCCAATCATAGGTAATTACTTATAAATATTGAATATTCTTTAAATCTTACTCTATGAATTTGAGACAAATTCCTTTAAAAACTTAAGGGATCTACATGGCCTTCTTTCCAATCATCGTTTATTCCTTCATGGGTACATCCAGGCATGTTTCAATGGGTAAGTACATATTTAGCATTGCGAGGTTGTATTGTTTGAAACATGTGCAGTACATACATATTTACTTATCATACTATTATTTCTATGTGGAAACAGGGACGTTTGCAGTAGTTTGTCGTAAGTATATTCACAATCTCAAGCAACAATTTCATCATAATTTCCTTTGACTAAATGTGTATTACTGAATGACGTAGTTATGACTGGTAAAGTTGCGACAGAACGAATGGTGAGTAACAAATTTGAGCGTATGGATTTACATGGAAAAAAATTACATGATTTTTTTTTGGCGTCGTAGGCTTCTTATGCTGCTGTCCAGCTAAAACTTAACGACTCGGCTCTGCTCTCTGAGCTGTACTTGACCGACGATGAAACGACGCCTGGCTCCCCATATACATCCGAGCAAATTGCGACTGTGATTAGTTTTTCTGTGGGAATATGGCAGGTAATGATAAGCAAAGGTCATCATGATTGTCATCAAGTTGTTTTATTTATAGTTTATGTGTACATATTTATATCCTTTGGACAGATCTTGATGGGTACTTTGCGGTTGGGGTCACTAAGTGTCCTGCTTTCTGCAGAACTTGTGAGCGGTTTTACCACAGGCGCGGCGGTATGTGGGCTAAGGATATTGGCAAAAATACAGTCCAACCACTCATGATAATAATCTTTCCCACAGGTTCATGTCCTCACTTCACAAATTAGAAATCTCCTGGGACTCTCGCTCCCAAGACGAAATGGGTTGTTCAAGATCCCACTTGTACGTAATACGTAATAATAAAAATATATTTGTACATATTTTACATTCTAGTCATATCTTTAAGCGCAAATACGAGTGTGGTGTGATATTTCAGACTTATGTTGATATAATGTGGAATTTCGGCAACATCAACGTGACTGCTGTCTTGTTTTCCGTATTTACAATTTCCTCTTTGGTGATTTTCAATGAGGTTTTAAAAGTAAGTTGTAGAATATTAATAGCCAACCTCTGAAGCACCTAAATATTTCATCATCAGTTTCTTAAAATATGTGTATTACTGGATGGTGTAGTCTAATCACGTGTGTTCTCTCATTCTTTTAAATCACAGCCTATTGCTGCAAGGAAAATTCCATTTCCTATTCCGATCGAATTATTTACAATAATAATTGGTACTTTGGTCTCCAAGTATTGGATAACATCGAAAGAGTATGGCTTCCCCATTGTGAACCATATCCCCACAGGGTGAGCAAGCGACAAATGATCTATTTTCATATTCGAGACGCTTCTTTACACTCAATATGCATGCATCCAATTAATTAATATTCATGTCAACCTTCCAGACTGCCAACACCCTCCTTGCCACCAATAGAAATCCTTCCAGACGTTATTGTCGATAGTTTTGTTATCGCCCTCGTGGCTTTTGTGATTTCTGTGTCAATGGCAAAAATTTTTGCAATCAAACATAATTATCAAATCAACCCGAATCAAGAACTTGTAAGTCCCACGTTGATTATCATCTGTTGATATAATTAGCATAACATTAATTGATATAATTAATGCCTCGTTTATAGATAGCCAATGGAACGAGCAATTTTGTGGGGAGTTTATTCATGTGTGCTCCCATCTCAGCGTCTCTGTCGAGAAGTTTAATTCAGGAACAGGTCGGGGGCAAGAGTCAGATAGCCGGACTATTTTCTTGCTCCCTGATTGTTATTGTTCTCTTGTGGATCGGTCCATTCTTTGAAACTTTGCCACATGTAAAATTAGCAACATAAGTAATGATTTTTTAATATGCATACAAGTATTATGGAAAATGTAACTTAAATTACAGTGCGTCCTATCTGCCATGATCGTGGTTGCTCTCAAGGGCATGTTCCTACAATTCCTTGACCTCCCCAAGGCCTACAATGAGTCTTTGCTGAACGCTGTGGTCTGGGTGGCCGCATTTATCGCTACTGTTTTGTTAGACATCGAATACGGTCTGGGGGTTGGGTTAATTTTCTCCATTTGCACCCTAATTTTCACTTCGAACAAACCTCACATTAATGTTCTGGGGACATATGCTGACTCCAACGTTTATGTGGACGCGAGCATGACACAGGTATTTTGCTCTTAAGATTATCTGAAAATATCAATTGCATTGAAAAATTGTGCGTATGATTTTATTCAGGCCAAAGAAATTCCTGGAATCAAAATAGTGAAATACACTGGAAGTCTCAATTTCGCTACCATTGAACTTTTTGTAGAAAAGCTTCAGCTAATCATTCCTCCAACGGAACCAAAGCGCAAAAAGGTTCGAATTCTTAACTAGTCTTGCCTTTCATACATGTCGGACTTACAAAAATAAATTCTATTAATATGTAGGGTGCCAATAATTTGGGTGGAATTATCGTAAGCACAATATCGAAGGAAAAAATCAATGACAATGTTTCTATTGATGACAATCTTTGTGACTTTCACCCTGCAATGGTTCAACTACAAGAATCAGTATGTCCAAATTAGTTGCATAAATTATAAATTAGTACTACGGTAATCAATGTCACGTGATTTGTCCATTTGCAGATCTCTTGGATAATTTTGGACTTTTCAAGTGTGAGTTCAATTGACCCTGCAGGAGTTAAAGCACTGAAATCTTTGACCAAAACATACTTGAAAAAAGACATTCAACTCATTTTCGTTGGATGTGCCCCTTCTTTATTTCAAGTAATGGAACGATGCGAACTTTTAAGCCAAGCCGGAATAGAACACTTTTTCTCTACTGTACATGACGCAGTGACATTTTGTTGTGTGCCAAATTTCGAGCAGATAAATAACAATGCAAACCAAGCAATGAGTCCAGATTCAATAAATATTGACTGTGTGACAACAAATGTCCCATATCAAGTGATTCAAAATTCAATTTTTGAAAAGATACCCAACAATACCTGATTCGTACCTCGTGTGATGTAGAAATGTGTGATTGTTACAAAGTATAGTTACAAAAAAGTTACAAATAAGCTGAATAGAATTTTGAATGAAACTGATACAATGAAACAAATGTACCTGCAATTGCAAGAACTTCAAACGATCTTATTTTGTGACATTTTATTTTATGTAATTTTAGTGGTTGAGGATATAATTTTTTTTAAATATTTTAGTGTACGTAGCCTAAACTGGCTTAAATGAAAATGTGATGACAATATTTAAGGCGTTATTTATTTATACAGGGAGAATAGTATTTATAATGCACAAAATCAGTATTATCTGCTATTCGTACTTAAAAAAATAAAAGTATAATGCCATGCGAATTAATAAACCCATATGCAGCCCATCATTTAACAATGACGATAATTACGAGGTCCATGACGTTAGTTTCTGTATGACCAGTTATGATATGATATGCTCCGTTGCTGTTATATTTGAAATATTGGTACGAGTTATTTTCGCGAAGGTATTCCGAAGGGGACAAATGGTTGTCGTAACCTCGTTGCAACATGGACGAGTCCGCCACTGCTCCGGCAGCTTGACACGGTCCATCGTAACCGTCTGTCCCCGCACTGAGCAACGCTACCTTTCCCTTTACGTGCAGATTATTTGCACAAGTGTCGATTTTCATTCCTGCGGATAAAGCCAATTCTTGATTTCTACCACCAATACCTTTACCAACGACGTTGACTGTGGTCTCGCCGCCAAATAAGATGCATACTCCGTCAAATTTTGACTGAATTTCAGGATCCTGTACAACCCTCACCAACTCGTCAACCTTCTCTCTTTCCAGACTCAGTTTTTCTGCAGCGTTATAAATCGTGGAGGCATAAGCAGATATAAATTGGTCAGACTGTTTGGCTCGGAACAAGTATGAAATGGCTTGAGTGGCGTGACCGAGTAGGTCTCCTACTTCTGAGGCATTGCCAGACAATGTTTTGGTAACAATTAGTGGATAAAGGTTCAGCCGTTTTGCTGCTTCGGACCCTGCTTCAAGTGCTACTGTATTGTTGCCAATTATAATGTTTGTGACATTTTTTGATTTGGGAGGGGTGACAATTGGGTTTTTCAAAACTTGTTCGATACTCTCTGCAAGTGTACCGGGTTCAGAGTATTTGTCTATAATTTCACGTGCTCGAGATTCTGGATCTTTGTTTGGAACAGTGGGACCACTTGCAATGATATCTAGAGGATCTTCGGGAACATCGGAAAGAACAATTCCTATTCAATAAGTACAAGGTCACATAAGTTGATACAACGTACATAATCAATATTATGAGAAATATATCAGTTTCTGTTTAGAAATTGTTTACCAATGATTGTAGAACTTTTGCATAATGTGAGAAGTCCTCCACCTTTGACTAGTGACAACCTTATTACAATTATAAAACATACATTATCATTTAAACTCATATACATGGGACACAAATTTGTGTACAAAAGTTTAAGATTTTTTAAATCAAACCTTTTTCGAACTGTATTTAGTTCATTTATCGTGGCCCCACCCCGAGATAAAGTCTTGACCAGTGATCCTAACTCATCAACAGTAATAGGATAAAGGGGATATGAAAACAGTGCTGATCCGCCCCCAGTTATTAAGACGATAAGAAGATCATTATGATCCATATTTTGAACTAGCTGTACAATTTCTTTTGATCCCTGGAATGCGGCTTCGTCTGGAATATTATTTTTTGCCCCTCGATGAACCTCTGTACCAGAAAATCACACAGGACCAACAACTTGAACAAATACCTGCACCAAATAAAATAGGATTCTCTATTTTATCTCACGTATTCCTTCCTCAACTGGGTCTCGAAATCCATCGGGAATGTTTACCATCACTTTTTCTAATTTGTCCCCTAAAACTGCCACAACTTGTTCAGCCATGGGAAGTACGGCTTTGCCGAAGCCTGTAGTTAGGTTAAAAAATTGTATTCATGTAATTGCAGCGCAACCTGACTATCAATCTGATGATAAACTGATACTTACCCACTACATAGACTTTATTGTAGTTTTTTAGGTCGATTTTTGTCACTTTTCCATCCCCATCACTGATTATAATGTCAGACTCATTTTCTAGTTTAAATTTTTCTTTTAATAAATTTTTAGGCTTTACACTCTCCACCGCTTCGTTGAAAATTTGTATGGCCAGTTGAGCTGGTCTTTCCAGAACGGTTTCATGCCCCACGCTCATGGTCGTCAAGTAGCGTTTAGTTCCACTGGAATGATAATCGAAACACAAAAGACGAATACTATTCAAAGCAGCAGGATTATTAATTGAGGGATGTCTTAATGATGTCTTAATATTAAGTCTGGAATGTAAAAACGGCGTAGTGACAATCTTATTGACATGCAAAAGTCTGTTCACGACTATACGCATATTGGTTTATTTATTGGATGATCTAGTGTATTTAATTCAACGAGTGATTAATAATTTGATGACACAAAATTACTCTGTTACTATCGGAATTTAAAATTTGTGTCCAACAAGTTTCATGCAAAAAATGTGACTCTCACCGTCCAGTCACAAATGGTGAACAGGTTCTATCATACACTAAACCTACGTTTATACCAAGATAGTAAACAGATACATACAAATACAAGATGTGGTTACAATAATGCATTCGAGGTTCTTAGCTTAATGATAACTTGTTTATACATACTCGATCAACTTAATTGCACTAGTGCGTATGCTATTCTATGTCCTAACCTAACATATTTCTTACTTACTCGAGTCCTTATCGATTTTTTTTCAATGAATGGATGAAACAGGCATGGATTATCTTATCAATTTACACGTACATAAATATGTATTACTTATAAGCACAGGTTTCGTCTGCAAATAAATAACTTTGCAAATGCTTGAGTGAGAGTGAACAACGACTGGTACAAAAAAGTTTATTTACAAACATCGTATTTCTGAACACTACGGCACTCTTCACAAACAACTTGACAACACCACATAAATTTGCAGTTGCATCGGTGTCCTGACTTTGCAACTACTGAAGTATGTCCTCGATTGCAGCAAAGATTTTTGCAACTGTTTGGGGACGACACCGTTTTATTGCAGATTCTTCCAGACGTGCCTGAAATGGTAGGATAGCGGATATTACAGAGTTTTACATTAAAAATGGAATATAATTGTCGAGTTTATTTACCATAAATGCCAAGTGTCTCATTTTGAAAGCAATAATTGGGAGATAAGTCCGTATACACTAAATCGACCACGGAAGGAACTGGCACTCCGTTCTTCTTAACTTGCAATCTTCCTCGTCTGTTCAGCTTGACCTGTGTTGCCTTTTCGTACTGAACTTTTAAGTAGTCTCCTGAATTAGTAGTTACAAACCACGTGCGTTAATCTTCAAGAGTTCCATGAAGTAATGCATATAGTTGTTACCTATTTCTCTGAACGTCGGAATTTGATGCCAACATGTTATCAGTGCACAACTTCCACTCACGCCTAAATATTTACGTTATTATTTAGGGAAATTGTTAAAATTCATAATTTACTAAATACTATCAAGCTTATTTACCGTGACATTTGCAAGCAATTTTCGTTTTCTTTAGTACAGCTCGCCGGCCGGCCTCATTGTTGTGAAGATTAACCAATGACCGTGTTTTCCCCTTTTTGTCCACTGTAGGATTTTCTTGTTCTCGAATGTCCACAAAATTTTGTGCGAACCTGTGATACAGTTTTGTTATTTATTAGTAATAAATTATTACTAAATGACCTTGCATATATAACCTTACACTAAAATATCCATGCACAATCATTTCCAAATTAAGTAAATGAGATATCACGTTACATAAATATGTATCTCGGAAGCAATTTGTCATTGTCACCCCTCTGCTTTTGACAATATCTGCCAAATATTTAAATTTATCACTCACTTGTATCCATATTGAAGATTATCTCCACAACCACCCCAACGCCATTCATCCTTAAGGTCGGCTGGTCTTGGTGTCTTGCCACAACCACACGAAGATATTGAACCCTGCACAAAGAAAACTCTTCATGTAAACTATTGAATTTTTAGCAGTAAATAAATATGTCGAGAATGCATGGTGTGTGTGTGGATTAAGGTATTACGAACTTCTCGACATGATCTGGCCACGGCTTCCGTCACGGCTGCACTCCACACGGCTTGGGCGAAGGCTACCTCCTTGGTGCCTGCACCAACCAAAATCACCGTAAACATGTATTATTAAATATCATCATCATAACATTTGATCTATTGTCGGAACAAAAACCATAAATTGCAATTAAATTATCATGCATTTCAGAATATGAACCCCACGATTGAGCATAAATTATTCTCTCTCACTCAGTGGAATGCTCAAAGCAAGTCGCTGAATAAAATTTATAGAAATCTTGGTCGTCTTGTAAAATTAATTTAGCGATAAAATCTACATATATTCACGATAGCCCTTCCTCCTTTCAACGCCACCTGAGCTTCTGATTAATGTTCTGGCGCTAGAAATGGACTGCACAATTGGGAGTATTATAGCTTCCCTCAGAGAGAAGCACAAAATTATCATCAAAAACTTTACGATCAAGTCAAGTCTGCGTTCAACCCCAACCACCAAGAGGTGTGCACAGGGTTTAGGATTAAATGTATGTAAAAGAGCAATTTGGCACCCGATTTGGCAAATCTGTGGTCTCCCTACGCACTCAGAATTGGTGTTGCCATTAGACTATTAACTAACCATGAAGTCAAATTTCTCCCAGAAAGTATTACACAAAAAGTGGTGGTGTTGTGTTGGGCAATAAAATGAAACGAGTTTGCATTTCAACCAAAGTTTTTGTAAACTGGAAAAGTAAAAGGATGTGCCTTTTGTGTTACAATGGAGGAGTGAAAAATAACTATATACGTACGTAGTAAATCCTAATGGAGCTCTTTCATCTCATTTCATGAGAAAACAAATAAACAGTCAACTTAAGCTGAGGTTTTGTGGACGAAGGACGAATTTGTGTACGAGACAACATGATCTATCTGCAGGGCTGGAGAAACTCTTGAATAATAAAGAATAAGTAAGACATCTTCTGACTTGTTGTTATTTGTGCTGCGTGATGCATTGACATCCTTATCAACAATTGCTAGCTTAGCGTCATCAATAATTTAAGAGTTAGCACTTTTGCAGATGAAGATGTACTCGGAGGAGGGAACCCTTTCGAATGGTTTATTTGTTGGCACTCATGCTTGTTTTTCCATGTATTTATTTGTAATCACCAACCTACTTCGTACATGTATGTACGACTATCTGAGAAATAATAATGGTGTGAAAAGAGTGTGTTATTGAGATTTACTCAGGGACTAGTAAGAAGCACAAAAAGTAGGATGTTAATAGCCCATAAATTAAAACAACCCTTGGAGCACACCATAGATAAAGAGGTTAAAGTGTGGACTATGTAGGGATATAAAAACAGATAAGCTTCCCCCGTGTTATGTAAGGATTTTTAACGAAAGTAAGACTGACATTTTAATGTCTGTAGAAATTAAAGTCATGCCCAATGCAATTTCATATTTCAGAGAGTTTCGAAAATTTTGTGGGCTACAATATCGTACACAATATAATGTCGTTAGAAGTACAAGTACTAATTATATCTTTTGTTCTGTTTCGTGGTAAGCGGTTTTGCAGTTTTCGCATTTTCAAACAAAAAAAATAGAATATGAAATTGCAGGAAAAATACAACAAATCACTGAACAATAATGATTACCTCGTGTCAAGATGGAATTCCAATTTTGTGCCTTTTCCTCTTTGTCGTGATGATGATGACTATGCGAAGCTGGTTGAGTTTCCAGACTTATCTGCTGCCCTCTTTTTCCTGTTGGTGATTTTGTCATTCCGCCCATCACAAAATTATTATTTGTACTCGGATCTTCCATGTCGTTAGAAATTGAATGATTTTTGCGATTCTTTTTCTTTGACTTTGTGGTTGTGGGCAATGGGTCCGAAGAATAAAAGTCTCTCCCAAGATTCAAGTTTTCTGTCCCGTTCTGAAAATTTCTTGTCTTTCTCTTCCTCGTGGAAGGGTTAAAGTTGCCATTTTTGCTTTCACGAAGAATTCTAGATTGTGGGGTTATGATCGTGCTCGCCGTCGTTGTCGTCGTTGCCCTCTTGTCATCAGACAAAGTTGTTTTTTTCTGTATTGGAAGCACACTGCAGTTCCAATGATGATGTCGAAATTGCCAGCGACATTCTGACAAACCTAACTTTGCTCCAGCCACAACCGACCGCATGTGATCCTATAGAGTTAAAAATAATCATAATTTTGATATTATGATTTTATCGATTGTACATAGTTTGATTATACATCTACGGCAGAGTTGTTCCACAAATGCAACAATTTCACGGTGTCCAGAGTTAAGCGTATGTCCAGTAAATCAATGCGATGGTATTATTTTCTAAACTACACTGTCATTCATGATAAGTTTAAAGGGAGAAGGAATAACAAAATAGGCTGACAATTAGAGCTCAACCCTTGATTTCAAAACATACCCCCTGCTTACACCTCAGCCTAAAAAGGGTTCCAGTCAGAAGAATCCAAAGAAAGAAGCACGAGGAATTCGATTCAGGATTCAATGAGTTATCACTGTAATAGGATTATCTTCACTCCAACTATTTCTCACTCTTCAGCCACAGTCTTTCAACTTTCGGAAATTCGGGGGAGATTAGAAAATCCTCGCTGCAGGGAGCGACCGAATAATTTATTATAAGGAATGAAACGAAGGGGCGATCATGAGATCCTTCCAAATTGTATCACTTTTACCATCACGTTCACACACCACATTTCTTTTCATCCCACCTTCATGTCTCAATTCCTCGTGTAATTGCATTTGTTTGTAGTCTGAATAAACTAAAACAACGTTAACGGAATTGTAACGATTTATAAATAAATGCCATTTTTCAACCTTTCTCTTTATTTTGAACTCTTTCATCGCTTGATGTTATATAAACATTGCAATATTGGATATGTACTTAGCTGCAGAAAATACTCCATTCCAACTTTCACATACATACATATTCTCGTTACGCCCTACACGGTAAATAAACTATCTATGTAGTTCAATCCGATTGCCTATGCCGTTCTGAAAAATAGCAGGTTGAAATCAAGCAAAGGAAGGACGAGTGGAGGGCATGGTTGGTTGGGTCGTCGGCTATGGCGAGAGTGTGAGTCTGTGAAATTTATGGTAATTTCAGAATGATAAATGCACAATAAATTTTGAAACACCTTCCACCGAGAAGTAATAATTCTTTTACAGACCAACTGCTCAAATCAAAAGCACACTGCGAAGACTCAAAGATTTAGACCATGATATCAAACTTGGTTTTGAGTATCTTTCACTCCCACTTATTTTCCACGCTTTTCCATGATCCTTTGTGAGCTGACTTGTGTTACGGAAACTCGCACTGTTGTAAAAAGTTTCATTATAAATAATTCCGTTGAAGTCGGCATCCTTGCACCTTCGTATAATTCGTTCAAGTCATACACAGACGCAGGCGTTTATTGCTCATATTTATTTATTTACTGTTTATGTGAATACTTGGGTCAAAAAAATTGGATCTGGGGGAGGAAGTAAGTGCTGTGTGCATGTCAACTTGTCAAAAGAAGCGTGAAAAGTTATGATTGGTGTATGTACTTACTGTGAAGAGGAGACAGAGCTTAAGTTGGCCGTCAGTGAGACCGTCCAGCTCGTGACAACTGAAATTAAAGGTAGTTTGTAAAGGTTTATAAAGGCGAATGAAAATATTTTTTAGCAATTATTGTGCATGCATGCAATTTACCCGGGTAGACCACTCGTTGCTGTTGTTAGTAGTTTGCCTCCTGGACTTGCAATTGGGGTCACATTGTTAGAAATTGATTGCTCTGGATCCCATGTGGACAGCTCGTCATGCCACAGGTTCAAGTTTCTATAAGAGGAGAGAAAACATCAAAATCAAAGTAAAATCAGAGTAACAAACGAGCCTATGACATGTTGATAAATCTGCCATTAACTGCTCGGCAGGAATTCTTGCATAGCTGCATATTCTATCCGGCAATAAACACCACACAAGAAGAGTAAGCTTTTTATATTATTAAATTTCCCCTTAATCTGGGGATTTTATGTGAAGGAAATGTGCATGTATGTATCGTAAGGTGTGCGTTTTCCGCTATTAAAACTTGATATATGACAGGAATCAAGTATCCAGGCATTTACATTTACAGTAATAAAACGAAAGTAGAAAAGGGTTAGAACGAATGATGCGGACTTTAATAGCACTACTACTAAAATACGAATATAAACTCAAGGTGGCAGAAATGAGCTGTTTGAAATAATTCTAAGCTATACGAAACACTGAATTAACCTTAGAGAGCATGATATATATTAAAATATTGTAATTTGTAATGTTTTTGCTCAAAAAAGTATCCACCGCCCACTGAAAATGTTAATATGTATGTATCTACGTAGCACCAAATACCAATCTGTGATATTAACATAAGTAATAGACAAGTGTGCATGCACAATTTCAACCAATTCATTTTTCATCAACTAGCTGACAATGCAACTTAACCTGAATGAAGTGGTGTAAAAAGGATGAAGGGAATTAAGACAAACAACAAATTAAATTCTCCTCTTATCACTTAACAGCTTTGAAATCCTAAGGATTCACATTATGGGCGGAGCACGTGTGGTAACATACCAATTAAAATTTGATTTATTGTCGAAAGAAAACCTTTTTAATGACTTAATCGTGAAGAGTATTCCAATCAGGTACGAAAGCTCAATAGAAGTCAACTTGTATTATTGAGTTGTTTGTCAGTTAACATTTCTATTGATTACTTTCCTAGCGTACAAATCTCGTTCTTGTGCATGTGTACATATGCATACCTAAGAATATATGCATGTATGTCGTAGTCTGTTTATATTTCTTGGGATGCTTGGGCGTTTTGTACATCACAGAATTAATGAATCACACAATATTCCACGCATATCATTTGAAAGTATTGAACACGCAAACCTTTTTCATATCCTTTTTAACTCGAGGGAAAAATGTCGAATTAATCATAGCCTAATCAATCCGAGTGAGAATTTATGTCCAGAAGAGAGTTTTGGTGTGGGTTGTCATATCATATCTCAACTTCCCACAAGTTGACACTACAAATGCCAAAACATCATCATTGAAACTTGTCCCATCATCCTGTGATGCTACTTGAATCTCAATGTCCCACGTGCACTGGATGTCCTCTCCCTATGCGAGTTAACGTGTGTGCACAGAGATTTCCCATTTTTTATTAATCCCGTCTGAATATCGATTTCCCACTTAATTTTAACCTGATAAAACGGTTGAGCAATAACTCATGTTCACACAGTTGAATATTTCCTTCCATGAAAGTCACATAAAAAGCAGTTGGCACGCTGAACAAGTTTATCATTTTCGAAATGCTCACAATTTCAACATCATCAGGGAACATCTGTCTGCGTTCTTTGTGCGTTTCTATGTACTCACCTTCCTCACACACTTCCTCATCCGTATCCGGATAGAAGCCAATAAATATCGGGTTCATTTACTGCACTTTTATAATTTTTTTTACTGCCTGCTAGATACTACAACTGCCAACGAATGCAGATGTGGGAGTGTGAAAGGAGTGCAGATAATGGGACAGATATCAGTGACAATATTATACTGATATCTGTCCCATGTGCTACTTGAACACATATTACTATTACTTGCACATATTCACCTATTATGTGCATTTGTGCAGTCTTGTCAACGTTCATGAAATTTCCTGCTTTCAAGTATTTATACTTCAAAGTATGTAGAGAATTTGAGTAATTTAATTTCGTGTGATAAATCAAAACCAAATTTACACTTGTAAAGCACTGCAATATTCATGCATGTAATGTACATGCATGTACAAATGCATACGTAAGATCATCACATCCAGCAAACCGTATCATAGAAAATGTACTTCTTTTATATCTTAATTAGAAGCTCTTTGATATTAAGCGCTCTGTAGATGACATTACTTTTGTAATTCTCATTCATTCCATAGCTCAATAAACTTTGTGACTCGAACGGAGACTTTTTTCAGAACGAAGGTGAGCAAACTTAAAATGATGAGATTTTATACAGAAGTTAACGAGTTGAACTATTTGAGATGTGTAAACATTCGACAACATCATCCGAAATGCCAACCACTAGGACAAGTAGGACTACTGCTACGTACAGAAGTATGACATTCAATGACGACGATTCAAGGGAGGAGATTTTATGATGATGAGACCAACTTCTGAATGACGACAAGTCAAAGCACACAGAATAGATAGGTTTGTTGTAAAAAGGGTAATGAGGACCCATTTAAGTTTCAAAGGGATTGTCAATTTCAGTAAATGAGAGGCAATTACTGGAGAAAACAGAAGTCAAATAAATGGAACCGGTTACCATTACTCCATTAAGTCATTGGTGTAAAGATGCCTGTCCAAGTACGTAGACTGGACACACAAGTCCCCATGTAGCAATGACTTACTTTATGCATATCGTTTAATTCTCTTGGAATTAAATAAAAAGTCCTTTAACAATTTGACAGACTCAAAACGTAGCGTAAATTTAATGCGTTTGAAACGTAGTAACTGCAAGTAGTAATTTGCAACACTAAAATCCTCAACATATCGCAGTAATTTCTTCATAACGAGTACTTCATAAATAACTTAAACACGGCAGATCACGTTTCCGCTGCAGGAGGCAGTGTCAGCAGTCAACAGTACCGCAGGTCAAGTGAGACAAGATAATTTCTCTACAACAATAAATGCATGATTGCGACCAGGGTACATAATTTAATGCAAAACAGGTGACGAATACCATAACACTGCACTGGCTAAAATTCAAGAAATTCAAGCAGACAGCATAAATCAGACCAAGTTGTAACACTATCTTTATGGGGAAGCCATAACTGAAAGAAAGGAAGCTTCAAGTATGAAATCGATATTACACAAGGTTCACTCAAAATCGGCTAAACTCTTTCAACAATATAAATTGAGGCAGATAAGAACAAGTACTCACATCCAATGGGAGGCGAGTGAAGTGTGCAAAATGTTGATTAAACTGAGGATGAAAATGAGATTATGATGTTGGTGTGGAGAAGGCATTCTTCTTTGCACTGCTTTGTGATGCATTGTTTTAATTACCATGCTGGTCTTTGTCACATTTTGAATTCACACAACAACCGCACTGTTATCAGCAGAAGGAGCTGCCGTGAAGCCCTTATCCATAAGAATAAGGTGAAATCTGGTTCAAGTTTATTATGTCCATCGGCAATCGTCTCACTGCTCTGGTTGCCTCGCCTTCTTTGAGCTTTAATCACATCTTAAGTATTACGTTTCTCGCAAAACAACACGAGAATCAGGTGCAATTTGATACAAACGAGTTGTCAAATGCTAAATCAAAGGAGTAGCGCATCAAAATGAGACAAGTGACAGGTTTAGCAACACATGTCAGATTTAAACAACTATAATAACCACTTGTTAAGTCAGTCTGTGCAGAAATTTACGGATCAATTTAAATTGTCAAACACGAGACGAATGAAGAATATTCATCCATTCAAATAATTTGCACTGAGAGAGAAGCATGGATGATTTTTTCGGTATAGGTAAGCTACTGAGATCTTCAATTTTATAAGTATTTACTTCGTTTCACTTGTACTCTGAATTATTCACAACAAATGTTACTTTTACACAACCTTGGAACAACCTGACCACTGTTTTTTTTTACAAAATGCACTTAAAACTTTGATGGAATTTCGGTTAACATGACCGAGGCAACTTGCAGCGGTGATGCTTTCCCAACAACTGCTGAATCTCGATTGAGATGTGCTCACGCACAGTGATCCAACCAACTCTTACGTAAATTCTATCCCTCTCTCACCCAGCAAGCTATCTAAAAAGGAGACTTGGCTGGGAGATGATGCACATCATCATCACCATTCTCTGGCTGCCTCGCTGGTATGCAAGCAATAATGCAAGGTAAGAGTTAACTATGAGACCTGCACCAGGATTGAGTTTCAATTGAAGGAGGGCCAGGAGGAGGTGTGCCAGTCAGGCAGCAGCGTTTGAGAGATGGATGGAATTGAGATTCAATTGAGGTATTCAAGTGTCGCATAAATCACAGGGGGCATCTCCATGAGCCCTTTGTAATCATGCGAGTCCTTTGCCACCAGGTCAATTATTTATTACGACTCTTTCTTGTTCCAACTCACATTTTTACCCATAAACCACTATTATTATTCCACTCTTTTGCGCATTACGTACATACGCGGAGACACTTTAATGCTGGCAAGTAAACAAAAAAAGTGTATCGCTTTAAATTGGTCTGATCTCTTTGGAAAAACCGAGACAACATGCATGAAATTTAGAGATACAAACACCGTGCTAAATCGCCACCATTAAGGATTTGATTAAAGCTTTAACCCTTCTGCTTCTTGCATTATTTCCACCTCTCAGTTTTGGAATACGGGCGGACGGGTTCGCAAATGCTACATATTCATAAAATTCGTACCTAGTTTCAAACAGTATGATGAGCTGAAATAGTTTGTAAGGGTGAAATTGGATAAGAACCCACCCGTATTTTATCTCCATTTTATTTCCACTTCATTGTTGTTGGTTGGCTGTAAGAAATGGACACTGAAACATTAAAACGCTTCTCAAGAACTACCGACATCACCGACAAGACAACCGAAAAGAGAACGATGAGACTTTTAAAAGACAAGGATGTCCAATCCGACGACAAGCAACACTCATCACTTGCTTTTCTCGTTCCTCCTCCTCGTCCTCTTCACAATTACCATATCCGATTTTTACAAGTCACCACGATGCGATTGACAAAAAACGTGTACACAATCCACACACAGCCGATAATTTAAAAGCACATATACAGACAGACAATGTGGTCATTGAAATGTGCTAAAACCCTACTGACAAAATATTCTGAGACAACATGGCATTAAATTATGCTATATACACTCATACACATTATTATTATGCAAACAATTGTGTATCAAAATGCAGTTCTTCTAGATGTACGTTACTACTGCCTGGAATGTTCCATGTCGATTATTTTTAACAAGTGGAATGCTTATACGCAATACGCATACCGATACATTATGTAGAATCTGCGTTGACTAACGTAGAAAAAAGTTCTGACTATTCGTTTGCAGATTTTTACACTTCAACACCTGAAGCAGTCAGTTCACAACGTCTAAGTACATGCAACTACCACGTAGATAATGGAAATCAATAGTCACAGTATCAGTTGCGAAATGCTTTGGATGTGCAATTACCGGAGGGTTGATGATGGGAGCTACCATTCGAGAAAATAGCGACATTTACGATTACCATTCCATCTCGTAAGGAAACATTAAGCACATGATGAGAGATGAAAGAATGGAAAAAAACATTAACAAGAGTTCTCATTTTGATCTTTCAACCGTGTCAATTTAATTGCTCTCTCTCCCTTCTCCATCCACCCATCCATCCATCTCATCAGGAGAGTTGGCCGCCCGACCCTCCTTTGCCCCTGAAACAAAACATCATCAAACTCTGAAGAAGAAGCACACACGCTTGTAAACTGTGTGTAATAGAGGGACCATTACAATAAGGCTCCAGTCCAAAGTGAGTAGTGTTTAGTTCTCGTATTTTATCCCTTTTTCTTGTCCAGTCGGGCAATAATGCAAGGATTACCTTTACCTCTTCTTGGAGAGATAAGAAACACTTGATCTCCGACTCACCCACTACTCATCTCCTTCCGCAGCAAGGGTTTCAGACCTTGTTGTATTTCATGTATGCCCATCATTATATTGTGTTGCCCACAGCTAACTTATAGTGTGATGGTCGCAGGTGATACGCTTCGATTTCGACCAATCTTAAACTGTACAAGGTCAGAAATGTACCTTCTCGTATTTTTTGCATTTTCCAGAATGAATAAGTTTAGATTTTTTAGCCCAAATCACGGGTTTTCAAAAGCGTTACAAAATATTTTTTAAATATGTTTATGAAGCGAATTAGTCAATTTTTGAAACTGCGATAAAATTCAAAGTCTTGTTTCGAGAAACGCGTGATTTTGGCTGAAAAATTTCGTCACAGGCTAAAACGTGTACATTCTAGAAAACTCTAAAATATATATATCTGCTTATTTTTAACTTTGAATAAACTAAACTGGCCCAGTCAAAATCTGAGGGTATCATCGGGTACCTTCGTATTGCTAGTCTTTGTTCTTTCGTCTCCTCTTCTTCCATAGGTTATTACTAGTAGCTGCCAACTTACCTATAAACTTGGGATGATTGCTTGGTTATTTGGTTGGTTGGTATACGGAGAATAAAAAGTTCTTTGATGTCGGCCGAATTTATAATGCATAATTGAAAAGGGTCTTTCCGTCAGTCTCCTTCGTCACGAGTCGTTCGTGAGTGTAAACTTGTAAAATTAAATACGCTCCAATGCCCCAACCTTATTAGGATTACTTACCACATGCACTTCCATCTCATCTCATCTCTCCTCAGGTTTTATTTATTAAGATTGCCTTCACTTATTATTTGCCCGCAACAAGGAACAACAAGGGCTCAAAAACCACACCAAGCCAACCGTCGAGGTAGCAAAGAAACATGGTCTCCACTTTTACAACACGGCACTCCTGAAATCTACTTCCAATGCATCTCAAACAAAGCCATGGTAAAATATTGATGGATTTTGAACCATTATTGCTCCCCAAAAATATATACGAACACGTACATATGTACATATAAATGTAGCAAGGCATATTATTGAAAGAGGTAGTAATTACCCAGGCGCTGGGTACTCTCCTAATGTTTTTAACACTTCGGTAGTCACCTAACGCTATATACATGCATCCTGTGATTAACCGGCACTTAAGTCTAAGGGCTACTCCTCCCCGTCTCTAGAAATTTGACCCTTACAGTAAAACACAACCCAACAATTGGGAACCGGATCCCTCATAGAAAAGAATAATGTCGAGCATGTAATTATAGTCCATCCATTGATGCACTTGTAAAATGAGCCAACGCAGTACGCAGAGGCAGACGGTTTTAAATAGGTACTTGCTAACTAACTACATAACTAGAATGGTGAGGAGGCTGACAACCTTTTATCGCTGAGAATTTATCGTAATAGAATCTGCAAACAGTGAAATACATGAGAGACAACGTCATAAATTATCTTGAACTGATCTGTTGACTTATCATTTATTCAGCCAATTTGTGCTCCACAAACAAATCCTACTCTCAAGTCCCATGTGAATGCTGAATGGCATCGGAGAGTCGTCGTCGATAGTTTGATCTCTCTCTCTCTTGTTATTGGACGCTTTCAATTTAAAGGAAAACTTGGGGGATATTATTCCCATTGCTACTACTCAAGTACGTTGGTTGGTGCCTTACAATATCGTCTGAATGAATCCCTCCTCAATGAAAAGTTTGTTTTTGAAAATTGACAAGCCCTGAAGAACACTTTACTTCGTGAATACCTATTTCGGCTGTTTTCTATGTAATGCAATATTTCCCTGCAATATGTACATATTAACATATTACATATTCATGTTACATATTGAGATAAGCCATCTAGTTCAGGCTAAAAGGAAGGTTTGCACAACAAATCTCACTTTGAAGTTGCTCTTTGTAACCACTAACATGCACTCACTCACTAATCTCTTCAGAGTCATTGACAACATTTATTCCTTCCGTTCTGGCTTCACCCTCATTTTACACTTGAGTTCATCCCATGTTTCCTAGATTTTGTTATTTTATCCGTTCCATTATGAGGAGTTGCGAGTGAAACATGTAACAATATTATCCATTTTTTGTTATCAAACGTTTAGATCATATCAACGATATCCAAACAATTTTAGAATACAAACGCATCCAGCTTTACAACATATTTATTTGACAAAAATTGATTAGCCGGTTTGAAATGGGGGAAAAATGCTGAAAATGTGCATAAAAAATGGTCCGAGAAGCCCTCATAGCAGCAGCAGCGGGGGAATTCTGATCGAAATTGGAAACAATTCTTTTCTCACCCTCCCAGACAGCAGATGCACTCTTCTTCTACCCATTTAATACATTTGGCTACCCAATGAGTGACTATATATTATAATTTAATGCTTCGGAGCCGGTGTTGTCTCCCACAAAAATTCATTACATTCAACCACCAGAGAGAGAGAGGACCTGGAACCTGGAAGGGGAGAAGATGAGATAAATGCATTGTTATTCGCAGGAGCAAGCTGATGAAAAACGACCGCAGCCGAGGGATGAGATTCATTCTTATCTGACTCTCCTGCTCCTTCCTCCTCTCGAAGCGCATCTCATTCAAGACTGATGAAAGATAATTCTAAATAATTTCATTGTCATCAAACAATGAATCGTGAGACAAAATGGTAATAATTAAATTTTCTCATCAAATCCTGTAGCATAAAAAAAACTTGCTTCCCTTATTGAAAACATGGATATGGACAAGATTCCAACATAAGTTACAAAAATATATATTTTGCATCCGGCTTGTGAATCCGGCAAAATACCCGTTGCACAATGCCTCGTAAAGTTTTTTTTTAAGGTTTACGCTTTATATTCGTGACAATGCTTCATTCTCAAAGTCAAATGACATTTTTACAATGGACAATTAATTGTCATTGACGTATTGGATGAATTGAAAGTGATAGTTTGTAATAGTTGGTATTTATTTCGTATTTTATTTATTTAGCAGCGTGCATACACATACGCGTGCAAACACAGAATACAAAGAGAATGCGTAGCGACTTGTAAAAAATAATATACTAAGGACGAAGGTATCAGTGTATCCAGGTGCTCAGGAAATTGTTGTGACTCAATCTAGAGTCAATATGGATTTGTTAAAATCAAATTGTGGTTTCTGGACGCGTGGACTAGTCATTTTCATCCTTCTATTTGAAATTGGACAAGTAAAATGCAATGGAGAATTGGTTGTGTCATATGCACTGGTTAGTACTTTATCGGCACGTTTAAATATTTCTCCAAAATTGATGTCGTTCGTATTATAATACATGCAAAGTAAATATGTGTAATCAGGATATAATTTAATTTTTGTTTCGAAAAAGCCTATAAATGATGGAGCTATGAGCGATATGCACGTGGTGGTAGATTTAGCAGGATTTCAACCCTGTAAAGCTCAAGAATGTGAAACTGTATGTGGAGTCAAGAACAAAACTTTGGGCTATTGTGACGATGTCAATAAGAAGGTACATACGAATGCAGTGATGCCACTCGCAATTAGTCAATTATTGAGTTATAATTAATGATAATATGAAGCTCTACGTATTCTGTAGCTTTGTATGTGTGCAGCGGAATTATTTTACACGTCGGAATTGGAAGGAACTGTAGTGTCCGTGGACAGAAATAACTTGGAACACAAAAACTGTTCAGTAGCCTGTAACAAGAGGAACAGCTATGCTAGAATTTGGACCAAACAGGATAAGACGAATCACTGTACTTGTTTAATGCATCAAGTAATATTCTCATAATCTACTACACTTATTTAAAAATACTTATATTTTGGTCGGATGATGGGCAAATTAATTATTATACGAAAAAAATATTGCATTGGATTGTTTTTCATATTCTTAAGGTTACCTCGACAGGTATTACATTGTGTGATGAAAATGCCATATCAGATATTTGCAAGATTGTGTGTAAGTTGCATATTCTTGTTCAAATCGTGGAATCTATTTATTACAGTTTCGCTGTATTAGGCATATTTCCACCGTTTTTTTTCACAGGCCAAACCGAATCAGCAGTCTGTTCATTTAATGGAGTGTGCCTTTGTCGAAAGAACTGGGACAGTTTTTTCAAGATTGCTGTTCCATTTGTAAGAAAGGAAGCTCCGAGCGATGTCAATGAATGTTCTACAAGATGTTCAGGCTATCATCATGATTACGTCCCACGCATATTTGATTCCAAAATGTTGGACAAAAGTAGTAACAAGACGTACAAATTTCGGGAAAAGTTCTGCCTCTGGTATTTATTTATGGCTTTTGGCTTTATATAATATATATTTCTAATTTGTTTTATCACTTTCTAACTTTATTCTTTAATACATAAGCGGAGAATGGAGCGATATTGGAAAATATCCTGAAACACAGGCCATAATTAATCAAGGTAATGCGAATCATTGTAATCCTGCCTTTTTTCATAATACTTAAATAGCGAATTGGTACTCAATCAAGGCTTTCATTCATCCGATTTAAACCCCTCCCTAACCTTTTGCATAAAGAAATTCATTGTTTATGAATTTTCCCGAGTTGCTGTAAATATGCTTATGCATTATTTTCGCAGCCGCACGTATTATTTTTTAAGTATTTTATTAGCAAATATTTCATGCTTATTTCAATAGGAAAGTTATTTAATTACAACGATGACCCTGTGACCGTGGGGAAGTAAAAAAATGCCCAAGTTTTGGTTTTGACGGTTGGAGACTTTACTTGGGGCTGGGTTTCATGTATTACCACCATTTAACGCACGACCCTGTAAACGAGGTCAATGATGAAAAATTTTGAAATTTTAGTTTGGACGGTTTTATATTTTATTTAGGGTGGGCATACGAATGCATGTTCGACTTTAGCTAGGACGAAAAAAGGAGCGTATGTACATAAATGCGCTTTTGATTTCTCGCGAAATACTTTGTCGAAGGACAAACTCTTTATCCATGCTCCACAATAAAACTGATTCATCTGTAGTTGCAGCGAAAAAATCAATTTTTCAGCGGTGTTAATCTTATGTCACAAATACTCACAAACTCTTAAGTCAATTACTACTTGATTTTTGATTCTTTAGGTTTCCAATTGTGCACAGGACTCAAATGTAAAAGGCGCTGTGGAATGGATGAAGCAATTTGCGAACCAAAATTACGCCGAGGTAAATTTAGAAGTCCAATTGGGTGTTTTGTAGAATTTATATACAACTAAATTGAAAAATGGGAAAATGCAGGTTGCCTATGTAAAAGGGAAAATATCCTCATTGGCAGCCACCTTTGGAGCAGACTCCCGACGCATGGGCAAGTTTGAAATAGCCTAAGCCACCCATACGTACCCCACATGTATTATTTTCTTTAAATATTTTACTAACAAATATTCCATGCTTATTTCAATACGACAGTGAAACAAAATGCTATGAAACCTGCTCCTCTTACGGATATGATGCCCGCGTTATTGAGTGGAATCCCTTCATGGCACCCCGAGATCAAATATATGAACCCCACTACAGAAAGACTGCTTTCCAATATTTATATGATGGTGTGTACGTTTATTTATTTTTACTTTTTATTGTAACAGATGCAACCGACAAAATTAAAGTTAGAAACGTGTACATACATATGTACGACCTAACCGCTTTCTCCTGCTCCATGCGGTGTCGTATTTGATAATTTTCTGGAAATTTCAGGGAAATTTTGTCATTGTATTAAGGCACAGATTGACATGCATCAGTATAGACCATGTACCGACGAGTTATGCAAAGCCATTTGTGGTCATTACGAAGCTGAATGCGACAAACGGACTAGAAGAGCATGTTTCTGTAATACGCATCAGCTTGCACACGGATTGGGCAGAAGGCCCGACCCTGGAGAGGTAAATTAGCAAAGAACATTTTCAAGGCAGCATGGTTAATGCATGCGCAAATATCGTTGAATTCAGGATAATTGAGCTTTCATGAAAATCAATTTTTTATTCACCTCCAGGTAAACTGTGACATCTCTTGCAGATACGGGCTGTATAATGCCAAAATTTTGGATTTGAAATGGGAAATACCTGTTGATAGTTGGGGTGTCACTGTGAGCAAGTATTGTGCTTGTACCCAGTTGGTAAGTGTTTGAGAAAATATTACGTAATAATAATAAAAATGTTAGTCAAGGATATTTTCAATATGAAATTAATGCGGGTATGAATTATTCAGTTGACTTCCTCGGGATTGACACATTGCGACCCTGTGGACGACGAATGTCCAACATATTGCGGTAATCCGGAAGCATACTGCACAAGAGAAAAGTATTGCTATTGTGGAATTATGCCAAACATAATGCAAAATAATTCTATGATACGACTCGGGAACGGGAAGGAACAAGACGATTGTGGGGAAAAGTGTCGCAGTTGGATGTGGCCTTTGACAGAGGACGTAGATGCAAGTCCCTACATTTACGACGAAACTCTGGCCACTTGCGCAGAAACAGATTCTTGTCAAAAAATTGACACAAGTCCGTGGAAGCCGGAACATGCAGGATCCTATTCCATTCCCGTCGATGCTCTAGAATCCAAATCAGATGAGAGTCATCGTAAATTTTGTTTGTGTGCGAAAACTGAGACAACAATGTACAAACCAGGTGCTCGATTTTTGATGCACTCGGAACCCTCAAGGATCAACAAGAAAATTCCATGCTTTCTCAATCATACTTGTGATATCGTAGGTTCTGGGATACACATCATTGGTTGATGAATATGTGATAATTTTAAAGCTTAATACGTCATTTACAAGGCAAGGAGTTAATAAAATGAAATATTTAATAGTTTATGGCTGTCAAAATAATAGTAGGTATTATAGAAGTGAGCACTTTATTTCGTATTTTCATTCACTACACGGTCATGTCGGGAGTATCTTTGTCCGGCTCCAACTTTCTCACGAGTACTTCCAAGAAATCGATAAATGCCAGTTTGTCAATGTTTTTACCAAGCTGGTGAATCACAAACCAATCTCCAACCTGCAGCGTTGTTGATAGTTTATCTACAACGCTGTATTGTGTAATTTTTATCATACTAATAAATGATTTTTTTAACATCAAGGTTCGCAATCTTGGTGAAAATATAATTAATAGTCTCAGTAAAATTGCTAGTCCGGAAATGCATCCAAGAATCACAAAGTAGAACCTAAGCACACATTAATAAAGATGCAATGGATTTCAATATTAATTAGCAATAAGTTCTCACCACATGAATAGAAATATCTTGTCGTTGAAGTTATTCACAGACATGATGCATATGACGTCAACTGGTTGAATGTTCCCTCCGTATGAGATAAAATTAACTGAACCTGCGTTGCAGAATATAATAACATTTAGAATTTTAATATAAAAAATTATGTCACGCTTCAATACAAAATATGCTTACATTTTGTCAACTTTGGGAATACAGTTGTCATTGGGTTAGCCAATTTCTGACCATTATTAGAACCACGCCAATATTGAACTACATCAGGCCCATACGTGGAAAATTTATGGTTGATTAGTAAGTTTGACGTATAAAAGCCAAATATTACGACGAAGAAGTTCAAGATTTCACAACCAAAAAACGTCAAGGCATAACAACTATTGAATCCAAGAGTGTTGTGAATGTATTCTCCTAAAAGATCGATCCTGGCGTTACTAGCAATTTTTTCATGAATTACTGGGGTGTCGAGCTTCTCCATCAACATTTTCATATGCCCAGCCTCGAAATACTTCCAAACATATTTGGGTGTATAAAACAGTAAAGCAAGGAACAGGAAGTAGAATGGAATCCACATATAAAATTTGTGGAAAATCACGGTGTTCCAATTAAGCAATTGGCCAACTCCTGGATAAAGTAAGTATTTTGCATCTGGAAGGAAATAACAAGCATGCAATCATCTGAAAAAATAACTATTTTATAAAAAAGATTGCCTGATTACATGCTGGACTGAAATATTCTTCAACGGAGTAGGTGGCAGAGATCCAACAAAAGCTGTTGACGAATAATTGCTTGTCGCCGCTTAAGCCTGATCCCAAACAATAAATTGGCTCCCCCACAAATTCTTTAACGCCGTACAACACAGAAAATGACATGAACAATGCAGGAGTGATTATTGTGTGGAGTCTGAAAACTTTTGTGTCTGAGATAGCTTTTCGATTTTTATTAAGAAATCCAGATATTGGCAAAAATAACGAGTACATTATTTTCTCTCTCACTCGCCACTTTCTCTGTATGCTAAAAACATACAGGATGACTTGTTAGTTTGACGAAAAATTGTTAATACGTGGATTACGAAATAATTGTCTATATAAAATCATACATTAGTCTGATTAGGACAGACCATTTACATATCTGGACAGGAAATTGCGGTTTAAGACTATCCAAAAAACGTATACGCATTGCGCTGCATATAGTGGATCCACGGCGTAGACTATTATTTCTAAGAAATATCTACTAACTTGTAGTGAGGGTTTATTTATTATTTATTATAAATTTCTCAAACTTTATACAAATATTATTTTGATAATTTTCAAAGAATTCTAGGCTGACAAATACACATACATTTATATCAGTTCCATTGGAACACAATCATAAAGTGGTTCAGAATTAGCATTAATTTCATGTTTCATGGTTGCACATGAGCCTAGTCGATTTAATTCATTCAGAGTGGATACCGAATACTGATGTCTGATGGCTTGCTTACCATTCTTCTTGAGTTTGTACGCAATATCTTTCAACAAGTCCGCATAAATTAAGGGATCCATATTTTTCGATAATTGAGTTATTACAAGCCAATCCGCAAAATGACTGTAGCGTAAAATTGTTTTAATCTCAACATCTTCGCATAAACTGGCCTTTGTCTCCAAGCGGTATCGCCGAATTGGGGGTAACAAAATTGTGGAAATGCGGTATGTGACACCGAGAAGTGAGAATACAGCGAGTAGTAGAAACCAGAACCTGCAATTTTAATAAGTAATTAATATTGGCATTTTTAAAAGACAAATAATTGAAAGGTAAAATTTATTACACACCACAGGAAGAAAAACACTTTTTCGTGCAGAATATTGAGAGCTGAAAGGAAAGCCAGGGCCATTAATTTAATCACTATTATAGAAAACGAAGTTTGATTCAGGCTTAAAAGACATACTTAATACACAAAGGACATCATACGGAACAATCTAGTAAAACATTTAGTTGTTATTAATTTTAATTTCTGCATTACGGCCTAAGTATGTATAGCTGCGTAATAAAAAATAAATTACATTTCCACTTGGCCCAAACTGATTGAAAGTGCATTTTGACAATTTTGGAAAAACCTTGTCCATTGGATCTGTTCTGTCAGTCATCCCTTCGTAAACATAGTTGATGACGTCTTTCCCATACGATGAGAACTCATGACCCAAAAGTGTATCGGTTAAAATAATCTGGGCTCCCACATTTAGCAAATTGAGCAGCTCGCAAGTAATGTATTTAACTGCATAATAGTTTTGACGATGAAAATTGCGAAGGAGATAATTGGCAACCGACTTTCTCCTAGCGATCAACTCTTTCTCCCTAAAATTCAATTCGTTTTGTAGGTTAAGCGTCAGTCTTTCCATTTTCCCAGATTCCCACAGCTTCCATAAAAGTCGTGGGAAATAAAACATCCAGGCTTGAAATAGGAGAAAGAACCCGATCCAAGGATAATAACGATGAATTTTCTTAGAAGTTGAATTTGTATGCGGACCAACTCCAGGAGCCAGCTGGGGAGAGCGTCGCCCTAAAAAAAGTATTATAAAAGGTTAACCCCAGATTTTGTATAGAAACTCTCCTACAAAAATTACCAGCTTTCCCGTCAATCAGCTCGTTGACTGTGTATGTCTCATGGACCCAACAATAAGCGTCCGTAGCTCGACCGAATTTCACATCAGAATTATCTGCTAAACACGTAATAGGTTCGCCAAAGTGTTGCTTGCAAGAAATCATCATTGTACAAACAAGAAGTGCTAAAACGGTAAATTTGTAGTGGAGTAGAAAAACTCCATTGTCTATTGAAACCCTGCTTCCTTTAATTAAGGACTTTAAAGAACTAAATGCTCCAATCATTCTGAGAACAATGAAAAGCTACTTTGTAAAATAAGGAATTTGAGACAGTTGAAGAGTCTTCCCTTCTTCGTTTAAATGATCAAAGTGAGATTGTGAGATGTTCGGTCAAAGATTTTGTACTTATTATTATTTCAGTCCTCCTTTGGTCAGACAAATCATGAGAACTTCCAGATCACTCGTGTGATATTATTAATATCTCATATTAAAGTATGTACAGCCACATGTTTTTGTATTGCTGGAATTTTGGAGAGAATCATCAAGTCGACTTTCTCATCCAGAGATGCAGAGGAGTCGAAAAAATGATTCCGTGATCATAGCCTTTCTTCGTCTTTACACCGGCATCTGTAGATAGCAAATTGCCAGGCTATCCATACTCGACCAAAAATCGTTTTCTGCTGCAAAGTTCTTGTCAATATTTGCGTCATTTAAATTTATGTCTTAAATTACCAGAAATGCGATTCATACGAATTCTAAATGCACATACGTATGCATACAACACTATTCAAATGATGCAACATGAGTCTGTCTAAAAGGAACCAAGTAATGGCCAAATACATGATGTATAACAGTTTGTGGTACCATTCTGATACTTTGCTTAAACAGAAACGTCAATTAATGGACTTCACTTCCAGGAATGCTTCCAGGAACTTTCAACGTCAAAGTCTTCAGAACTGGTTATAACAGACATAAACATTCGAAAAACTTATCTACTATGATTCTAATGTAAAATTTCCAGGAGAATACATACACACATTTCTTTCTATTCTATGCACACATATCTGCACTCATGCATGCAAACCACATGTTAATGCCAATAACATGATGTTATTGGCATCGTCACTCTAAATTATGCGAAAAGATTGTGTACGAATCGTACAGTACGATTAATTAATATGTCAGTTAATGATGTAGGTTTTAAGGAATGAAATAATCAAAAAAGTTTTAGATAACTTGTGAAAAAGTCAAAACCTTTGTCCAATGAGATGAGTGGTATCCATCCTCAGTGTGTGGTTTTGATGAGTGTTATTGATGATAATACGTGTGCTTTTTGTATGTATATAAAGGTCATATATGAGCGATCTAGTATGTGGATGTATCTTGATGTCCTATTCTATGTATAAAGGTAAAATGAATTTCATATAATAACGGGAGGACAACATGAATTTTATTATGCCAGTTTGGTTTTATGAATAGTGATGCCAAATAAACAAAGGAACGAAATGTACATATGTGGATAAGGTTATCTTGTCAATACAAATTCCAATTTATTTAACGGCGATTCAAATAATTTAACAAATACAAAATACAACAAGTGACATGTACATTGTTTGGGCTCTTGGAATGAATTAGGCGAGGATTTGGCGAAAAGTACTAATCATCGTAACGACGTCCACCACCACCACCTCCTGAGCGCTCCTAATTACAAGAAAACAACGTTCTTATTTATTTTATATCCCTAAGAATAATATACTTGCGCCAGTAATAACTAAGAAACCTACCTTGGTACAATCGCGACTAATATGTCCGGGCTCACCACAGTTGTAACAATTTCTTCCACCACCACCTCCTCCACCGCCACCTCGGGAGTCTAGAAACAATTAAAAACAATTTTAGTAAAGTATTAAGATATACTACCATCTGAAAAACTTACATGATGATCGGCCTCCATCATCTCGGGAGTCGTTTCCTTCAGAAGTACAATCGCGTGCAATGTGACCTTGAAACGAATACAAGACAATGGTATTAATCATCAGTTATTAATTGTCATCACCGATCAGCGCTAAAATTATTATTATTATTATTTATACCTGTTCCGTTGCATTTGTAACAACGTTCCTCCTCGTTGCAGTCACGTGCAAAGTGGCCGTAGGTGTTACACTTGTAACACTTGGATCCGCCCTCTGTTCAAAAACATTATTACTATCAACATACCAATTACAACCCCACCCACTCTAGGTAATTACCATTACCACCATAGCTTCCTCCTCGGCTGCCGCCACCTCCGTGGTATCCCCCGCCGCCTCCACGACCGCGACCCCCGCCACCGCCGCCACCACCACCCCCACCGTTCTGTGGACACTCGCGAGCATAATGTCCCTATCATTAAACACAATAACATTATCATCTCATATTACATCAATTAATAAATGTATATATTTGCAAAAAAAACACAACTAACCTCCTCATTACACTTGTAGCAAACCATCTTGTCTATAAGAAAGAAAGATGACAAATTATTACTATTATTTCCCCAACTGTACACAAATCTTCACCACTACTTGGAGTAATTTGCACTAAAATGAACCATGCATGCCGGAAAATAAATCTAAGATGGCGGGTCACCACCACCCCTCTTAACAACCTGGTGAGAAAAATACCTTGAAATTTGTGCGAGAAACTTACCAAGAATTGGTGACTAGATTGTTAGATAGATTGTGATCAGGAATGGGTTCGAAAGTCAAGAGACTGAGGTCGTGAGTAGGTCAGGTTTCGTGACGGTGTGGACTTGCACTCGTTGTCGAAAGGACTGCGAGAGAGAAGAAATATGTTCACTTGCGTCGCGAACGTCGGGCGAGAAAGTGAGGAGAAGAGCCCAGGAAAGAGAGCAGTGGAGGGCCGCATGGAAGGAAGAGCAGCATTTCTGATGCCGGCTTACGAGGTGGACGCCACCACCAGCAACCACCTCGCTTTTCCTGAGATTTGAATGCGTATGCAAATCACCCCAGTAGACGAGATAAAGGAAAACGTATATTATTATGACTTGCATCTTCTTTCCTTCCTCCTCAGTTTCACATTCATCGTCCGTGAATCGTAAATAAATATCAGTTTTGCTATAATAGCTTTGATGAAAATTAGCAAACTTGACTCATTTATGTGATATTGTCAATTTAATCACAAAATCAAATATGTACATGATGGGGTGTCAATTAGATTTGTTTGTCAAACAAAAGGGCAATGTATGTAAATGAAGTTGATAACAACAATTCATATGAAAAGGTATGATTTAGCTGTTGTTCTGCATGATCTTCCTCGTCATCAACTCATTTAGTTTTTTTAAGTAGGATAAGGTTATTTATAAAATTAAATTTAACTTTCGACTTGGTGGGGATGTTTTTGGACCCGTTTGTTGACTATCTTGACGCCACGACGCACTTGGGAAGGTGGGTAGGCCAACGACATGGCGTCATCATTGACAACTTTATATTTTTCTTGCACTATCGAGTGAGCGTGGCCTTATTTTTTGGGGCATCCCTCCTCGTCACCACCGGTTTGTATGTGGTTGACCCGATCGAATGCATAAGTGACGCGTCTTGGATTCTGCACGTGCTGGACACCTATTGCTGGGTGCACTCCACTTTCACCATTCCTCAACATTGGAACACTAGCTACAGTCAGGAGAAAGGTGATTAAAATTAATCATGGTTAATTAGTCATACTTGTATTTATGATTTTTGTTGGTGGATGTACACATGTAGAACTGTCGGCTCACCCTGGGGTAAAACCGCAAAATGGAAATCCGGCAGTACTGCAAAGTTACTACCAATGGGTTTGCTATGTACTTGCATTCCAAGCCCTACTGTTTTATATCCCTCGTTGCCTGTGGAAAAATTTAGAAGGTGGAAAAGTTAACACGCTTTTAAAATTGGTCGCAAAGTTTGACGATAAATCTGAGTCAGATCTCATTAAGTATTTCTGTACGGGAAGAAGGCAGGATAATAATAATAGTTCCTTCTACAACTCGTACTTTCTCAAACTATTCTCATGTGAAGTTCTCAATCTCATGGTGGACTTGGGTCAGCTATACTTGGCCACCTTTGCTAATTTCACTTTCCTTGACGCCATTCAGTACATAACGATGAATGACCCGTTGGAGAGGGAGGATTATATTGCTCAAATATTTCCAAAGGTGACCAAGTGCACTTTCCATGCGATCGGCCCATCCGGCAATGTAAAAATCAAACATTGAATTTGATGCATTGCATTTGTGATTGAGATTTATCAATAGTGAATTTCTCTTTGCAGGATGTAGCGTATGATGCTATATGCATCCTCGCTTTTAATGCAGTCAACGAAAAGATATATCTAGGAATGCAGTACGTTTTTATACATTAACATGCCTGGTGTTCTACGTGTGACATATATGTGATGTGTACGAAATCACATATATGTCATTCATATTGTGTATGGGTTAAATTTAATTTAATATTTCGTTTCTCATTTATTTAATCAACAGGTTATGGTTAGTCATTCTGTTGAGCATTTCGAGCATTTTGGTGATTTATCGATTTCTCCTCCTTATCCCAGCATTCCGTATTATGATTTTGAAACACAGCACGAAATACACGGAAATTGAAAGCTTTTACGTTTTTCGGCATAAGCTCAGTATTGGGAATTATTGTATACTTATGAACCTCGGGAGGAACTTGGACCTACTGCAATTCACAGACGTGGTAAATTTATTGCAAATTCAACTTTCAAAGGTTGATCAAGTTGTGCAAAAGTCTACATTGCATTTATAATGCATATGAACGTGCGTGTGTACAATGTACATATGTAACTTGAATCTGCGAGCAATGCAAGTGGGCCGAAAAAGGAAATGCAAATAAATAGATAAGCAGAAATTACATGCACGGTATTTTTAACGTTGGCAGTAACATAATCATCGCTATGACCTATGTATGCAGGCAGGACGAACATTATCTAAATCTCCAATTCCATGATACATATTTATGTATGTATGAATCATTTACTCTGCCTGCATACTCACACTCATAAAGTACTCACCTCGTTCACACATAATAAATATATACTGATATTCACTTCTCATCTCTCGCTCATCACTTCAATGCTGTTCTAAATAGATAATGGAAAATACAATGAATAACGTCGGTTGGTTATCTTTGTCGCTCATGATAATACAATTTTTACGGTAAATTATTTGCGCTCAGTAGGATTTGCATCTTTATATCAACTCGGATCTGTTCATCTCTCATCAAACTTGGTCGCTTGATTGCACAAGCGACTCTAAAAAGTGTATGCAAAATTGGTCCTAAACAGGAGTCAGTTGACTGGGCAATTGAAATTTCGACAGCATTAGTTGAAATGGATTCACTTGTAAAGGATATCAGAAATATTTGGACTTATCACAAAAAAATCCGAATCGACAATGTGATATTCACGCTCCACAAACTCACTTCAGGAATATTGTTGTTCATGTCCATTGTCATTTCTGCTGCATTTCTACTTAAAGATCCCATCGACTGCATTCACGACAAAACTGTCGAAAGAGTTATCAATGCTTACTGTTGGATTCATGCAACCTACACTTTGCCAGAACAATTGAACAGCAATCGATCTATAGGTTAGTCAGTTTAATTGCGCTATAAATGGGAGATGCAAAGTATAAAAATATTTACGCATTTCAGTATCAGTGGCCCATCCGGGAGTTGCTCCATACACGTCGGAGTCCTCGGAGGTCGTCAGAGTGCATAAATTTTACCAATGGGTGTTTGTGAAAATCAAGAAATTATTAAGAATCTTCATAAAATATAACTCCCTATATTTCGGTTGTTATTTTGCTTAGATGGCTGGTCCTGCTATTCCAAGCTCTTGCATTTTATGCCCCTCGTTCCCTGTGGACAAATTGGGAGGAAGGCAGAATAAAATCAATGACTGAAAATCTCGTTGACCTGACTGAAAATGAGGATGAACGGGAAAAAAGGAAAGTTTCCGTCCAGAAATACTTCTGTCAAACTATGGGCAGCAATGACACGTGGTCCACTAAATATGCAATATGTGAAGCCCTAAACTTCATCAATGTCATTGTTCAGATTGACTTAACCGATCGCTTTTTGGGGAGAGCCTTAAGCAAATACGGTTTCAGTTTAATACAGTTCAAGAGACACGACCCGATGTATCGAACGGATCCGTTATCCATAGTTTTCCCAACCGTTAGCAAATGCACTTTAAATGTCATTGGGCCAAGTGGAAATATTGTCCCGTACGATGCATTATGGTATGAAATTGAAATATGGAAGTTATACTATAAACATTTTATTAGGAGTAATGTAAATGTTTAATCGACGAATATTTATTAATGTGTCTCAGTGTCTTACCTCTTAATCTTTACAATTCAATGTTTTACCCTCTACTTTGGTGAGTTTCTGTATGGTATAATTTGTAAGTTGTCGATACAAATTACAATTCCTGATAATTAAATAGGTTTTGGTTCATAACCTTGGCTGTTCTTTCTGGACTGGCGCTTGTCTATCGCCTTACAACGTTCTTATTCCCAGAGTTGAGATATAAGTTACTTCGACGCAAGTTTCAAATTGCAGATGACGACCTGGATCATATTTGGGAGCTAAATAGAAGATTAGATTATGGAGATTGGTAATCAATTGTTATTTAAGAATGCAAGGGACGTGTGTTTTCATATATGTTGATTTTATCTCCCTAATTTTCCCAAAAAAGGTATTTGCTCTACCAAATCGGCAAAAACATGGGGCCTTCGACCTTCTTAGACTTTTTGAGTGGACTTGCAGACATGGTTGTGGGAAAATCTTTTTCATTTGATAGGAGTGGCAGTGTTTTGGATGACGTCGTGTCGAACAAGGAGAAAATTAAATCTTTGTAAATGATTCATCCAGTTCAATTTAATTACGATTTTAAATAAATTTTCAGTTATATATTTGAGATTTTTATTATGCATTATTAGTCTAGGGAACTTTAATTAACATCAATCATCAATGAAATTTATGGAAATTATATCTCACGTGATTACATGACCATATGAGAAACCAGTCATTTCACACATCCATTCATCAATATTAAGAAGTACTTGTTATCATTCACATCGCTACGCTTATCATTATACAGTCAACCGTGCAGTCGGACAAACTGACCAATCATCTAATAAATAATCATGTGCATAACATTATACAGTCACATAAAATCCAAATATAAAGAAAACATACAAGACCAGATGATACTCTGAGAATCGAGGACATAATAATATTATGTCCTCAATATCATTCTTACTGACATCTTTATAATCTTATGTGTCAAAATTTGCTAGTAAAAGATTGTTGATAATTGAATACAATAAGTGGTTCGGTTATCTCTATTAAAAAATGGACACCAAAGCGAAAAAAGAAAGTGGAAAACTTAATATTGTCGACAATGATGTTGATTTCTGGAAAATATGGGAGTCCAATCCAAAAGTAAGAAAATTTTACCCTGCTTTCGCAATGTACGTGTGCACATCCTATTAAATTATATGGGTTAACCTACGAATATGATTGTCTGGTTGAAGGAGTTGGAGCGACAATTTGCTCCAATAATGTGGATTGTGAACAAAGACAAGAAGGAAACCTATGATACACACATCAAAGTATCAACAATCGGTATTAAAAGAACGTTAATCCACAACATTTAAAAAAATGCTGATGTGTGTAATAAAAATTTATCCATTAGAGACGGTTAAAGCTCGAGAATGTGTCCCATGTAAATTGGACGTTTCTTACGGGAATCATGCGGAGAAAGTCATGGACATTTACGGAACTGATCTGCCTTCAAGTGCTCCCACTTTGGTATATATGCACTTTGATGGCCAAGAAGTAGGTTTTTAATAATAAATCCATGTGCATTGTGGGCATTTGATTTCCAGTTCTTTGTTCATGGTGGGTATTGGAGGTCGGGTAAAAAAAGTTGGAGTGGGCCCATGGTGAGAAATGCATATTCTTGGGGTGTGCGAACGATTGTAATCGACTATCCTTTAGCCCCTCAAGGTATTCCACCATATGATATAAAATACAAATACCTGGTTTTACTAGAGGTTCACTAAAAGCTAAATAATTGGTAACATAAAATTACCATTATGCAATAGCCAGACTGGGGACAATATGTAACGCCACTCAAGAATGTCTATCTTATGCAATGCAAATGTTTCCGGAATCCACTTTTGTCATTGCTGGTCACTCGGCCGGTGCACAATTGTTATTGTCTCTGTTTCACAAAATCCCTGGCGTGATGAGCATCTCCGACAATCTCAAGAAACGTGTAGCTGGGGCATTTCTCATATCCCCACCTTACGACATGCGACCAGTCATTGGCATTCGCAGCATAAACAAAGCACTTCAACTTAAACCGTGAGAAATTTTTACCTAAAGCTTTCACCGCTCACCATTTCAGCCATGCTTTTTATTTAGAGAAGAAGTTGATCAGTTCAGTGCTGTGCTAACTGTGAGTCAAATTCACCCAGGATGGTTTCAAAATCAGGGACAAGTGGAATTTTCTTTCTGCAGTGGAGAACATGATCCTCCGGCGCTTATTCTACAGGGGGAAATGTATGCTGCCATGCTAAAACAGGCCGGATTCTCTGTAAATTTCCGAATAATTTCAGAGTACGACCACTTTACTCTGATAGATAACATGGTAGATGCTCATTCGGAAATCACGAACACACTGAAGAATTTTGTGCTACATTGCTCAGAATCAAAGAAGAAAGCAAACCTGTGAAATAATATCTAGATGCGCATGCATACGCATAGATTTCCTTCAAGGGCTTTTGCATAAAATTTAATGGTACATATTGAATAAGCACTACATGAAGCATCATTAAGATGTGATTGTAAATAAATGGGGATTCATATAGTTTTACATTTCTCCTGCCAAACATTTGCTGACTTTCACTTTTACACGTGCAAGTGTAGCGTTCCATTAATTGCATACACTACTTAAGTTCCAAATAATTCTTTAGTAAAAATACATCAAAACATTTGTGAATTTTTCATAAAACTGATTTATATCTGCGCAAAAAATAAATATTTGACAAAATGTGACGTCTTAATTGTTACAAAATCTAATTGCATAAATTATTATTACACAAATAAAAACAGGAAAAGTTGCGAGCCTGCGGGATGTTGTTGTAGCATATAAATATGACTAGAAGTCATGATGACCCCAAAGCTGCAGGGTCTCTGACGAACCATAAAGATTATCGCCAAGTAGCTGCAAATTCACAGGTTCCGTATTGAGTTCGTCTACTAGTCCCGTCAAATGGGCCTGTTGCTCCGAAATATCTGAATTGTTACAGATTTCTAGATCTTGGGATATGACCGGGATCTGTATGCAAATTTGCTTCATTAATAAATGCATTGGTACTAATTAGTTCCTATTATGTTATTTCATACAAGAAATCTATTATTAGTTACAACTGAACTTGATACCATATTGTCGTAGTAATTAATCCCTTCATCCTCAACTTGAATTCCACATCTCCAGAAAGTGTTATCAAAGTGTGCTGATGTAAAGTCATTTGCAATAACTTGTTGCTGCTTGTAGGAAAATGATTGAACAATGGTGGTGCAAAAGGTGAGATTGTGGTTCTTGTCTGGTTCCTCTTTCATGTTGAACTTTCTCTCATCTCCACCATTGCCGCTGTAAATTAGTATTGAAAAATTGTAGAAATAATAGAATAAGGAGTAGGAAAATGATTCATTGATATGATTTGCCAACTCTTCACTAGTTAGTTTTGACCTTTCTTAAACTTTAAAACCGAAGTTGCTTACTTGCAGACTATATTTTCAGGCTGACTAGGATGCAGTTGATATTTTAGAGAAAGTCCGTAGTAGTGGTATTTTGATTGACCTCTCGTACCGAGGCGCCTTGTCGTCAAATGCGGAAATTGCCTTCTGATTATCTGCAACCAAACCAGAAGAAACTTTGACTGTGCACCAATCAACTTTCACTTTTTTTGGATAAAAACTATTTCATAAAATCCACGCACTTTTCCAAAACTTGCTGCATTTACAGGCTGAATGAAGTTCAAGTGGCACCATTGAACATAATCATTGTACAGAGCGTTGCGCGCAATACACGCGCCCATCATGGGTGTGTAGGTCGCTTCCAACCATTGCATCGTCAATGGCGTAGAGTGATTTCGCCACCCGTCGCTATTTCGCAGCCCCATCATCATCGTGATAACTGATAATAACTAACTGACCACCAAACTAAAAGTTGCACTTTCTGAAATATTGCACGATACAGCACGAAATCAACTCACTCGAACTTTCCTCGCCAAAACCTCATGAGCTTCTGATTTTCAAAAGATTTTCACCCCCTTTTTTGACAAAATATTCTGAACGTCCAACCCATGGAATTACATGGTATCCTTATGCCGTTCATGTGTATTAAGCAGTAGTAGTTTCATTTCATGTGGGGTCGAGCATACCAAATATGCACAGGTAACAATGCGAATTGAAAAGAACTAGCAACTAGAAAATCATGAATCTAATCAGCTACATGACAAGTTTCCCGATGTAAAGTGCATTATGGTCGAGAGAAGAAAGTGAATAGATGAGTTTGTCGCAATAGAAGATTAACGCCAATAAGTATTAAATATTCAATTACCTAGAGTCCTGACTGCTCCAGACTCATCGGAGCAGTCATGCAGACACGAATTGAGTTTTATATTTGTTGCATAAAACTTAGCTCGTCTCTGGTGTAAGAAGGACACCAAATCATCTAATGAATGAGTTTCGAACGAAAAATCAAAAATGAAATCCATGACACACGTACATACAGAGCTTCCCCTAATCCGAATCCGACGTAATAGGAGACGTCATGCTGAGAACGAAGGGGTCTGCATTTTAATACCTCGTCTCTGAAAATCTTCCAAAAGTGAACGCAACATTTCCTCAGTAACTTTTCTGGGGAGAGTTGCGACAAGATTGTCTCACGGTCTCAAATTACCTCATGTCATCCAAGTCTCAACATGCACAACCAAAGCTCAACATGCGACGATGCGACACACTTTACAAGTTTATATCAACTGTTTGTCGCTTTATTTTGTGTCCGCCCTCATTACCCCAGGCATGCTCGCTCTTTTACGACATGGAGGTTTTGCACTCATCACTTCACTTGTTCACACGTCTCATTTTACTACTACACCATAACAAGTGAAGGCCATGATGCGTCTCACTTTACCTCTTCCTACTTATTTCTTGTTGTGCTTTTCATCTCTTTTTTCTGCGTTGCGTGGAAGTGTTGGCGCTGGTGGGTTTGAGCAGCTCGTGGCCTAATTCATTCCATAGTTGGGCGGAGTTCTCGGACCCCTTGGTCACCGACTTCCTGGTCACCAACGGCTTTAATCGATGACTCTGACTCTTTCTTACACCTTTGGAGCCCCTTATAAATTTGAGATTTTTGAACTTTAGCATGCTTAAATTCTATATTGTCGACCGACGCTGGAGCCGTTTGGAGCCACCAAACGTTCAGCTGGGATTCAGCTTTGTGGATGACTCTAACTAGTTATGATCTTGCACGTCCTCTAAATCAGGCTAAGCAACGCGACCCTTGGGGCCCTTAACGCGACCAGACCAGACCACCCCCTCTGACCTTGCCCATCTATGAATCTATCGTTCATCGTTTGTCCACCAACCGCACTGCCGGCACAAAAACTCACGCTCCTCCTGCCCAAAACCTCCATTTTCTCTCTTGCAGAGACACACGAGCAGCAGCCGAGGGAACAGAGTGAACGAGGTCGTCTGAAAATCAGGTAATTTTTTTATTGCTATTTCTTTACTAATTGCCACACCTCCGGACTGGTAGGAGGCCCCTTAATTCAGACTCATTCCTCCCCAATACATTTTGCATGCCGTGCTTGATCTTAAAGTCGACAAATTTATCCATCCAATATTTATCCACCCCAGCTATTATTGTTGTCGTCTTACTTATAAATTACTGGTTCAATTGACAACTCAACTTTTTCGTTATTTTCTTCAACATATGGAATTGTAAAGTTAGTCGTGAAACTTTGTCCACAAGACAAGCTCACACGTGATTGATCATTTTCTATGCAGAGATGACGTATGCAATTCACAGCTTTGATGTTTTGTTGCATCTCTAGCTTTTGAGTTGGACCGGATGTTATTTATTTTTAATATGAAACCAACTCAATAGGTCAGAGATGCAACGAAATTGTTGAGCAGCGAATTGAAATACAACATTTGCTTTTCTTTCGGTCATAGTGTCGTATAGACGTAATGCGTCATAATGACTATATGTGCGATAGATGTAAATAAATGTAGCTTTACTAATGTCAAGATCTTGGGTAATTTCAGAATACGAGGTCAAGATGAGCACCTGCTATCGCTGTAACGAAGAAGGACACTTCGCAAGGTTAGTTCGCGTGTTTTTTGTCCCCCTTTTGTATATACATATATGCTGCGTTGAGGAGTATGTATAACGCTGTATGTAGGACTTACTGTGACAAGGCTAATGGCTAACAACGACTAATTTTGCAGAGACTGTCCTCAAGGTGGAGGCAGTCGAGGTGGAGGAGGTGGTGGTGGTTATCGTAGTGGAGGAGGACGTGGTGGCGGCGGTGGGGGCCGCGGAGGCGGTGAGTCGATGATGTTCAATTGAATGAATGTGTTTTCTGGCTAACCCCCACATAAGATGTCAGTTTCCCATCACTTGCTCGGGTGGCGAAATTGTTGTTGTGGAATGTGGGGGAAGAGCTCAGCGTTGATACAAACAAACCAAAGATCAGTGTAAAGTTTTTTAAAACGAGACCGTGAGTGCGTGTCGAGTATGGGGAGAGTTTCGTCCGTTGTTGTTTCACGCCACGTAATGGGGTGGGTCGTCATCGTGTGACTATTTGACTAGATTCTAACTAGAGCAAAAATATAATAGTAATGGTGGGCTGTATGAATCAAATATTATGGTCAAAGCAATAATAGTGGGAAAGATGCATAGGTCACACTTTCACTCAAGTGGCACACATTTTATTCGGTACAAGGAGGGGAAGCTACATGGGTTGTGCGTTGTTGAAATATTTTCGAAGCAGGAAAAGTATTACAATTATACAAAGAAATGATGACTTGGAATTTGTTTCGACTGCTTTCAACTTCTGTCTATATATTCTATACAACTGATCTAACATCCAGCTCGTCACCTTTGTTAATAATAACGTCCAATAATATTTAAAACCACAGGTGGCGGTTCCGGAAAATGCTACAAATGTAACCGATTCGGACACTTCGCAAGGTTTTTTAAATACATATTTTGTTATACGACTTGGAACAAGAATAACGAGACTAATATGTTTACTTTGTTTAATAGGGACTGCAATGAGGAGGAGCGTTGCTACAAATGCAATGGAACAGGTATGCACAACATCTGTATTGACAAATGACTAAATGAGAGATATGATGATCACAATTAATAACTATTCTCATGGGTCATTTCAAGGTCACATCGCACGCGATTGTACTTCTGAAGGAAACGACTCCCGAGATGATGGAGGCCGATCATGTAAGATCAAATCCGGTAGATCTATATAAATACTTATCTTACTAATTTGAAATTGTTTTCACTTGTTTATAGACTCCCGAGGTGGCGGTGGAGGAGGAGGTGGTGGAAGAAATTGTTACAACTGTGGTGAACCCGGACATATTAGTCGCGATTGTACCAAGGTAGGTTTCTTAATTATTATTGGCGCAATTATATTGCTTTTGGGAATATAAAATACATTGTTTTTTGTTTAATTAGGAGCGTGGTTCAGGAGGAGGAGGTCGCAACGATGATTACTAATTTTTCTGCTGCCAACAAAACGTCGTTCCGTCCGCCACTTCATTCACAATTCATTCCATGGAACCCCAAAAAACGTTAATTGAGCCTTCTTAGTTTTCATCGTTTTATAAAAGCATAAAACAATTAAATATATACACACCTAAATGACGCAAATATTGCCGTCATAATTATGAAGTTGTTTTGATATTTCCCAATCTTGTTTTCGTGGGTAGGAGGAAGTGGCGTTCGTTTGTTTTATTACTTCAATGTTTGCATTATTGTGTCTAACATTGAATAAAACCTCAAAAAAACATCGAATTTTGTTGTTGCACTATTGTGTTTTAAATTTCTATTTGTACAATGCATATTATTTAACATGTCACACAATTGCAGTCTACAAGGAAAAAAGTGTGTGTATGTCACTAATTTTGCTGCATGGATATAAGTGTGAAAGTGCATCATATTCAAATTTTTTGGTGTCATTAATTCGGCAATTTTGAACATCATAATCCATGCCCATTTTATTATTTATATTAACAAGTTAGCCTGAGTGGGGGCTTATAAAACCTTCATGTCTGTCTATCTTGTGATAACTCTTTAAATTTATCCTACCGACTGGAAACTTGTAGAGGCAAATGAGGAGTTAAGTTTGACGGTCAGCAAAATCGATCAAGTGCTTGACCGGTGGGAGTCATAAGGTCAGGTGTGCTTGTATGATGATCATACATACCTACATGCTCGTTGATGCAGAATGTTCGGAGTGGTCATAGAAAGCCGGTATTCGGGAAATTGGTCATATAAGATCTCCCAGCAGGGTGACCCCACTGATTTTAAAAATGGTCTTTAGAAACTGAAATTGTGCATGATGTGGTACATCGGAATAACAAATTGTAGATTATTCATTACACATTTAGCGATTGTTTGGACATTTTTATGTACTTTTGCAAATTACATATTTCATACATGCAATTACACTGCATTCTAATACGCATTTCATTTTATCATACCAAGTTAAGTTAACATGTTCATTATACAAAATGTAACGGTTGGGCATGTACACACCCATACGAAACATTCAAATTTTACAAAATTGATTGTCCTCCAAGAATAAACAAGTAAGAATCTAGACATAAGTAGGTAGCTCGAGTTTTGGTACAATAAGAGTATTCATCAATTATCTACTTTTCAACTTTACTTAACGACAGAGAAATGCTCCCACGGTTAATCAGTCCCATGAGACTTTCCAAACTGCCCTCGTCATTTTTGCATTGCATTGTATTCTGAAATCCAATGAGGGACCGAATTTGTGGTTTTCCAAACGATTTGTGAAGTAAGGATCCTGAAAGTGGAAATTGTTTGAATTTGTTGTGGTTGTTTGTGACCATTTGTCGGGGAGTTGCTGATGGTGGGGTCATCATTTCATCGATAGGATTAGAATTAGCAGTGGTGCCTGGAGTGGGAAATGCAGCATCAGTGAATCGCCTTTCTGGGTTGCTGACGCCATGATAGGCTTTCAAATGTTGAAGTAAATGTGCCCTTTGTTGGAACGTGTTGTCGCACAAGTTGCAGGGAAGAGATGTCTGACCGCCAGCAGCACTGCTACCAGCAAAGCCGTTGCTGTTACTGCTAGTCTTTTTCTGATTTGTACTTTTCTTGGTGGGATGATGATGGGCCTGGCGCAGGTGAGCATGAGCAATTTCCAAACTTGGGAAAACTGTGCTACATTCCGAGCAGCTGTAGGTTTTGGCAACAGGAGGGGCATGCGTGGTCATGTGCTTAACTAGATGTTCCTGTAAGTATTGGTCAGTAAAGTTAAAAATCACCTTCTTATAGATAATAATAAATATATAATAATGAACAATAGATTATGTAGGGCTGGACCAACCTTTCGTTTGAAAGATTTTGGGCATAAATCACATTTGAATTTTCTTATGTCTGAATGGGCATCACTCTGATGCTCCATTAATTCGTCAATATGATTGAATATTTCGCTGCACATGTCGCAGGACAAAGCCGCAACTCGCATGTTAGGATTATCACTTAAGGTCACCGCTGGGACTTGAGAAATTTGGGGTTCAGAATCAATCATATCGAGCGACATCTAATTGCATATACAAAAAAACAATATCATTTAGTAATTTTGCTACGTACATACATTATCAACATTTAAAATTATTATTGCAATTTGTACACTTTTCTTACCCCCATAAATTCTGTGGGATGGCAATTGCGAATGTGTCTCAATAAGTGGTCCTTTCTCGAAATGTCTACACACGATAGATGCATATTAAATATAAAATACTTAATAATTCAGAGGACACATTTTTATTAGGAGATCGTGGTTAATAAGTATTTAGAATCACCTTTTCGACAAAATTGACACCTATATTTGAGCCCAGAATGGACGGAGGAGAGGTGTTTTGTCAAATGTTCTTTACGAAGAAATCCTTAAAATGAAAAATAACCCAGTTGTTAGACTGATTGTCCGTAAATACGAAATCACGAATGACGCCATGAAAAGTTTAAAAGCACGTACCTTTCCCACAAACGCTGCATTTGTGAGGACGAGCAACACTGTGCGTGGACATGTGCCTGTCAAAAATCATGCAAAAAGTTAATTACCCACGCTGTTTTATTTAAGATTGGCAAAACTAACTTGTTATTGAGTTGTAGAATAAAATAGCTTACATACCTTTGCATATTAATTTTGCTCATAAAAGCTGCATCGCACAATTCACATTTGAACTTCCGTTCCGATGGTCCCCCAATTGTGCGTTGCACTTCCAATTCAAATGCTCCATCCCCGTTTTCTTCTGTAGTATTTTCATTTTCCGAGTTGATATGATTTCCATATTCGTCTGACATCATTCCTCCTGATGCCATCCCAGACATATCGTTGAGGTCATCATCAACATCACCATCATCATCATCGTAATTTTGTTCTTCGTCTTCTTCTTCTTCTCCATAATCCTCTTCCATATAACTATGAACTTCAGGTTTAATGATGTCTTGCATTTCCTTGTTGCAAAACTCTTCGTTTTCGTCCTCTTCAAAGAGCTCCTCTCCATCAGCCTCGTGGGTATTGTAATCGAGATTATTATTGTCAAACGAAAATTTTGTCTCCGGGTTTATCTCATCCTCTTCATAATCGTTATCTTCATCATCAGAGGTAGAGCTCGGCTCAATTTTGGATGAATTAATCATTCGAATTTGATTGCCAATGTCTGCTTGCAAACTTTGCAATGTCGGAATTTCATTGATACTGAACTTGGAGTCAGTACTATTCCGCCTTGGTTTCTTTCTTTCAGGAGGAGGAGCAAGAGGGGAAAGAAGATCGTCAATTGTCCCAAGCATCTACAGAAGGAGGAATTTCATAGAGTTCAGCATTTAATCAAGAATACATGCAATGATGAAAATGTCAGTGTCAATACCTCACGAGGTTGCTTTGGTGGTCGTCCGGCTCCCTATACAATCGAATATATGTACATGCATAAATATCAAGGTTAGGCAAATGCGCATAATAATTTATTACTATCTAGTTTAAAATTCTTTCAAGAATTATGTATGTTACCTGATTAACAAAGGGCCCCACTTCCGTTGCAGTGCAAAATTCGGGGTGCACCTAGTCCATTAAAATTATGCAAGTGAAATATAAATGACAAAGTTAGTGAGTTTTTCAGCTTACATTTTTGATGTGACGCTTCAGATGGTCACGCCTGCTTATATTTCTGTGGCAGTACGGACATGTAAACTTGGCACTCCCATGCGTTCTGGTAACATGACGAGCTAAAGATGAGAATATAAGCAGTTGTATTATTTTTATGCATTCGAAAAGACCATAATGTTCGGAATTGGCACTATTTTCAGTACTTACATAAATCTTCCTTTTTCCAAAACCAAACTCCGCAAAGTTGACACTGGAAATTCTTTTCCTGTTGCTGCTGAGTGGGCTTGTTATTGATTTGTATTAGAGAAGGCAATGGCTTCAGGTTTGGAATTGGTCTTTCAGAATGACTTCTTTTTCCATTCAAAACTCTGTTCATATTCTGTCCACCATTGTTATTATTAAAGTTGCTGTTGCTGCTGTTAGACGAACCATTTAACAGTGGCAAGAATGATTGCGACCCGTTTTTCAAAATGGCCTCCAACAAGTTATGGCTTGGAATGTGGTGGCGATTGGTGGTGGTGACCACTGCTGATGAGGATGATGTGGGAGGGAGCGTTGATTCTGCGAGTTGCTGCTGATTATCATTGTTGCCTTGACTGTCATCCTCATGCAGGATCATGTGACGGATAAGGCTCATGCGGGTGACGAAGGTGGCGGAGCAAACGTTACATGGAAATACTGTGGGTTCGTCATCATCATCATCAATGTCATTTACAGCAGCTACCTCATTTTCTTCATCTGACCCTCGTTCTAATTCCTCCTTCAATCTCACTAATCCCCCGAAAGCGTGCCCTCCTCTTCCTTCTTCTTCTTCTCCCAAAGGCATTTTTTCAGCTTTCAACTAGACACAGACAATGAATACCATGAAACTGTTAACTAACTATTTTTTATATGAAATTTCGCAGCAGAAAAGATGAAATGGCGAGGAAAGTGTTCACCAAGTATTTGACTTGTCGTCTCAATTTGACCCATCATTCGAGAAACCAACAGGATGAACAAAGAGCTATGATGATGATGGGTCTGCTGGTTACTCGTCGTGGTAGCGAGAGTTGAGACTGACTACATGCTTGGTAGGATTTTGTTGGTTTGAAAAGACCATTTGAAAAGCTTACGTATTATTTGTGTGGGTGGACTGGGTGGTCGTGTCGTGCGATGGATGGATGGATGAGTAGAAGCAGTACAATTTCCACTGGGGAAATGGAGTGAAAATCGATTCGGTGTCGTGGGTCGATACCCGACGAGTAGAATGAGGAGGACGACTACGCACCAAGCTATGTACCTCCTCCCAGATCCCCGTGGTAATTTTTGGGTTGCGAGGGGAAGAGCGTTTTTGGACGAGTCCCAGCAGAGAGCGAGAGGAAAGATAGGCGTGGAGGCAAGAAGGGGCAGCCAAGAAGTAATAATAATAATGGCTCCTCTGCTGTTGCTCGTGGGGATAGAAAACTGTTGACCTTGGTTCTGGTGGTGGCGACGTGTGCATCCACTACTCCCCACCGTAATATGACTCAGCAGCAAGGAAAACGACAAGTTTGTTTGTGGGCGAGACCCCCTTCTTCTTCGTCTTCTCTCCTATTCTGTGAGCACAAAAAGTACCAAGGGCACTGCACTGCATATACATACAGGCACCAACTCGTGGATTCTCGTCTCTGCTCAGGCTGGCTCCTTCTCTCTGGCTGAATAATGATATGAGATGAGGTTGAAGTCCTTGTACTGGTATGAAGGACCCCAATAATGTCACACGAAAAAGACCTTTGTCCACCAAAACTATCACTTGACCACCATCCGACATGCAGCAGTACCACGACGACGACGTCGACAACGATGACCTTTTGACCCAGCCGTCACTAGCCTCTGGATAGCTCAACTACTTATATGGATTCGTCTATGCAAACAGGTTGCTATATTGAAGAGGAAAAAGAGTGTTGTAATTCACTCAAGTAATGCAGCGAGCAGTAATTTTATAATGTTCTGGATAAACTCCTGGCTCTGGATATGGTCCCACTTCCCCAGAGTGAATGGAAGAACAGAATATATGCGAGCAGTGGTAGTAGTGTCTGTGTAATTAAGAGGGGGAAAAACAGCGTGAGTAAATGGGAACGGGGCCGGGGTCTACCAAAGTCCTGCTGAATTGAACCCAAGAACTGAACGCAACGCGAAACCAACCATGTATTTACAAGTTGGCTGCTGCTGGGTGGACCAGTTGTGGGAAGATATTATGGAAGCAGTTTACCTTCACTTCATTTATCATGTCATCCTCTCAAACCTCCAATCCCCATCTATACTTCCACAGGGTGGAAGGGGGACTAGGGGAACTAGGGGACTGCTGCTGCTGGCCATACAATTCTCTCTCTCTCGGCTGAACTACGCCGGATGGGATGGTGTTTTTTATCCACTCAACTTGGAGTCAGATGAGGATGGAGAATGCGAATGAGAGACATGGTTGTTTGCCATGGAATGATGCAAGCATAAACTCCATAGGATTGAAATGAGGGGGGAAATTCCGTTGAGAAATTGCATGCGCTTCTTCTAGGTTAGGCTTCTACGACGACGACGAACGGACCGAACTGAACTGACGTGGCCGTGCATGAATTTGTACAAGAAACTCTATGACTATGAGGGAGGGAGGGGAGGGAGGGGAAGGAAAAGCAGTAGAAGTGGGGGGAATATGGATGCAGGCAGAACGAACCATCTCCAAAAACTTGGTTGTTGGATTGTTGGGAAGGAGCTGCAAGACCCACGCCACGGAGGAAGGACATGCCCTGCATGTGGCTGATCTCTGATGGCATGCTTTGCTTCCTTAGCTGGCAGTGGTGGGTTCACACAGGAAATCAAGTATATGGATTTGTTCACGTGGATAGAGGGAAAGGAAGGCGGAGGGGAAGTAGTCAGGGGTCTTGTTCGTTTCCCCACCAGCAGCATTGTAAAAAAAAGTAACGCATTTAACCAAGCTCCGTGGTGTGGGTCTGGCTGGGTCTCAGTTTTTCTACTCTTCGTGGTTGTTGGTGTTGGTTGGGTCGTCCGTCGTCGTCTTGAGTGCACAGCTTGTGGAGGAGGATATATGTAGCTGGCTTTTTCATGGTATAAAATTGTCAGCCACAGGGGTTATAAAGCATTCCAATGCGTTTGATGACTGGGACCACGCCCGTTTTTCCCCAGAGGGGCTGTACACCTTGTGCTACTTGCACTGCAATAAAAATTTGGCTGGAGTAGCTATATAGCAGTAGATGAATGTATAAAGATGCTTCTCACATTTGTTGCAAGATTCAAGTTGCCCCTTTGGACTACAAAACCATCTCGGACAAGATGTGGCCAAAAAAGCATGTCCAAGTTTAACGTTGTGTGTGGGTGAATCAAGGCTGCCTGGAGATAATACCACAAAACAGAACCCCTATTTGGCATATTTAATCAAATATATAACTACAGCCCTATTAAATTCTGCAAGGAGACAAAAATGCATCAAGTACGGAGAGATAAATGCAGTAATGACATACCCACTCCTGTCTAAGTACATGCTCCCTTAATCTGAACCTTTTTTCCTTTGCATGAAACATGAAAGGATGCGATTTATTTCTATTTGCTTACATACATATACCATGCATGCAAAGTAGTTATAGATTTATGAAGTAAGGAATATTTTCTCCAGGTTGTAATTCAGGAAATCGGAAAAGGGAATATATTTGACCTTATTTGAATGCATACCTATATCATGATTTATAAAGCTTATAAATAATACTGCCACTTAAAACAATCTTAGCTATATAAATCTTAATGTGGAGTTGTTTTTCTAATTTTCGGTGGAATGAACGTAGCTTCTGCTGGCAATTGATTTTCGCGTTTTGCCTTTTCTAAATCCTTTTTTAATTCATATTTTGCAATCTCATCTTCAATCGAAAATTGTACTGGGAGTGTCGTCGAAGTGGTATCATTGGAGGTTGCAACAACAGGCCCTTCTAATAATACGAGATTTCCGGTGTCATTTGCGCAAGAACTCGGCAAACTAGGTGATGTTTGTCGGAGAAATTGAGACCGGGCAAGGCCACCTAACAGTCGCTCCTCTAATGCTGCCGCACGCTGGTTCACTTGGTTAGCGTCCAAAGGGCCGTGCTCCTTTACCAGTTCCAGCAAAGTATGAAATTCACTTTTTGGCGATGTACACATTGTCTACGAGAATAAAGACAAGGAAGTTAGCCAGAGTGTCTTTGCACACAATTTTCTGTTATAATATACATATGTAAATACGCAACGTTACATTAATATAAAATTACCTTCAAGCCCAAAGCAATGCACTTGATGCCACAGGCTTTTTCGAACGCTGCACTGAGTCCTGACAGTGATATGGCTGGCACCCGTTTGGTATGTGCAATTGGTACCAATAATTTGGTAATAATTTGAGGGTCCACATTCTTTTCTATTATTAGTCCAGCCAGTTGACCAGTCTCCATATTCATTGAGCAGCAATTAACTCCAATTGCAATTTCCGATCTGTCGACCAAATCACAAGAATAAATTAAATAATAGTACATATTTGCAAACCACATTTTTGTTGCATTAACGTAATATCAAACCTTTTTAAGATATAACTACTGACGTCATATCCGGCTTGTAATGCGTGTTCAGCAACCCATTTTCTTCGAAATTCTGACCTCTGAAGCTTGGGCACAGATTTTATCTCGTTTAATGGACATTGGCGTTTCGGAATCTTTAAACATTGCATTGTTCTGTTGCAAAGAATAAATAATTTTAAAACCTTTACACCTATAATTATTAATGTGCACAAGGTACAACACAACCGAAAATAAAATATCAATTATTAAAATAAAAATAAACCTAACCAACTTTCACTTTACCTCTCAATAGTACTTAATACCTCTTGTGAAATTGCGTCGTCGACATCAGGCCTGTGAAGAAGAAGAATCAGCATGAAATAAATAATCAACAACAAAATGAAATGATTATGTTAACATTCATTCGAAATGCATAAATCTTTACCACGCGAGATCACCTGGCACCACGACTGCAGTCCTGCTGGGTTTCCGGTTTGACTTTTCACGCTTCTTTGTTTCTCCCAAACTGCGTCGTTGCTTGGTTTTCGAAAGAATTTGTACCTCCGTCGGCTCAGTTTGATCCATGATGACAATTACGCACTACTGATACAAATTATTAAACGAATCTCTTTAATAAATTAGATACAAACAAACAATAACCACTCAACAAATATGTAATATTAATTCACCTGCTTGTTCTGTGCGGTGCAAATTAAACGACTGCGAATTACAATCGTCAAAAGGTCCGGAAGTTGTTGACCGAACGTGATTGTGTTGTGACCATAACATGTGTGCAACTTTCACAACTCTTTACCGTTTCTTTATGAAGTTGGCGGAGCGAGTTTGTGGGATTTGGGGAAAGAAAGCAACAAGCGATTGTCAATCGTTACTCAATTTGTGAACTTTCCCACTAATAGCTTGATGATTTTTTTATTAACATAACGCTACTTCATTGTTCTGCTAGTTTGACAGTTTGAGGTTGCTACAAACATAAGTGTAACTTTTATTTTAAAACAGAAATTCAAGAAGCAGATAAATGTGAACTAAATTAATGATTCATGTATGTGCATGTATAATTTACATCAAATCCCATGCAGGCGTTAGCTAGGATGATGATTTTTGTATTGGAATTATATGCATCAGTCTTCCTGTTCCTTACGAACAGGCCGTTTAAGATGTGCTATTACCACTTTCATATTTAATTCGGCAGCACGGTACGCTTTCCTTCGAGGTCTGACAGCAGCAACGGGACCAGGATTTTGACCTATCGTAAAATATCATTAATTAATTTCATAGTTGAGTGAATGTTCGAATGGGCTTAAGTAAATAAATTTAACATACCCTGGTCAACTGCTGGTAGTGCCTTAATACAATTTTTCCGATCAGCGACCTTCGGATTGTTTGCACTTGAACCATTTTTCATGAGACGCATCTTACGACGAGCAATGTGCTTGAAGGCTGATGGGCTTTCTTGATAAGAAGTCAAAAAATGCAATGCCTTATTTTTTAGTCGTCTTGCCATTTCCCCTGTGGTGTTCTTCTTCGTCGAGAGTGCTGCATTACGATTTGAAACAACTTGCTTCTTCTGCTTTTTCTCATTGTTTTTAGTGCGTTCCTTTATCTTAGGCGTCTTTTTCAATTTTTTTTGTGGTCCAGTAGCTGCTCCGGCAGAGGTTATCTTAACTTGAGAGTGGTATTTCCTTTCGTAATTTTGTCTCGTTGAAGGAGGTAAGGATGAATTAGAAGCCGTAGCATTTTTATTTTGAACTCCATCCACGAGAAACTTGATTGCTAGTGTGTCGGCTAATTTACAAAAACCGTAAAATGATTCGAGGTCAATCACCAACACTCCAAGATACAAAAATTTCATCAAATGGTCCATGTATGGCAAATGCTCCGCGTTCAGTGCAACCACTACTGCATTACTTCCTGAGGATGACGTCGTCTAGGACAAACGGTAAAAGCGAATCACAAATGAGAATGCATGGATTATTCAATTTCCCAGTCATTTACCTTGATGACTTCTCGGAGAAAAGGGGAAGCTCCAGACATGACTATCTTATGACAATTGAAAAATACTAGTCCAATGGATAATTTCATATCCGTCAAAATCCCAGCTTCACGCATTTCGTTAAATCGATTCCGAGTAATTGAATCGGCAATCTGGTGATTCAATCGAAGTTGCAACATTATGAATGTGTATGTTGGCTCGTTCGTGAAAAGTGGCTGAAAGTGTTAATAATTATTTGATACTGTGAAAGTGCCCTAATGTTTGGGAACCCTGAATATTTCGGGTTGCGACACCAGCAACTGACGCCTCGAGATCTATAGAAACATGAGTGGGAAATTCTCACTGGGAAATTGGGTCACCTGGCAATATTATTTGACACTTTTAAGTGGTGTTTATGCTTCACGTCATCGTCACGTCCTCCTTCAAATCCGACTTTTTGATTGGCTGAACTAAATTATCACTACGACAATTAAAAATTTTAACCAATCAAAAAATCGGATTTGAAGGAGGACGTGACGATGACGTGAAGCATAAACGCACCTTTAGACGATAATTCCTTCAGGATTGCAATAGGTTTGAGGTTAGGGTTAAATTTATGTTTCCCTCATAAATGTGTTTGCGGCGCACAAGTAGATGAACTAGGCTTACATGGTCTTTCATGTAAAAAAAGTGCTGGCAGGCACTCTAGACATACGCAAGCCAATGACATTATAAAGAGAGCCTTAATTTCTGCAGACATACCAAGCATTAGGGAACCATTAGGGTGTTGTAGGACAGATGGAAAAAGACCGGATGGTCTAACACTAATACCTTACAAACAGGGACGCTCACTAATATGGGACTTTACATGTACAGACACTTTTGCCCCCTCTTATCTCTCTCACACACTTAGACATGCTGGCACAGCAGCAAAACTAGCCGAGACCAAAAAACACAAACTGTACTCTGAACTTAAAACAAACTACATCTTTGTTCCGGTGGCCGTCGAGACATCAGGAGTAGTGGGGATGGAAGGGTTGAAGTTCATCCAAGATGTTGGGAGGAGGATGAAGGATGTCACTGGACCAATGTCAACAACATTTCTCATTCAACGGATCAGTTTGGCAGTTCAACGCGGGAATGCAGCATCAAGCATGGGAGCTGTTCCCAGTCAACGAGGATTAGAAGAATTATTTGTTGCTTTTATTTACAGAGTCTTTTGTTAACAATGATTAATAAGTACGCATGGAAAACTCATAAATAAAAAATTTCGCTGAGTTTCTTTCCGGTAGGAAGGGTACCCAGAATTGAGGCGACGTTTCCTCGTTGTAGAGTAATGCTTAAACGTTGTAATAAATAACTTGTGGCTCGTATTTCTCCTGTAATTGTTGTGATTCGTTGTCCATTATGTTGAATTAGTTTAATTCCATCTTCACCCCAAACTCCAATTGTTTCAGCAGCCACCGGGATGAAAATGAAACGATCCTCTAAGAAAGAGTATAGTGTCTTCTTCTTTTTCTCAGCTAACACGGCCGCAGCCCCAGGATGACCGGACGTGGAGGAGAGGTACGATGGGGCAAAGGTATCGACGCACGTGAAGTCCCAGACTAAAGCTTTTCCCCTTGACCATGGAATAAGTGTCATCCCATCAGCTCGTTTTCCGTCAGTTCGGCAGCATCCCACTGGCTCTCTTATTGAGGGGACTTCTGCGGTACGAAGGGCACGGGAAATGACATCATCTGCGGCACTGTGTCTTGACCACCGCCTAGAGGTGAGTCGGGCTTGGGCTTTAATCGGGCTAGCCCGAGCCCGCCCAGGCCCAACGGGCTTTGGGCGGGCCGGGCTTTTGAGTTGAGCCCATGAGTCGGGTCGGGCCTGGGCGGGCTTTTCTTAAGTCGGGCTCGGGCTTTACTCAAAAGCCCGACTAATATTTTTCGTGGAGTTAGGAGTAATATGAGAGTCAAAAGTTTGGCCAAAAGCGCACCACTTGTATTTTATACTTGCAATTCACAATTCATTATTGTATTCTCATAGGATTTTCATTAAAAAGTAATTCCAATATCAAAAATTTTCAAAATGGAAATGATTGTTGTTATTCGTGTGAAAAAATTACTACCAGGGTTGCACATCTAAAGTGTGAAAGGACGGAGAATACAAAATAAGCTTACTGTGCAAGAGGATACATATTCAAAGAAGGTCAGGCTATTGGATCAAGCGAGGTCAGCATATCCTGAACTTTTGGTGTGGCGCCACACAATTTCCACTGATGCAGAAAATTACTCCAAGGATATTATCAATCCCCGCATCACAAGCTAGTGATGAGAGAGTGTTTTAAAGCACCGGTTTAACGTTGACCGCCAGTCGCACTGAACTTAGGATTAGCGGCAGTAGTTTATCCAACCTGACATTCGTTCATAAAAACTACGTTTTTTGTTTACTAAACATAATTGACACTAACAGTTTTGGGTTTATTTATTTTTGTACCTTGTGAAAATAATTTATTTTTTACTAAACCTTTGAAATGTGTTTGTTAAATAATTTGAACTTCTTTATTTACCAATTCGTGTTTCGTCATGCGTAACTTAGAACGCTCTACAAATCTTATTTTTAATTGTATAAATTTTTAATTGTATAAATAATTTGTCACGCCATAACAAAAAAGCCCGATTAAGCCCTATGGGCCCGGGCTCAAAGCCCGATGGGCTCGGGCCTGGGCGGGCTTTCTCAAGGCCAAGCCCTATAGGGCTTGGGCGGGCTCGGGCTTTAGACAATGTGGACTTGGGCGGGCCCGGGCTTTTGAGTTGGGCTTTGAATAGGGCTTGGGCGGGTCGGGCTTTTGAATAGGGTTTTTGAGTCGGGCTTGTGCGGGCCGGGCTTTGAAAATCTTAGGCCCGACTCACCTCTACACCGCCCAGCGCTCTTTCTGCACGATAGACCATGATAACCACTTGAGGATACTTCGGCTCCACAGATACATTTATGTGGTTGGCAAATTGCACAGCCGAGTCTGAGTGCGATGGCCACACGAAATTCTTCGTTAGAGAGGTGGTTTCCAAGTTGTGGTGCAGGGATTGCGTTCAGCCAGGCTCCGACGTATGGTCTGTCTAGAGCAAGTAGACGAGCTTTATCTTGCGGTGTGCTGGTGTTATCAAGAAGTGTCTTCTGGCGATGTTCGATTAAAGGAGCCTCCCAAATAGCTTGTTTTCCTCGCAATTCGGGTAGTGGTAGTTGGCGATAATCTGCGGACCAGAGCTCTTCACCTTCTGATATGGCGTCATCTTGGTCACGTATGTAGTCCGGAAGGAGGGACTCGAGATGTGGCAAACAGCTATGAGCGGACGCAAGAAAGCACGGAATCGCCGTGCTCACAGCATGTCTGGTTCCCAAACCTCCCTTACTGACTGGAAGAGACGACTGTATCCAAGACTCTGGGGATAGAAAACAGTTAGTGATTCCTTCCAAGACCAACTTGAGGGTGTTATCGTAAGCCAAAAGAGAGGCATGATTTCGCCAAGACGGTGCACATCGTAGGAAGTAAATTAGTCGCGGAATTGATATGGAGGCTCGTAACAAGAAGAAAGCACTATGGGCGGAAAGTTGAAGGAGGCGGTTCCCAAATGCTGCTAGCTGGGAAATCTTCGACTCCAAGACTCTATCGCTTCGTCGGTGAGAGGGGCACCCAGCAATGTAGCTACTTCTGGGGAAATAATTTTGATGCCAGGGGATGCTTTGTGGAATTCGTCATATATGGCGTCGTGGGTATCGGGATTGCCTCCAAAAACTCCAACTTCACATTTCTCATAGTTGAGATGGAGTCCCACGTCTTCGCCCATTGTTCTTATGGTGTCAAATGCATGTAGAACTTTCTCCGGGATGTCGGCGATTGTCGCGTCATCCAGATACCAGACATTGAATTCTGTCGTCACGGCTTCGATTATGGGTTGGATTACGAGGGAATACAGACCTGGACCAAGTGGGTCACCTTGTTGGACGCCGAGAAGGGAGGGGATGAGTATGTTCCCATAAAAAAGACTTGTTGGATGTGCGTAAGCTTGATTGATAAAGGAGTAGATGGATGGAATTCTTTGCTTGATAATATGAAGAAGGGAATCGCATCGTATTTCATTAAACGCGTTCCGGAAGTCTAATTTCAAAAAGGCTTTTGCAGTGTCGTGGGCGTGGCTCCAGTATCGACGTGCTGCATGAGCTCCAATTTCGGCTCCTCCTTTTATGCCGACACCAAGTTGATGGGGAGAAAAGTAGTCTACCAATTGCGGTGTAATGCGAGTGACCACGATTTTCGAAACAAGTCGACGCCATGTATTCCCAACAGCGATCGGTCTAATTCCTCCAGATTTCTTGTTGAGGGCGGTGAGCGAGGCTCCAAACAGTGTGGGGCAAACAACATCTGGGACCTTACCACAGAGGACGACATCTGCAAAGCTACAAATTGTTTTCACTAGCTTCATCCCTGTGTCACCCGTAGATATCCCCACGAGGTCTTTTAAAATTTGAGGACGAAGTCCGTCTAAACCTCCGGCTGACCCTGGTGGGAACGATGAAATTGTGGCTAGAATTTCCTCTTCGGTTGCTTCTGCTGGGTGTTCATCCACGTCAGGCATAACTGGAAAATTCAATGGTTCGGGATGTGGAGGGTGTTTGTCGAGTAAGGAGTCAATCGTGCTTTGATTATATGGAGCGACTGTGTCATCTGAGCATAAGAGACGGATGGCCCCTCGGATATCTCCGTCAGAAAGTTTTGCTTCCACTTTCTTTGAAATCATTTGTTGGAATTGCTGAGGTTTATGTATTGATGGACTTGGTTGTCGACCAGTGGGGATGGTGGTTGTGGGGTCGGTCTTCCATTTTGAAACTCTCATTTTGACCCACGATGTCAAGTTTGTCACTTTCTCAGATTTAGCTGGAACGGTGAGGACAGCATAAGGGAAGGTGAAGAGTTTGTTCCAACTTTCTGCATCATTTTTATTAATAACTTCTTCTAAAATGTTGGTAAGAGCTGTTGGTAAGAATGTTGGTGATTGACCTCGAATCATTTTACGGTTTTTGTAAATTAGCCGACACACTAGCAATCAAGTTTCTCGTGGATGGAGTTCAAAATAAAAATGCTACGGCTTCTAATTCATCCTTACCTCCTTCAACGAGACAAAATTACGAAAGGAAATACCACTCTCAAGTTAAGATAACCTCTGCCGGAGCAGCTACTGGACCACAAAAAAAATTGAAAAAGACGCCTAAGATAAAGGAACGCACTAAAAACAATGAGAAAAAGCAGAAGAAGCAAGTTGTTTCAAATCGTAATGCAGCACTCTCGACGAAGAAGAACACCACAGGGGAAATGGCAAGACGACTAAAAAATAAGGCATTGCATTTTTTGACTTCTTATCAAGAAAGCCCATCAGCCTTCAAGCACATTGCTCGTCGTAAGATGCGTCTCATGAAAAATGGTTCAAGTGCAAACAATCCGAAGGTCGCTGATCGGAAAAATTGTATTAAGGCACTACCAGCAGTTGACCAGGGTATGTTAAATTTATTTACTTAAGCCCATTCGAACATTCACTCAACTATGAAATTAATTAATGATATTTTACGATAGGTCAAAATCCTGGTCCCGTTGCTGCTGTCAGACCTCGAAGGAAAGCGTACCGTGCTGCCGAATTAAATATGAAAGTGGTAATAGCACATCTTAAACGGCCTGTTCGTAAGGAACAGGAAGACTGATGCATATAATTCCAATACAAAAATCATCATCCTAGCTAACGCCTGCATGGGATTTGATGTAAATTATACATGCACATACATGAATCATTAATTTAGTTCACATTTATCTGCTTCTTGAATTTCTGTTTTAAAATAAAAGTTACACTTATGTTTGTAGCAACCTCAAACTGTCAAACTAGCAGAACAATGAAGTAGCGTTATGTTAATAAAAAAATCATCAAGCTATTAGTGGGAAAGTTCACAAATTGAGTAACGATTGACAATCGCTTGTTGCTTTCTTTCCCCAAATCCCACAAACTCGCTCCGCCAACTTCATAAAGAAACGGTAAAGAGTTGTGAAAGTTGCACACATGTTATGGTCACAACACAATCACGTTCGGTCAACAACTTCCGGACCTTTTGACGATTGTAATTCGCAGTCGTTTAATTTGCACCGCACAGAACAAGCAGGTGAATTAATATTACATATTTGTTGAGTGGTTATTGTTTGTTTGTATCTAATTTATTAAAGAGATTCGTTTAATAATTTGTATCAGTAGTGCGTAATTGTCATCATGGATCAAACTGAGCCGACGGAGGTACAAATTCTTTCGAAAACCAAGCAACGACGCAGTTTGGGAGAAACAAAGAAGCGTGAAAAGTCAAACCGGAAACCCAGCAGGACTGCAGTCGTGGTGCCAGGTGATCTCGCGTGGTAAAGATTTATGCATTTCGAATGAATGTTAACATAATCATTTCATTTTGTTGTTGATTATTTATTTCATGCTGATTCTTCTTCTTCACAGGCCTGATGTCGACGACGCAATTTCACAAGAGGTATTAAGTACTATTGAGAGGTAAAGTGAAAGTTGGTTAGGTTTATTTTTATTTTAATAATTGATATTTTATTTTCGGTTGTGTTGTACCTTGTGCACATTAATAATTATAGGTGTAAAGGTTTTAAAATTATTTATTCTTTGCAACAGAACAATGCAATGTTTAAAGATTCCGAAACGCCAATGTCCATTAAACGAGATAAAATCTGTGCCCAAGCTTCAGAGGTCAGAATTTCGAAGAAAATGGGTTGCTGAACACGCATTACAAGCCGGATATGACGTCAGTAGTTATATCTTAAAAAGGTTTGATATTACGTTAATGCAACAAAAATGTGGTTTGCAAATATGTACTATTATTTAATTTATTCTTGTGATTTGGTCGACAGATCGGAAATTGCAATTGGAGTTAATTGCTGCTCAATGAATATGGAGACTGGTCAACTGGCTGGACTAATAATAGAAAAGAATGTGGACCCTCAAATTATTACCAAATTATTGGTACCAATTGCACATACCAAACGGGTGCCAGCCATATCACTGTCAGGACTCAGTGCAGCGTTCGAAAAAGCCTGTGGCATCAAGTGCATTGCTTTGGGCTTGAAGGTAATTTTATATTAATGTAACGTTGCGTATTTACATATGTATATTATAACAGAAAATTGTGTGCAAAGACACTCTGGCTAACTTCCTTGTCTTTATTCTCGTAGACAATGTGTACATCGCCAAAAAGTGAATTTCATACTTTGCTGGAACTGGTAAAGGAGCACGGCCCTTTGGACGCTAACCAAGTGAACCAGCGTGCGGCAGCATTAGAGGAGCGACTGTTAGGTGGCCTTGCCCGGTCTCAATTTCTCCGACAAACATCACCTAGTTTGCCGAGTTCTTGCGCAAATGACACCGGAAATCTCGTATTATTAGAAGGGCCTGTTGTTGCAACCTCCAATGATACCACTTCGACGACACTCCCAGTACAATTTTCGATTGAAGATGAGATTGCAAAATATGAATTAAAAAAGGATTTAGAAAAGGCAAAACGCGAAAATCAATTGCCAGCAGAAGCTACGTTCATTCCACCGAAAATTAGAAAAACAACTCCACATTAAGATTTATATAGCTAAGATTGTTTTAAGTGGCAGTATTATTTATAAGCTTTATAAATCATGATATAGGTATGCATTCAAATAAGGTCAAATATATTCCCTTTTCCGATTTCCTGAATTACAACCTGGAGAAAATATTCCTTACTTCATAAATCTATAACTACTTTGCATGCATGGTATATGTATGTAAGCAAATAGAAATAAATCGCATCCTTTCATGTTTCATGCAAAGGAAAAAAGGTTCAGATTAAGGGAGCATGTACTTAGACAGGAGTGGGTATGTCATTACTGCATTTATCTCTCCGTACTTGATGCATTTTTGTCTCCTTGCAGAATTTAATAGGGCTGTAGTTATATATTTGATTAAATATGCCAAATAGGGGTTCTGTTTTGTGGTATTATCTCCAGGCAGCCTTGATTCACCCACACACAACGTTAAACTTGGACATGCTTTTTTGGCCACATCTTGTCCGAGATGGTTTTGTAGTCCAAAGGGGCAACTTGAATCTTGCAACAAATGTGAGAAGCATCTTTATACATTCATCTACTGCTATATAGCTACTCCAGCCAAATTTTTATTGCAGTGCAAGTAGCACAAGGTGTACAGCCCCTCTGGGGAAAAACGGGCGTGGTCCCAGTCATCAAACGCATTGGAATGCTTTATAACCCCTGTGGCTGACAATTTTATACCATGAAAAAGCCAGCTACATATATCCTCCTCCACAAGCTGTGCACTCAAGACGACGACGGACGACCCAACCAACACCAACAACCACGAAGAGTAGAAAAACTGAGACCCAGCCAGACCCACACCACGGAGCTTGGTTAAATGCGTTACTTTTTTTTACAATGCTGCTGGTGGGGAAACGAACAAGACCCCTGACTACTTCCCCTCCGCCTTCCTTTCCCTCTATCCACGTGAACAAATCCATATACTTGATTTCCTGTGTGAACCCACCACTGCCAGCTAAGGAAGCAAAGCATGCCATCAGAGATCAGCCACATGCAGGGCATGTCCTTCCTCCGTGGCGTGGGTCTTGCAGCTCCTTCCCAACAATCCAACAACCAAGTTTTTGGAGATGGTTCGTTCTGCCTGCATCCATATTCCCCCCACTTCTACTGCTTTTCCTTCCCCTCCCTCCCCTCCCTCCCTCATAGTCATAGAGTTTCTTGTACAAATTCATGCACGGCCACGTCAGTTCAGTTCGGTCCGTTCGTCGTCGTCGTAGAAGCCTAACCTAGAAGAAGCGCATGCAATTTCTCAACGGAATTTCCCCCCTCATTTCAATCCTATGGAGTTTATGCTTGCATCATTCCATGGCAAACAACCATGTCTCTCATTCGCATTCTCCATCCTCATCTGACTCCAAGTTGAGTGGATAAAAAACACCATCCCATCCGGCGTAGTTCAGCCGAGAGAGAGAGAATTGTATGGCCAGCAGCAGCAGTCCCCTAGTTCCCCTAGTCCCCCTTCCACCCTGTGGAAGTATAGATGGGGATTGGAGGTTTGAGAGGATGACATGATAAATGAAGTGAAGGTAAACTGCTTCCATAATATCTTCCCACAACTGGTCCACCCAGCAGCAGCCAACTTGTAAATACATGGTTGGTTTCGCGTTGCGTTCAGTTCTTGGGTTCAATTCAGCAGGACTTTGGTAGACCCCGGCCCCGTTCCCATTTACTCACGCTGTTTTTCCCCCTCTTAATTACACAGACACTACTACCACTGCTCGCATATATTCTGTTCTTCCATTCACTCTGGGGAAGTGGGACCATATCCAGAGCCAGGAGTTTATCCAGAACATTATAAAATTACTGCTCGCTGCATTACTTGAGTGAATTACAACACTCTTTTTCCTCTTCAATATAGCAACCTGTTTGCATAGACGAATCCATATAAGTAGTTGAGCTATCCAGAGGCTAGTGACGGCTGGGTCAAAAGGTCATCGTTGTCGACGTCGTCGTCGTGGTACTGCTGCATGTCGGATGGTGGTCAAGTGATAGTTTTGGTGGACAAAGGTCTTTTTCGTGTGACATTATTGGGGTCCTTCATACCAGTACAAGGACTTCAACCTCATCTCATATCATTATTCAGCCAGAGAGAAGGAGCCAGCCTGAGCAGAGACGAGAATCCACGAGTTGGTGCCTGTATGTATATGCAGTGCAGTGCCCTTGGTACTTTTTGTGCTCACAGAATAGGAGAGAAGACGAAGAAGAAGGGGGTCTCGCCCACAAACAAACTTGTCGTTTTCCTTGCTGCTGAGTCATATTACGGTGGGGAGTAGTGGATGCACACGTCGCCACCACCAGAACCAAGGTCAACAGTTTTCTATCCCCACGAGCAACAGCAGAGGAGCCATTATTATTATTACTTCTTGGCTGCCCCTTCTTGCCTCCACGCCTATCTTTCCTCTCGCTCTCTGCTGGGACTCGTCCAAAAACGCTCTTCCCCTCGCAACCCAAAAATTACCACGGGGATCTGGGAGGAGGTACATAGCTTGGTGCGTAGTCGTCCTCCTCATTCTACTCGTCGGGTATCGACCCACGACACCGAATCGATTTTCACTCCATTTCCCCAGTGGAAATTGTACTGCTTCTACTCATCCATCCATCCATCGCACGACACGACCACCCAGTCCACCCACACAAATAATACGTAAGCTTTTCAAATGGTCTTTTCAAACCAACAAAATCCTACCAAGCATGTAGTCAGTCTCAACTCTCGCTACCACGACGAGTAACCAGCAGACCCATCATCATCATAGCTCTTTGTTCATCCTGTTGGTTTCTCGAATGATGGGTCAAATTGAGACGACAAGTCAAATACTTGGTGAACACTTTCCTCGCCATTTCATCTTTTCTGCTGCGAAATTTCATATAAAAAATAGTTAGTTAACAGTTTCATGGTATTCATTGTCTGTGTCTAGTTGAAAGCTGAAAAAATGCCTTTGGGAGAAGAAGAAGAAGGAAGAGGAGGGCACGCTTTCGGGGGATTAGTGAGATTGAAGGAGGAATTAGAACGAGGGTCAGATGAAGAAAATGAGGTAGCTGCTGTAAATGACATTGATGATGATGATGACGAACCCACAGTATTTCCATGTAACGTTTGCTCCGCCACCTTCGTCACCCGCATGAGCCTTATCCGTCACATGATCCTGCATGAGGATGACAGTCAAGGCAACAATGATAATCAGCAGCAACTCGCAGAATCAACGCTCCCTCCCACATCATCCTCATCAGCAGTGGTCACCACCACCAATCGCCACCACATTCCAAGCCATAACTTGTTGGAGGCCATTTTGAAAAACGGGTCGCAATCATTCTTGCCACTGTTAAATGGTTCGTCTAACAGCAGCAACAGCAACTTTAATAATAACAATGGTGGACAGAATATGAACAGAGTTTTGAATGGAAAAAGAAGTCATTCTGAAAGACCAATTCCAAACCTGAAGCCATTGCCTTCTCTAATACAAATCAATAACAAGCCCACTCAGCAGCAACAGGAAAAGAATTTCCAGTGTCAACTTTGCGGAGTTTGGTTTTGGAAAAAGGAAGATTTATGTAAGTACTGAAAATAGTGCCAATTCCGAACATTATGGTCTTTTCGAATGCATAAAAATAATACAACTGCTTATATTCTCATCTTTAGCTCGTCATGTTACCAGAACGCATGGGAGTGCCAAGTTTACATGTCCGTACTGCCACAGAAATATAAGCAGGCGTGACCATCTGAAGCGTCACATCAAAAATGTAAGCTGAAAAACTCACTAACTTTGTCATTTATATTTCACTTGCATAATTTTAATGGACTAGGTGCACCCCGAATTTTGCACTGCAACGGAAGTGGGGCCCTTTGTTAATCAGGTAACATACATAATTCTTGAAAGAATTTTAAACTAGATAGTAATAAATTATTATGCGCATTTGCCTAACCTTGATATTTATGCATGTACATATATTCGATTGTATAGGGAGCCGGACGACCACCAAAGCAACCTCGTGAGGTATTGACACTGACATTTTCATCATTGCATGTATTCTTGATTAAATGCTGAACTCTATGAAATTCCTCCTTCTGTAGATGCTTGGGACAATTGACGATCTTCTTTCCCCTCTTGCTCCTCCTCCTGAAAGAAAGAAACCAAGGCGGAATAGTACTGACTCCAAGTTCAGTATCAATGAAATTCCGACATTGCAAAGTTTGCAAGCAGACATTGGCAATCAAATTCGAATGATTAATTCATCCAAAATTGAGCCGAGCTCTACCTCTGATGATGAAGATAACGATTATGAAGAGGATGAGATAAACCCGGAGACAAAATTTTCGTTTGACAATAATAATCTCGATTACAATACCCACGAGGCTGATGGAGAGGAGCTCTTTGAAGAGGACGAAAACGAAGAGTTTTGCAACAAGGAAATGCAAGACATCATTAAACCTGAAGTTCATAGTTATATGGAAGAGGATTATGGAGAAGAAGAAGAAGACGAAGAACAAAATTACGATGATGATGATGGTGATGTTGATGATGACCTCAACGATATGTCTGGGATGGCATCAGGAGGAATGATGTCAGACGAATATGGAAATCATATCAACTCGGAAAATGAAAATACTACAGAAGAAAACGGGGATGGAGCATTTGAATTGGAAGTGCAACGCACAATTGGGGGACCATCGGAACGGAAGTTCAAATGTGAATTGTGCGATGCAGCTTTTATGAGCAAAATTAATATGCAAAGGTATGTAAGCTATTTTATTCTACAACTCAATAACAAGTTAGTTTTGCCAATCTTAAATAAAACAGCGTGGGTAATTGACTTTTTGCATGATTTTTGACAGGCACATGTCCACGCACAGTGTTGCTCGTCCTCACAAATGCAGCGTTTGTGGGAAAGGTACGTGCTTTTAAACTTTTCATGGCGTCATTCGTGATTTCGTATTTACGGACAATCAGTCTAACAACTGGGTTATTTTTCATTTTAAGGATTTCTTCGTAAAGAACATTTGACAAAACACCTCTCCTCCGTCCATTCTGGGCTCAAATATAGGTGTCAATTTTGTCGAAAAGGTGATTCTAAATACTTATTAACCACGATCTCCTAATAAAAATGTGTCCTCTGAATTATTAAGTATTTTATATTTAATATGCATCTATCGTGTGTAGACATTTCGAGAAAGGACCACTTATTGAGACACATTCGCAATTGCCATCCCACAGAATTTATGGGGGTAAGAAAAGTGTACAAATTGCAATAATAATTTTAAATGTTGATAATGTATGTACGTAGCAAAATTACTAAATGATATTGTTTTTTTGTATATGCAATTAGATGTCGCTCGATATGATTGATTCTGAACCCCAAATTTCTCAAGTCCCAGCGGTGACCTTAAGTGATAATCCTAACATGCGAGTTGCGGCTTTGTCCTGCGACATGTGCAGCGAAATATTCAATCATATTGACGAATTAATGGAGCATCAGAGTGATGCCCATTCAGACATAAGAAAATTCAAATGTGATTTATGCCCAAAATCTTTCAAACGAAAGGTTGGTCCAGCCCTACATAATCTATTGTTCATTATTATATATTTATTATTATCTATAAGAAGGTGATTTTTAACTTTACTGACCAATACTTACAGGAACATCTAGTTAAGCACATGACCACGCATGCCCCTCCTGTTGCCAAAACCTACAGCTGCTCGGAATGTAGCACAGTTTTCCCAAGTTTGGAAATTGCTCATGCTCACCTGCGCCAGGCCCATCATCATCCCACCAAGAAAAGTACAAATCAGAAAAAGACTAGCAGTAACAGCAACGGCTTTGCTGGTAGCAGTGCTGCTGGCGGTCAGACATCTCTTCCCTGCAACTTGTGCGACAACACGTTCCAACAAAGGGCACATTTACTTCAACATTTGAAAGCCTATCATGGCGTCAGCAACCCAGAAAGGCGATTCACTGATGCTGCATTTCCCACTCCAGGCACCACTGCTAATTCTAATCCTATCGATGAAATGATGACCCCACCATCAGCAACTCCCCGACAAATGGTCACAAACAACCACAACAAATTCAAACAATTTCCACTTTCAGGATCCTTACTTCACAAATCGTTTGGAAAACCACAAATTCGGTCCCTCATTGGATTTCAGAATACAATGCAATGCAAAAATGACGAGGGCAGTTTGGAAAGTCTCATGGGACTGATTAACCGTGGGAGCATTTCTCTGTCGTTAAGTAAAGTTGAAAAGTAGATAATTGATGAATACTCTTATTGTACCAAAACTCGAGCTACCTACTTATGTCTAGATTCTTACTTGTTTATTCTTGGAGGACAATCAATTTTGTAAAATTTGAATGTTTCGTATGGGTGTGTACATGCCCAACCGTTACATTTTGTATAATGAACATGTTAACTTAACTTGGTATGATAAAATGAAATGCGTATTAGAATGCAGTGTAATTGCATGTATGAAATATGTAATTTGCAAAAGTACATAAAAATGTCCAAATATTACGTCAGGTGAATTTAAGTAGTTTTTATTTCCTTTCATGTCAAATGTTGAAAAACATATTTCTGGATTGTATTATTAAATATGATCGAAACTATGCATCGAATATAGAGTAATTGCAATAGTATATTCAGCGTAATCCGAAACAACCTAGTTTATTCAATTGCATTGAAACGGTGATCAGCATGTTTTCCGTTTATGTACGGAGGTGCGGTTTGCAAGTGGTGTGCAGATTTAGTTCCGGCTGCTGGACAGCATAGGATGCCATCAAAGTAATGATTTGCTTGGCAATGATTTCCGTATCCTGCAGCTTTGTTCTTATTTCTGTTCATTTCAGCAAAGTTAAATATTAACAACATTCACAATATCCGACTTCATTTTATTTTACTTTCCAGTGAATTACCCATAAATGAAAGCAAAGCACCCTCGTGGCATTTTGGTCGTCTTCCATGATAATTTCTGCACGGCTTTATCCGTAATCGTGCAAACATGCCAGTCTGATGCGCACAGGTGTTTCCCCATTTTTAGGGCTTTGGTCAATTTTATCGGTTTTTTGGCTGGACATGCTCGAGCAGTTCCCAACAATGCAAAGTTTTCCACTGGTTTCGTCCGACATCCATTCGCCAAAGATTTTCCAGTAATCCTTGGTCCAGCAGGTTTAGGACCCAACGTGGACTTGGGACCTTCGGACGATTTAAAGTTATAAACACTTTGTAAATAAAGAATTATTCTCAAAACCTTACCAAAATAAATAATATGCCTTTGGAAGTCAGCGTCATCGAAATAATTTGGAACGGCTTCGCTCAAGTCGAATACTTGTCCCACGAGTAGCACGCAGAAAAAATAGAACGTCCCCATTGCGTCCTTTTGTAAGAAGAACAAGAGGAGGAAAACTTTGAACGCTTGGTGCAAGCATTCGCTCAGATCATGCAATCGCCTTGAGAAGTGGCGAGATCAAATATTAAAGAAGAATGAAAGTGCTGCTGTGTCCACTGGACCACAACCCCACGACTTCCTCTGCCTGCACACTTTGTCATATTTACCAAATACTTCAGCAATAATACGTCTTAGCGATTACCAATTGTTTCATTCACTGCACACGCACTCCTCTGTGTACCTCCACCCTGCTCAAATTGTTGGTGCAGGGTACAGAAGCAATGATAATAGTGATTTATTTCATCTGTATTGTCGCATCGAAAACAAGTGTCATGAAGGAAATGTGTATATTTAAAGGGTGGAAGCTCGCTTGTGATATCTATTCATGCAACTATACACGATAACAAAGAAAGATGCGGGGCGTCAAAAACTAATGTTACTACATAAACATCACCTTGTTCGTGGTCGTATGTACAAACCTCTGTATACCCAATAAACAGTCGTGAAATGAAATATTGAGTATGTGTTCTACAATTGAATACAAACTTAATACATAATCAGGCTTATGTAAGTATCTATAATGCATAATTATCCAGTCCACATTATCCTTATGATCAACCCAAGCTAAGGATTTTATAAATATGTGAATACCTGCATGATAATAAGTTAATGCATGATTTGCATATGTTAATAAATACAAGTTAAGTGACTACATATATGTAAGTGAGGTGATAAAAATGTGTATTAATATTTTATTGACAGAAATCTGCTTGAAAGTATACAAGATAGAGCGTATAAAGGAAATAAGAAGAGGTTAAATTTTATATTTCATAAATAATTTTCAAATCAAGAGCCCAACTTCTATCCACTTATCAATCCACTCAAGAGCGTGATGAGCGGAACAAAGGTCAACGCAGTCCCGTTAGGGCGGTTGGGATTGTTAATGTATGCGGACAGGTTGAAAACTGCGGAATTTTCGAGTTTTCATTCAAATCATGAAAACATGTATTTTTTGCATAATCTATTAAAAAGCTTATTCCTTACGGTTAGCTCTGGTTTGAATTTCTTCAAACATGTTGGGATATGCGTCTTCCATCTTCTCGGCCACATATTCCAAAATTACTTCCTTGGTTTCCTCGGGAAGTTCAGGCAATGGCGTGGTCGTCACCACCTGCACCGCTGGGCGTACTGGTCGAACCTAGTTGAAAGGAATTTGTATTTAAAATGAGATTATTAGAACCACACCCATCCAACCAACCTGTCTGGAAAGAATCACAGACGCCATCGAGGCGAAAAGAGCGATTGCCAAAACGGTTTTCATCGTGAATACTTTGTTAAATTTTCTTTCAGTTGACACTGATTGTTTGAAATGATAAAGCAATTGATTAAGTGTGATGATTTGAAAGCAAGAGCTTCTGCATTTTATATGCTCCAGAAAAGAGGTTAATTACACATTTCTGTCTGCGATTTTCTGGATTTTTTAATCCACCATTATTCATCTGATATTTTTGAGAAATTGTATTTGCTCAATCTGCTCAGATTTGGTTTAGATTTGCTCTGAATTTGTCTGAACAAATAGAAAGCATGATAATCAGGTCATTGGAAAATAAGGATGCACAACATGGAATCCAGGCTTTACATTTTTGTGTTTATTTAATTATTTGGAACAAATATGTAATTATTCTATTTGTCTGTCTGACATCATTTGAGGTGATGCATGCCTATTAAAAACCACAGTAAAATATCATAAAATTTGGTTTAATTGATCGATATTATTCAGATTGCGAATTGGTGAGATCATTTACAGACAGTATATCAAGGATTAATTTGATACACGCACTTAACTTGGTAAGAAGAGCTGTCGGCAACTGTCATAGTGTTGTATTAATTGACATCATCGATCACGGTCTATTTCATAACATATATATGATTATCATGAGACTTTTATCAGTGTAGATTTATTTTTTTTTACCAAAATTCATAAACCCCAGAGAATTGTAATGTCTTAAATCTTTGCCCACAATCAAAACAACACCCACACGCAACTACGTGAACACACGCATTCCATTGGAGTGGGATCATCACCAACTAACTTCACGATCTACGAAAATGTGAAGTAAATAAAATGCGTTTTTGATTAGGTAAGAGTTATGCATTTTAAATTATTGATTTTTTAGTGAGCTTCTCAATCATCAAATTTTGATTTCTTAAAATTTAGTTGTTTCAGTACATACTTAAGAAATACATGTGAGTGTGGAGCAAATATATTCAAGAATGTTAACGCAGGTATTTGTATTTTGGCAGTCTGGTCTGTCAACCTAAATTGCTGACCTATTCTCCTAATCCTGCGACACAGTGACAACCTGCGAGTCACAAGAATATCTTACATTTTCAAAGAATATCATTGTACTCAGTTTCTTATCAGCATATAAATCTTCCTAAATATGTTACGGACATATCTTCGTTTCTTAGTTAAAGTATGTGTGTGTTTGTGCGAGGTAGCTACAAATGAGGAGAAAATTACTCAATTCTCGTTTACTAAATTCCAGCGAGATTATGCTCCTACGCATGGTGACTCTAACATGTCTTCTTATGTAGAACATAGAATCTGCTTAAAGAACTTTAACTTGTACGCATGAGTTGGTTAACATGGAGTTTTTGGTGAGTTTAATGAAATCAGGAACATGATGAAATATTAAGCTGCCTTTAGTGATACTACAGAATGTATGCTGCAACTGTTCAGCAAGTGGGACCTACTTACGCGTATTACACTAGCAATGCTGTGGCTAACTTGGTTGATGACATCAGGCATCAGGAACTATGCAGTCTTTCACATTTCGTTTATCGAGTACCACCAAGCTCAACATTTGGATGAACAGGTTACATTAGTCTGGTCCTGGTCACATACGAGAAAACACAATGCGGCGGAGTTTATCTCAAAACTCCCAACTTGTCCACGCTCACTCCAATTTGCCTAATGAAATTACAATGCGACGCAACCGCTGTTAATAGAAGATAATGTAACACACTAACTGCCATCATTATCATTCCTACTGCTATGCTCCTTTTATTCAGCTGGGTAGCATTTAAACATATCAAAGTAAGCTGGGTTTGAGCTTGGGAACAATATTCATGTCTTTTTTGCACAAACACAAGCAAGAAGCCAATGTTTTGATTCGTGATGTGTGTGTACATTAAAAAATCCTTTGCAACGTGTTTGTGTTTTATTTAGTAAATAGCCCCTAAACCAACCGATCAGAATTTGTAACTTTTTTGCAAGCTGCAGTTACGTAAGACCCAAGATCAGTGTGAACCAAGAAAGGTTTGAGACTTGCTTCGAAAAGTGAGAATCGTGAAATTGTGCCGAAAAAGCACATATGCTTAAAATGTACTTGTAGCAAATGATATTACGATTTGCATGGTCGATTCTTAAGAGTAAATTATTCCAGCATGATGTCCATTCTGCTGTGGTCGTATCTCTTCACAAATAAAGTTGCTGTATTTTTTTCTAACCTGTTAGCGCTCCCAGTCGCAATGTTTGCCAATGACGAACAATATTTGTTAATTGGAAGACATTTTCCTTAGTCAACAAATAATTTATGGGTGAGGTGGAAGATTTTAGTGCTGTCCTGTTCTTTGCTTATCATAGTGGCTTCAGTCGAGTTCAGCAAACAGCAGCGTGGCCAGACCATAAATAAATTCTGGTTGGAAATTTGTGACAGTTGACATTGACAGACACACAGAGATAGACGGATACCTTTGTGAAAATGGGTGTTTTTTTAATCCTAAAGACTAAAATTAATCAAATTATTTAAGACTTGTCTGCTTCGAAAATTTGAAGCCGATGTCATCTTGAGTGTGGGCCATGATTTCACAACAAATCAGCATTTTGGATATAAGCACATTCAACTTTCCCGTGTACCTTTATCAAGTGGAAAATGTGGATGGATGGATACGACGAGTGTAAGGTTTGTGCATATGTGTGCAGATAGTGTGTGGGTGGGAGGGGAGTATAGATTATGAGTGATAAGTTGTACCTAATATGACGTCATTTTGATAATAAGGACTGACCATATTTTAATTTAAACTCGTGAAACTTGTGTGAAGGCGTGTATTCGAGGCGAGAAATTATACAATAAATTGTATAAATGACCTTTCACAACCGCACGATGACTTCATTCGAATTTTGATGGGCTGCTGCAAGAATAAAAATCATTCATCGACATAAAACTCGTCTGCTGGTAATACTGATAATAATAATAGCTCCGATTGAAGCATGTGTTACAGAAATAGATTCCAGAATAGGCGCCACAGCGTCTCCCAGAGGTCAAAGTGTTAAATGGAGTAGTTAATTATCATTTCCAATTACTGGTCTCATACACACAGATGTAAGTACTTTCTGCTGAGTGGACTATTTATATGTCATGTGTTCACAAGTTGTCATATGCAGATTATCAAAATGTAGAGCAGATGTATGAAAATGATCTAGTAATTCTTAAATACAAATGACAAAGCAAACAGGTTTATTGCCCCGTGAAATCTTGAGTCGTGGTTGAATTCCATTCAACCAAAAAATTGAATGCTGATGTTATTGTAGTCTTTAATTCACCGGAAGATTAATTATCTCGAGTGATTGGTTGAGCGAGGTAGATAAATTAAATTGACTACATCTTTATCTTGACTTATCTTTACACAAGTCCGACTTCACACTCCACTCTTTCTTTAATTCACATATTTGGGTCTATTTTTACGAATTCAGTCATCAATCGCATCACCATACATGCAAGTATGCTCCTCAGCAAATGTGAAGCCATGTACATATCTATTATATTATCCTTATTTTACTGGCTGTCCATGCCCTAGTCTTTAAGACCTGTATGTAACCTGAAACTGTTTAATTATGAGCCGTCTAATTTACTATAATTTGAGAAGCACAACAACAAGTATCAGCCTACTCAGATGTGGAAATTTAAAAAAATTAGATATCGAAAGTAATCCAATGTTTACAATTATAGCAAATTAGAAAAAGAACCCTGCAGACATGTCAAATATGCTTACAATAAAAAATGTAACCACTTTCAATGATTGCACCATGAATCAAACCACCAAAAATGACATCATTTAGCATTTAGCTTTATCACCTCTCGGATCTGTTGATGCAGCAGCAGCCCATTAAATTTAATTACACCGGACTTCACCTTGCTACCACATGATCATTGTGATAATACATGATATACTTTACCCAAACTATATTTATATCTCAGAAATTAAATCCCATGTCTGCTCCCAACATTGTGTCAGATATTCATTTCGCTAAACAATGCGTCCAGTGCAACTTGTTTGATTTGTTGATAAATACTTCTCTTGATCTTCCTATCTCCAAGGACGTCTGAGAGACAAAAGAGTGACCGACTGTGGTTTAAGAGATGCATAATCAAAATCAGTAGTTTTTAAATATCAAAACGAGAAGGAACTTCCAGTAAAAACGTGCATTATTATTTACTGTGCAATAAATCACTGTATTATAATACGATATTATTTATTAATATCCCTCCCCTCGCACTTTTTCGCATAATAACACAACCTGTATGGTGAATTGATTTATACATAAATACGAAAATGACATCATGATCTTAAATAGACTCTAATTAAAGCAAAACTTCCTCACCTCCTTCGCTAACTATGGCGTACAATCGCTAACAATTACTGTGAGTGAGGCAGAATAGAAACATGGCTTAGCTTTAGAAGAGGTGGCAGACACATATTAATTAAATTCAGCAACGATCTTCTCCTCGCCTTGTAATATGATGCAACGGTTCGTTCGTGGAAATAGTTTTTGGGATAATTCTAGTCAGTCGATGGAATGTGGGATACGATTACCTCATGTAATATTTCATCAAATTTTTGAACATCGTGGTATATAATTTGAGTATTTCGAACCAGTTCTAATTCCGGTCAATGAATTCATTGCTTTGAAGTATTCCAGCACGACACCGTTTAGTTTATACGCATATCGAACTAACTATACTGGTAGTACACGTATGTATGATGGAGATTGGAATTTATTCTGTTGTTATGTTTAGATTGTGCAGGGTCATCCTACAGTAAAACAACCGCGGACCACAACATGTCACAAATTCTTTGTCGGTTGACGATATCAAGATCTCGTTTATTATCAGAAATAAATACGTAGTATACGTAGTTTCATTTCTTCGGCGTGTCAAACATTTATATTTATCATGGGAAAACTGAGACAGTAATTAACTGAGGACAAGCTTTAGCTATGTACAATATATTCAGTATTTCATCGATTTGAAAGTGGTTGTTTATATATCTCAAACTAGTTATGGTACATTTTAATTGTTTGTATCCATATTTATGCATAAGTTATATCCATCCTGTCCACTATATAGTGGAGATGCATTTACGCTGTACATGACTACGTTTAATCGCTTAAAATAATTTCTCAGTGTTTATATGCCTCTTTCATGCAAGTAACAATACGCGCAGCCTAGTGAAATAGAACTTGTGCACTACATCTAAAATAATAGTTTCATCATTGCGATGTCTGGCATGGACATAATTTAGTTTAAATGATGCAATTAATGGAGTACGCGATAAAATATCAAGTTCTATTATAGCAGACAGTCGATACATGTGTAGCTTATGGTTCGGAAATTACTTTAGCAGGAATGGCCTCACAATTTATTCATCACGCAACGGGGGCTCTTCAGTAAAAGCCTGACAGCAGAAAAAAATAGACGAACACAGAACATTTAAATTAATGTTACGTCATTTTTATGCGTCTTTAGGAAGTTTTTTATGCAAGCGCTTTTGATTCATGTAGGTTTAATTTGACTCATTTGGAGACTGTGTTTTTCAATTTTTATTCATCCAAATTCATCCAATCCTAAGTGTTATAGATGCATATGTATGGGGAGAAATAAATAGAGACAGACATTTGAGTTGATCTTGGTAGTCTTGAAACATTGAACTACTTTTACTGTGGACTTGCTGTGATTTCAGGGAGGAAATACCCGCAAGTCATTTCGTGAGGAGAAAGCTATTGTTGAGCAACATATTTTACGTGGTATGACTATTGCATGATAAACAGTTTTTTACTAACAGGTTCACATTTCACTTACACATGTCGATGAAAGTTTAGTATTACAGATGTATGGTAAAGCTGGTTGTGTAATATTATTGCAAACGTGTGTCTAGTGAATTTTCATGGAGTGACATATGTAGGTATTTTTGTGATGATTTTGCCAAAGCAGACGACCTTGCGAAAGTATCACCTCGTTGTGTTTCTTTACAAAATATTTATACGCAATAAATGTAAACTCGTATTGCCCTACCTTGGCTGCAGACACCTTACCCTACCTCATCCTCAAACTAATTGATCGCTCATGGGATTTTCGTAATAGATTAAAATCCTATTGCAAATCTTGTAGGATAAACCAGAGGTGTGGCTTTGCCGAACCCAAAATTTAATTTACTTACACCGACATAGCCAACTCAAAAGTCTAAACATTACGTATTTACCCCAAAATGAGTATGTATGTAAGTACACAATGGTTATATGATCACATCATTCATCACATGAATTTTTATGCTCAGTCTCATCAACTTTCCTTTACCTAAAAATCGCCTAGTTCATGGGTGAAGTCATTTCATTTCATCACATTATCAACTCCAAAGTGTAAATAATGCATAACATTTTAATTTGCAGTAATTTGGTGCACGTGACTGTGATTTTGCAATATGCACTAAAATATACAATGCCTCGTCTGCTGCGTTGAGCTTTCTTGCAGCGATTTTTATGAAATGACATCAGCTTTGGCATTGTTTAACAAGGCCAATGAATGCCACATGAGGGATGGTCACGTACAGGGCAGAGTTATATCTGTTTTCCATGTGTTGTCGATTTCACTCATACTTATTTCAAGAAATAAAATGACCAAATTTTGTCTTTAAATAAACACAACACAATACTACTGATAGATAACGCATCAGATTAAATGGTCAGATAACATCGCGCTCAGATAAGTTGATTGCTCATCGTTGTCAAAGATTATCCTGCCTGCTCACCCACCATTTATGCATGTTGTGGCGTCCTACCTGACCCTTGCAAGGTGTCAAATCCTCAACAGAGGATGATCACACACTGCGGAATGATGTCTGCAGTAGTGGTTCGCAATATTATAATTAGGAGAGAGATGGACGGAGTGGATGGAATTGCTATGGGTTGCTGTTCTCGTTTATTGTGCATTGTCAGCGACTGAAAGGGAAGGATGATGCCATGGCTATGTTTATCCCCACGAGTTTTGCAGTTGTGTTGGTTCAATTAAACATGCAACGAAAGGAAACCTTCGTCGTTGTTAAACAGCTTCGATCTCACTCGCAATAACTAAACCAACTAACTATCCTCCTCTCCAAATGTATTTAATGTACATCCATACGAGTGGGAGCTGCACCAGTAAGATTGCATTTTCAGTTGGTGTTGGGGTCCTCGATTCATCAACACCACAATCGCATCACGCTTGCTCTCAACTAACAAATTGTATTTGTATTTTCATATCAACTCTTTCATATTTTAGTCAATGTTTGTCTTGAGATTGGTCAACACGGCAGTCAGTGCTCTTTTCTTGGTTTGCACAAAAACAATATAATACACACACCGTGCTTGATTCACTGAATGTCAGTCCAGTGTGGGCATCCTAACAGAACCGACGACGATACAGATTTGCAGAATCTTTCTACACTTTCAATTTTTATTCAGTGAAAAGAACTTGTTCAGTGAAGTTAATTGTTTGGGGACAACGCTTGTTGATTCAAAAAAGAAAAAGGATTCTTACGGAAGTTTCAATTCTACCAGTAAGTTCTTGTTCATGACAAACATTTCTAAACTGGATGAGGAACCTGCCATGCATAATAAGTGTTGACATAGGTGTATGTCATCTAACAAGCACATCGCTCTATTGGACTATTAGTTAATAGTACATGAGTCAACCTTGATACTCTCCTACTTACAATAATGAATTTATTACCGGTTCCTCTTATTTCCTATACGTGTGTGTAGCACATTTTTGGTAGTAGAGTTAAACAAGGGAGGGAATATAGGAAGTAATTTATCAATCATGTGCTTGACATATGGCCATAACAATAATACAATCATTGCTCACACCTTCCTGTCTTCATCAGCCACTCTGTCAATCCTACATATTTGCTAAAGATTGCACTTGAAAAGTCGCCGTGGCTCTGCTCCATAAGTCTTTGTCTCAACTTTTTATCCTCTCAATCGAGTATATGTACACGTAACTAGATGGATGGATGATTCAAAACTGATGAGAATTATTGCTCATCTGCGATTACTCATGTACATGAG